ACATTTTTATTTAAAGTTTTGAGTTCCAAATTCTTTCCTCCATCCCTCCCTCCCTCCTTCCCCTCCCCCCTCCTTGAGACAGTAAGCAATCAGGTATAAGTTATACATGTGCAATTATTCACTTTGTACAAGAAGACTAGAATAAAAGAAAAAAATGAAAGAATGAGCCTGTATTCAAACAACATCAGTTCTTTCTCTGGAGGCAGATAGTATGCTTCATCATTAGTTCTTTGGGATTGTCTTGGATCATTGCACTGCTCAAAAAAGCTAAGCCATTCACAATTCTTCACCATACAATGTTGCTGTTACTGTGTACAGTGTTCTCCTGGTTCTGTTCACTTCACTATGCATGAGTTCATGTAAGTCTTTCCAGGTTTTTTTTGAAATTGTCATTTCTTACAGCACAATAATATTCTATTACAGTCATATGGTGGTCATTGTCTTTCATTCTCTAAGAGAACCAAAATGCCATCACTATGCTAGAGTCAAGTTACAGTATATCCAACTGTGGTTAATCAGACCAATATGAGCTCGGAAGGCTCTACCACAGGTCAGGCACAAATAGTAGATGTGAACATTTGGGGTGGATTCTCTGAATTTGTGCATCTTGAGTTTCTTTGGAGCTGCTTCAATTCTGCTTCGCTCATAGAGCACAGCCCCCTTCTCTGATGTGGGCACACCATGCTGGACGTTCCTGTGCCAGTGTCTCCCATGTCATACAATCAATGTCCAAATTCTTCTTTTTATTTATTTATTTATTTATTTATTTTTGCTTTTTGGTGAGGCAATTGGGGTTCAATGACTTGCCCAGGGTCACACAGCTAGTAAGTGTCAAGTGTCTAAGGCTGGCTTTGAACTCAGGTCCTCCTGACTCCAAGGCCTATCCACTGCACCACCCAGCTGCCCCCAATTTCCAAATTCTTAAGAGAGACCCTGACAGTGTCCTTGTATTGCTTTTTCTGATCACCATGTGAATGATTGCCTTGTGTGAGTTCTCCATAAAGTAGTTTTTTTTGGCAAGTGTACATTTTGCATTCGAACAACATGGCCAGCCCATCAGGGTTAAAATGCTGCTCTGACACCCAGGGGGCTGCCAAATCCCCCTGTTGCTTCCAGTGAGGAGACCCTAAGCCTGGGCCGCCTGTGTGCAGGGTTGTGACTGCAGCTTCCAGCGCATCTGCACCTGCTGCTTCGATACTTGCCTGTGGCCACAGGACTCAGAGCTAGGCAAAAATGGTAACGTGGTTTGAGTGGTGGCTTTTGATTCATGCGTAGATTGGATTTAAGTGAGGCAGAGCTGCACAAAGTTGGCCTCAGTGTCTCCTTCAGAGTCATCACAGTCCAGTGGCAGGACAGGGTCAAGATGACGGTGATGGCTCAGGATGCAGTAGATGATCTCGGCGTCTTTGACATCTGACCGAGTTCCAGGCGCTCACAGCGCCTGCTTCAGCCGCCTTCATGGCCATTGGAACAAATTGTTCTCATCTGCCTGTTCCACCAGGGGGGGTCTTCACATGCTTGGGGCAGACACCCCCCTAACTCACTGATGGGTTTGAGACCCCTCAGTTACCCTCAACCTGGCTTAGCCCATCTGCTGAACTGGCTTACTGTGGTGTGGCCCCTGTGCGTGCCACAGCTTCTTGGCCACAGGTGAGAGTCAGTGGATCATATGGACACCAAAGGTGGTGAGCAGCCCTGATGCCAGAGGGCTTCCCTGAACACACCCTATACTCCTACAATTATACACCACAGCTTGGTTAGCCATTCCCCAATTGATGGGCACCTCTTAGATTTCCAATTCTTAGCTGCTACAAATACTTTTGTACAAATAGCTCCCCCCACCGCTTTTTTTTGGATGTCTTTGGGATATAGACCTAGCAAATTCTAATTTTTAAGGAATTTCTTTAGTAAGATTTTGTACATCTTTCCATTAAGCCAATTCTGTTTTTTAGGAGTTCTTTTCTTTAGTGAATTTTTGTGCGTCTTTTACCATTTGGCCAATTCTGTTTTTAAGGAGTTATTTTCTTCAGTATTTTTTGTGCCTCTTTTTACCAAGCTGTTAATTCTCTTTTCATAATTTTCTTGTATCATTTCTTGCATAATTTTAATTTCTTTTCCCAATTTTCCCTTTACCACTCTTCCCAAAATCCTTGTTGGGCTTGAGTCCAATTAGCATTTTTCTTTGAGGCTTTGATTGTAGTTGTTTTCACACTGTTGTCTTCTGTGTTTATGTCTTGGTCTTCCCTGCCACCATAGTAGCTTTTTATGGTCAAATTCTCATTGTTGTTGTTGTTGCTGCTGCTGCTGCTACTGCTGCTTACTCATCTTTCCAGCCTATTTCTGAACTTCAAATTTCATGTTGAAGTTGGGCTCTGCTCACCTGGGGATGGTGAGGCGCTGTCCCAAGCTTCGGGCTCTTTCATGCCGCTGTTTTCAGAGCTGATTCTGGTGGTCTGCAAGTTTTTGGTGGCTCCAAGGCGGTATGATCCGAGGAGAGGTATAGTCACCACTCTCCTGGTCTGTACTCTGGTAGGGACCTTGCTCCCCTGCAGCCACAAGTGCTGGTGCTCCTCTTTTGTTTTGGAGCTGTGGCCAGGGCCTCTGCTCCCTTGTGACTGACCAGGAATGCTCCCCACCACCCTGGAACTGTGATCCAGAACAGTGTATGGGCAAAGGGGTTGCCGATCAGCTCCAGCTGCACCCAGTGCCAGGCAAGGGTCCCCTGCAATCCCTTTCTGACCAGTCGTCTGACGCCCTCACTGTCTCTGGGTGGAGAGCTCCTGAAGCTGTGGCTGCAGCCGCACATGTGGGCTCCAGACAGGCTTCTGCCCCAGTGTCCTCCTGCCAACCTAAGTGTTAAGAACACAGAGTCTGGAAAAATGTCTCACGCTGACTTTTTGTGGCTCTACCGCTCCAAAATGTGATTTGAGGAGTCATTTAAAAGTTGTTTGGAGGGGAATGTTGGGAGCATTCAGCTAGGTGGCAGCCCCTAATCCACCATCGTGGCTCTGCCCTCCCTACCCATCTCTTAACACAAGCCTGTCTCCACCTACCTGTGTCCCTTTTGACCTCTCTGCAGCCTTTGGCTGTGTTTCTCATTTGGCCAGCCTTGTTCCTGTCACACTACCCATCTCCTCCTTCCCTGGCTCGTCACTGCCCATGGGCTGGTCCTGGGCTCCACTTGAGGGCCCACAGCTTTGCTGGCCATGCTCTCACGTGGCAGTCAGCTTCCACAGGCTCATCCTCTCTATGCACATGATTTCTAGTATAGTATGTATACATACACATGTGCATACCATTGTGTGTGTACATGTATGTCATTCACAGCACACGTCATACACACATGTGTGTTGTTGCATGCATGTATGTCACAGTGTACATATATAGACACACGTACGTATGCATGTGTGTCAACCAAAACGTCTCTCCTGACTCTAGTCTTTTATCACCGGCTGTCCTTGGACATCTCACTAACATTTTAGTAGGTGTGTACTTTCATACACAGTTGTTTGCATGCTCTCTCTCCCCCAGTAGTTCCTTGAGAACAAGGCCTCTTCAGGCTTTGCACACAGTACACACCTGGCATGTCAGAGGTGCATAATAATCAACTGGCCAATTGCCTCCGTGAAGTCAACAATGCGGTTTTCATGGGGCAAACCGCCTGCCTGCCGCCTCCTCCCACCAGCCGTCTTGCAAGCTGACATGGCCATGTTCCGTGTGGATTCCAGTCTCCTCTCAGGCTACTTCAGGCAGACCAGCTCATTTACAGGCCTAAGCTTGGACCTCCTTTAGAAGTCCCCTCCTGGCTCTGCCCCCTGCCCTCCCTGGCCTCCCTTTCCAAACTCACCGAATTGCCCCGGAAGTCACATGGCTACAGAAACAAGTCTGGAAGCCTGTCGTGTCCACAGCTGCTGGAGCCTTCCTTGGAGGGCTTGGGGCTCAGGCCCCAGCTCCCCCTACCCAAAGGGCTGGGAAAGGATGAGCCAGGGCAGGACAGACAGCTCGAGGGCACCTGGCGCCTCCCCAGCCATGAGACTGTCTAGACTCAGAGCGCTCCAGCCAAGAACAAGGCCGCACAGGGCAGGAGGCTTCCCCCAACCTCAGGGCACTTTTCTTAGTGCCCTGGCAGGCACTCCCACTGGCCGGAGCCAGGGCTCCCTCCTCAGAAGGCAGCAATCCTCACAACAGGGAAGAGCCTGCCAGGCCAGCCCACTCTCTCACCTGCTCCTAGGCCTCCTCGTGCCTGTCTCTCTGAGTGAGACCTCGAGCGCAGCAGGCCCAGAGCCAGCCCAGGCCGAGGGACAGAGACCTTTCTTTGGGCTCCCAGGCACAGCCTGGGTGCTGACAGAGGCCCCCAGGTGTCCAGGCTGAAGGAGAGTGCTTGGTCTTTCCCTCTTCCCTTCTCTATCCTTGTCCCTCCCTCTCCCCTTCTCAAATGCTCTGTCCTCAGTGCAGGCAGATTTGAGGCTCCAATATTGCATCCATGTCCACATGCCCACCCGGGGCCTGTGTTGTCAGAGTGGCAAAGGGCAAGGGGTGGAGCAGGCAGTGACTGACCACAGCTGAGGGCATTTGCCACTGTATCGCCCTGTGCCAAGCACTGGCTGTCTGCCTCTGCAGGGGCAAGTGCACAGACTTCCCCTCCTGTCCCTTCTCTTCCCTCCATCCCTACTTTGAACGTGGCCAAATCACTCTCTTCTGTGCCCTCTTCTTCTCAAAGGTTGGCTCCCTTTGCTTACTGAGGAAAGCTCCAACCTCTCTGAGCAGCACAGAAGGCCTTCCCAAGGCGAGTGCCACCTTCCCTTTCCAGATCTAGCTCCTACTAACTCCCCCTGACACGTCCCTCCCGCCAGCCAAGCTGGCCCAGGCTCTGACCCCCCCATGCCAGCCTTGGCTTTCAGGCAGTCACTCAGTATTTTGTTCTGAGGCTAGGAGTAGAATCCCCTGCTGCCGCTGCCAAACCCCAACCCTCCCGTGAAAACCCATCTGCACTGCCCCTCCCCCCGGGGAGGTGGCGGGCCCAAGAGGAGGGCTTGCAGCTTGGCAAAGGGCCAGGCAAGTTCTGCCCTTCTCAGCTTTCCTCCCTCTGTTCCTGGCTCTGCCCTGTGGGGTCACCTCCATAAGGAAGGCCTTCTCCAATGCTCCAGAGTCTCGGCCTTGCCCCTCTTCTGTCTGCATTGGGTTATCCTCTCTTAGAATGTGAGCTGCCCAAGGGTGGGCACTGGGCCTGGCATGGGCCACGGACATAGCTGGTGCTTAATACGTGGGGCATGAACAATGGCAGGGGGTGACGAGGGAATGGATGTCTGATGGATGCCACCTTCTTCCCTGGACAGGCCTGAAGGACAATTACTTTGCCAACAAGCTACACCAGAGAGAGAAGAGGGGCCTGATCCTGGGTGAGTGAATCCCGGCTCTGGAATCTTGGCCGAGAGAAGCCACCTGGGCCAAGCTGGGCCTCTTCCCCAGCACGGGGGCCAGCCGGCCCCCAGACCCCCCAGAGACGGCCAGGTGCCCTCAGCCCCCAGACACCCACAGGGCCTTGGCACCTGCCCAGAGGAGGCAGCAGTGGTAGAGGCCAGAGAGCACTTAACCCCCACAGACCTGACTTGGCTTTTAAGGCCTCTACTTTCAATTGTGAAGAATTCCTCAGTGGGGCCTAGCACTGTCCTGGGCACTTCTGGGGGGGCAGAGGTCCAGAGGAGGTTTGATAGAACTGTGTAGCCCCCACAGCTGAGGCCAAAGGCCCTGGGTTCAAATCCCAGCTTCCCCACTTCCTCCCTATGGGACTTTGGGCAGATCCCTGCCTCCCTGTGGGCCTTAGTTTCCCCTGTTGCAGCTGCCCTGAACGGTCTCTGAATGCTAGGTTCTGTGTCCACCAGGCCTTGGGCTCCACGAGGAGGAACGGTCCTGTCTCCCCCCAGTCCCTGGGACAGTGTGCTGCCTCCTAGCCAGGACATCCTGCCTGCCTTGAGGAGGTCTGGGCCTGCTGAGCTCCTCCCAGAGCAGACCTCCTTCCAGGGCCCGGGTCACTCTGAGAGCTCCAGCTTCTTGGGTGATCTGAGGTTTCCTGAGCACATTCCTCACAGCAGCCTTGGGCCCATCCTGGTCTTGAGAGGAGTCATCGCCCCCATTTAACAGAAAGGAATACTGAGGCTCAGCACGAGAAAGGGACTTGCCCCACAGCCAGGAAGCCATGTCAGTGCCAGGACTGAGCTCTCCTGACTCAGTCAGGTGGACACTTTCTTCACAATATCACTATTCCTAGTCTCCCTGCAGTAAGGGCCCCACCTATCCAGAGGCTTCTCTTGGCCCTGGCCCAAAGCCCCTAGAGGCCATGCACACTGACTCCTCTTCCTGGTTTCTTTATTCCTCCAGGCAGTGGGACAGAGTCTCAGACAACTACAGGTAAGGTCTCCTCAGTGGGCCTTAAAGGCCTGTCCCAGCCACAAGGAAGGAGGGGCTCCTTCAGGGCAGAAGCCCAGGACTGCCCGAGGTCAGGACCTGGAGGGCTCTAAGCCCCTGGCCTGGGGCTCAGGCCAACTCGCTTCCCCAGGGTTTCAGCCTTGCCCTGTGCAATAGGGAAGACAGCCCCTTTGCAGGAGGCCTAACTCACCCTGGGGGCCCCAGCACTTCTCCAGGCAGAAGGTCCTTAGGAGTCTACAAGGGACCTAGAGAGGGGTCACAGACCTTTGGGAGGCTAGATGCTGGGTACCCCTGGACTCCTCCCTGGGAAACCCTGCCAGAGGAAACTGAAAAGGGAAGGGGGAGGCCAGGCTGTGGGGCTTGGAGGAAGGGGGGCTAGGTGGGCACACCCTCCACTGCTCTGAGCTGCTCCTTCTGCCGCTAGGCCCTGGAGCTGCAGTGTCCTTGGCCACAGAGGAGAAAAAGGACCCGCCTTCCAGTAAGTAAGAATGTGCCCCTTGGGGTGCCCAGCACCCGGGGGGGAGGGGGCCTAGAAAAGAAGAGAAGGCATATCAGGACTGGGTGAAGGGGGGCTAAGCCAGCCCCCTTCCTGCACTCCTCCAAGGGCCCCCTGACCTTGCCGGGGCAGCCCAGGAGAATTACTTTTTGCTTGCGGGATGGTTTTCACGGCCCTCCTGCTCCTGGGCCCCAATCTCTTGTGGGCCACGCCCTTTGGGGGTTGTGCTGCCAGCCTCTGAGGCCACCATTCAAAGAAGGGCTCCAACCCTGGCCATAGAACAGCCTCAGCCCAGTGCCTGGCACCCAGGAGATGCTCCGTAAATGTTGATTCTTTCCCCTTCCGGGCCCTTACAAAATGAGAGAGCTGAGGCTGGCTCCATGCGGCTGCCTCCTGCTGCCCTGGGCCAGGACCTCAGCAGCCACAGAATAGCCCTGATGGGCAAGCAAGGTCAACAGATGTAAGGTCCTAAGCTTGGGTTTGAGGCATTTCCTTGGCCAGTACAGAATGGAGGCGGATGGCGGGCTTGGCAGCAGCCCGTGTTCCCCAAAATGTGGACTTTTAGTGCTGGACAGCAAGGAGTCAGCAGGGAGGGATGTGGCAGCTGAGGCATTGAACACCATGTCTGAGCGCATCAGGAGAGGCTTAGCTTCCAGGATAGGGCACGTGAGAGTCCTCTGAGGACCACGCTCTGTTCTGAGTGGCCCCCTGACTGCCTGGGACAGGCACCCAGGCAAATCAGTCTAGTGAGAATAGCTAAGGAGCTGGGAGGCGCTGACCCTGGAGAAGAAAAGGTGATGGGGGAGCAAGCCCACTGTCTGCAAGTCTTTAAAGGGTCATCACACAGAAGCTCCAGGGACATACTTGTTCTGGTGACTGCCAAATCCCAGAGGACCCCCAGGAGAAGTTCCAAGAAGGAACTTTCTGATTGGGAGGGAGGGAGCTCTCTATCACTGGACGTGTTCAAGGAAAAGCCAGGATTCCTGCACAGGTCTCTTGAGGACCCTCCCAACTCTGGGCTTCTCCAGGCCAAGGGCCTTTCCTGCTCTCGCCTTCCTCGTCTGGGTGCCAGATGCCCAGTAAGATGACCTCTGACCTGCTCTTCTTCCCCCCCCCAGCCCTGAACAAAGGCTGGTGCTCAACATGGGGTGGGGGACACTTCTCCACCTTCGACAAACATCTCTACGACTTTTCTGGGACATGCAACTACATCTTAGCTGCTGTCTGCAATGACGCCTCCCCCGACTTTGACATCCAGCTGCGGAGGGGCCACGACAAGAAAATCACCAGGATCATCATTGAAGTGGGGCCCTCTGTCATCACTGTGGAGAACTCAGTCATCTCCACTAAGGATGCGGGGTAAGCTCTGCTGCTGGCAGCCAGGTGGCCGAGGCCAGAGCCAAGGCTCCAGCTCTCTCAGCTAGGGAGTCCCCAGGGGACTCATGCCCAGGTTGCCCAAGAGCCAGGAGAGGAGAAGGGCAGGATCCCAGGGTGGGGGAAGATGAGGTTTGGGCAGAGCAGAAGAGAATGCTGGCTTCCGAGGGGGTGGGGCGGGGCCAGAGGACAGCAGGCCCGGAGGCGTTGCTGGGGGCTCAGCCCCAATCTCATGGTCCCTCAGTGCAGACCAGAATACAGGGGAAAGACAGACCTTGAAGACCAAGGTTGGCAGCAGGGAGTGAGAATCACTTGTGGAAAGTGCCTGGTCACAAGCCCTGACTCCCCCACTCCTTCCCTGTGTGACCTTGGGCCCATCAGACACCTCGGGGCTCCAGACCTCAGCTTCCATGCTGGTGAAATGACCTCTCAGCCCCTGCAGGCTGACATTCTGTTTGCCAAGATCCCTCACTGGCTCATGGCTAGGCAGCAGGGGGAGAGAGCACAGGGGCCCGCCCTCAGGGAGGGAGGAGGGGCAGTCAGGCTGAAGGCTGAGGGCTGCTCTCTTCCAGGGTGGTCAGCCTGCCCTACACCAGCAATGGAATCCAGATTATGCCCTTTGGGCAGAATTTGCGGCTGGTGGCAAAACTCCTAGAGATGGAGCTGGTGGTGATGTGGAATGATGATGATTATCTCATGGTAAGGCCTGGCCTGGAACAACGGGTCCAGGGGCTTCCTTGGAAAACTTCCAGGTGGGGGCCACTCACTGCCAGGCTCTCCTTCCCTCCAGGTCATGGTTGAGGCAAAATACATGAAAAAGACCTGCGGATTGTGTGGGAATTTTGACAGTGAAGAAAGTAATGAGTTTCAGAGCAAAGATGGTGAGGAATTGACTTGGCACTGAGCCCCCACCTATCTCCCCTCCCCCTCCTTCTTCCCCGTCCCCTGCCCCTGTCATGGGCCCATGGAAGGTGAGGCCTCTAGCTCCCAAGCAGAACTGGCCCCAGGCAGGCCCCCAAGAGAGACCCTGGGCTCCTCCTGCCTGGAAAGTGTAGGCCACCCTCCAGCAAAGCGGAAGGGATCCTTGGAAAGGGCTCCAGCTAGGGTCTGGGCTCAGCTGATGGCCCTCTTCCTGGCCCTGGATCTGCTCCGCCTGCCCAGCACTGTCCCTAGCTCTCCCATCACAAGGACATGGCCCTAGCTCTCACCTGTTCTGCTGTCACCCCTTCTTTCTCCTGGGTCTCTCTGTCACTGGGCTTGCCCTCTCTGACCCACCTTCCCTATGGACACCAAAATCAGCTTCCTAAAGCCCAGCTGACCACATTTCCCCCCCACGATTCACTGGTCACTTGCCGTGGTCTCAAGAATGAGACTCAAGCTCAGCCCTGACATTGCCCATTGCAGGCTCCCTTCCATCACTCCCACAGAAAACTAGGGAGCCAGACACACCCACTCGCTGCTCCCCGGACTTGCCCCGCCCCGCCCCCACCTCTCTGCTTGCGTGTTGCCCTTCCCCCATGCCCGGGCTCACTCCTGTCTCCCTCCTGCCTCTTGGGCCCCCGGTGCCTGGAGCAGCTCGAATGGCCAGTCTGTATTTACCTGTCACCCTGGGCCAGGAGAATGCAAGCTCCTTGAGGGCAGGGACTTGGTTCTCTTTTGGTCTTTGTGCTCCATAGTAAATGGTCTTTGAGTTCAATCGTCCCTGGGGAGGTGGGGCTCGGGCGCCCTAGCGGAGGCACTGGCAATCCGTGCCCAGCTGTGATGCACTCTGCCCCCTCCCTGCCAGGCAAGTTTCTGGAACCATATGAATATGCAGCCCTGCAGAAACTAGATGATCCCACAGAGATCTGTACCTACGAGGAGCTGCCCACGGCCACCAGGAAGCCCAGCAATCATGTACGTGAGGAAGGCTTGGTGACGCTGTGGGGGGGGGGGCCCGCACATGTGCCCATACGCCCACTCACACATGCACACACATATATTCACACTCATACATTCACATTCACAATACACATATTCACACACATATACACTCACAAATACATATTCATACACATTCACACTCATATACTCACATTCTCACACACACACACACTTCTGCGGTCAGCCCTTCTCTCACCCTGAGTGTCCCACCCCTTCCTAGCAGGTTCTTCCAGCACAGATTCCAAAGCCCTCAGGCACCAGCAGAAAGAGAGCTCACACCCTTGGGCCCTAGCCCAAGCTATGACTACTTTACTCTGCCCTCAATAAAAAGAAGCCTTGGGCTGATCTCAGTGCAGGGGCTGAGTTGGAGTGAGGCCCCATAAAGCCACTGGCCACTCAGCTCCATGCCCTTGCCCCATTAAAGAGCCTGCAGTCAGACAGGTCTGGGGCCACCCAGATCAACAACAGGGGAGTTATCTGAAAAAGATCTGAAATCAGGCATGAGTGGGCCGTGATCTGCCCTGGCATCCCTTGAAGTCCAGAGAGCTCATTCAGTCACAGACTGAGAGGGTCTAGGACTGAGGGGAGGGTGTGAGACGCTGCTCATCTCTGCCCTGGACAGAGCATGTCCAGAGGACTGGGTTCACCTCTGGGCACCAGCCACGGTTTAGAGGAGACATGAGCCAGGAACGTCCAGAGGACAACTAGGCCAGCGAACATCCTGGGGTCCATGTCGTAGGAGACAAGGGAAGGCTTAGGGAATGAAAGCTATCTGGAGCAGAGAGGAGCCTTACCCTAATGGCCCCCAGGACAGAAGCAAGTGCCAGGAAGGGGAATGATAGAAAGGAAAGACAATTTGAGGTGACAAATCAAGATTACAGAGGCACAGATCCAGTCAGCTCACCGGGAGAAGCTGGGCTGCCTCAGGGCAGAGCGAGTTCCCCGTCACTGGGGGTCTCCAAGAACAGACTGGCTGTTCCCTGCTTGGCTATAGCAGAGACATTGTTGTTGGCACTGGCCTGGCGGCCCCTGCAGCCCCTTTCGTGACTTTGTGCCTTCCTCCAGACTGCCCCCACTCTAATACTCCTAATGTGCCCAGACAGATTCTCCTCCACCCCCATCCCCACTGCCTCAATGCCCCAAGGCAGGCTCCTGCCCAGAGGTCTATCCCTGTCCTGAGTGCTGAAGCACTCCAACCTGTTCCACCCATCAGACCTCTCTGTTTGCTCACCTGTGGAAGGGATTGTGGGCCTGGGGCTATCCCCGAGCCTCCCTAGCTCCCATGGCCCCCAGTTGGATCTTAGGACCCTCAGAAAGCTGGGGCAGCCTCATGAGTTTGACCCCCAACTCCGTCCCTGCACAGACCCAGCTCTGTCTCCAGCTGCTGACCCAGGTGGGCCCCAACTGCAATGTGTCCAAGGACGCCTTTGCTATCCGCTGCCAGCTGGACCTGGAGGCCTGTCAGGAGCCGGCCCAGACCAACTGCAGCTGTCCTACGCTGTCTGAGTACTCTCGGCAATGCTCCATGAGTGGCCAGCAGGTCACCGAATGGAGGAGGCCAAACTTCTGCTGTGAGTGCCCGGGAGGAGCTGGGGGCTCCCCGGGCCTGTTCAATAGACAGTGGCAGGAGCCCAGGGGCCCCCAGAAATCTTCTCCCCACCCCGGCCACCACCTGGGATTGCAGCCTCCCCCCAAAAAAATTGTAGCCTCCCTCCCCTCTGGATTGCAGCCCCCACCCTAGATTACAGCCTCCCCACCCCCCACCCCAGGACCCCTTCCCAGGATTGCAGTCTCTCCCCGCCCCCACCCTGGCTAGCGCCTGGGGGTCTTGGTGGTGGGACAACCAGGAGGCCAGGGGCCCAGGATAAAAGTTTGAACCAGTCAGGAAGGGTAAGAAGGCTCAGTGATATGGCCTCTATGGTCACTTCTCTGAGACTGTTTCCTCTCCTGAGAAATACCATGATTGTTTCTCCAAGGAGAGTATTTTGCAGACAGATGAGGCAGAGGAAAGATCACTGAGCTTGGAATGGGAGGACCAGGGCTCCAGTCCCAGCCGATGCTTAGGATTTGTGGGGCCTTGGGGTCCTCTGCAGGGCCTAGGACTCCACCCACGGTCCCAGACAGAGCCTGTGATAAGAAAACCCTCAGGTCCCGGGGCCTTCCCTTGGTTAGAGGTTCCTCCCTGGGCATCCCTTACTGGTCTACAGCTGGGGGGTGAAGTCCCATTCACTGGGCGTGGGCAGGGGCCAGGGCTGACAGTGCAGCCAGGACCTAGATCTGCCCTGCAACGAGCTCACAATCTAGTGCAGAGAAGGAATAAAGCTAGGTGACTCAAGGCAGAAAGGGAGACAGGAGAAGGGGCCTGGCATGTCTGCTGGCTCCTCTCCTCACTGCTGGCTTCTCCTGGGCATGTGGCCTTAGCGCTAGGGGAGTGTCCTGACAACCAGGTCTACAAGGAATGTGGGATGCCCTGCATAAAGACATGCTCCAACCCAGCACACAGCTGCCCCAGCTTCTGCACCTTTGGCTGCTTCTGCCCTGAAGGTAAACTGAGGCCCGGAGCCCCTGTGGGAAACACCAGAGGGGCTGGTGGAACTGGAGAAGATGGCCAGTAGGGGTCCCCCCACATCATCCTGCTATGGAGAGGGGGCCCTGCCTCCCAGCCCCCACCAGAGCACCCCCTTCCAGCCCCAGCAGGGCTCTCCTTGACTTCCCGAGGGAGGCCTAGTCATCTCTGAGGAGCCAAGTTTTCTTTCAGCTCTAAAATTCAGACTCTTCCTGTCACCACAGGCATGGTGCTCGATGACATCTCCAAGAACCAAAGCTGTGTCCCCATTGAGCAGTGTCCTTGCATGTTTAACCGAGCCATCTACGCCCCTGGAGAAGTTATGAAAACCTCCTGCAGGACCTGGTGGGTCCCTGGGTGGGGAGTGGGGTTGTGGAGGGCCAGAGAGATCTGCCCCAGGAGGTTCGGAGGTGGCTATAGGGCACAGTGGCAGGGGGCAGCTTGTAACAGCACAGAAGCCTCCTCCCCTGCCCCGGAGCTCTCTAAGCAGATGCTGGAGGTCCTGGGTCAGGTCTGCGCTGGACTGGAGGCTGCTGAGGACCCTTCTAGCCCCAGGAGTCTGGGAACCACCCAGACAACCCCAGATCCCACCCCCAATAGTCTGGCTCTGCAGATAGAACCTCCCAGGACCTGAGAATGACCAAGGACTCTATGACTTGGTGGGATACAAGTGAGCGGGCTGTCCTCATTCCTGGGGTGACCTGGCTCAGGACTAGTCTAGAAAGTCAGAAATGGAGAGCCCTGCTCCCTTCCACACACATGCATGCCTCAGCCTCACCCCTACAGCCCGGGGGAGGCACACCTCAGAGTTCCTAGACTCTGGGGGCTCCTCAGATCGGCCAGAGCCTAAAAGCCTAGCCTGGGTGAGGTACAGCAGGCCCCCCTCACCAGAGCTGTGTGCTTGACAGTCAGTGCACCTCTGGCCAGTGGGTCTGCACGGAGCTGCCATGTCCAGGCCGATGCTCCCTAGAGGGAGGGTCTTTCATCACCACTTTTGACTCCCGGCCATACCGCTTCCACGGGACCTGCACCTACATCCTAGTCAAGGTAGGAGCGGGGCCCCTCTGCCAGGGAGCCCTCAATCACCTGGCCGCCATTCCTTGAGTCCCTCTCCCAGTTATGGGCCAGGCTGGGGGGCTTGTCTGCTACTCTGGAGAATCTCACTCCAGACAGTGACAGCCCTGTGCCAGCTGAGGAGACGGGAGGTTTGCCTGGGGCCCTAGGCCTTCCCTGCACCTGCACCGCCTCCCCCACCCCCCACCAGGAACTCCCAGCCCGACTTCCTCTCGCACCCAGAGCAGCCCTGCTCCCTTTCTGGCTCATTCTTACTCAGGCAGACATGACCATCCCTGGGCCAGGAGAGCTTGGCTTTCTTCATAGGGAGCAAAGGAATCCCCTGCAGATGGTGGTGCTTCAGGCAGCTGGGGGTGGGTCCTTTTTTGAGCGGCCTTGGGAAATCCTGTCTTGTAGATAGCTGAGTTGGCCCCTCGGATAAGATTCCAAAGAGCAGAGACAACAGGATAAAGGTTTCACCCTTACCTCTCCCTGAAACTAGCCGGAGGCTGCCTGGAGGCCCACCCAGCAAGGCCAAGGCCCAGAAAGCTCTGTATCTGGAGCCCAAGGACCTGGCTTCCAGGCCTGGCTCTGGGCCCCGGGGCCCACAGTGTGACCACCGGGGGTCCTTCACAGAAAAGGAGAGTCAGACTAGCTGCCTGCTGGGGTTCCTCCCAGCTCACAAGCTCATCTCGTGTTCCTTGTCAGCTTCCTGGGAAGCTGCCCTCACGTGAATGAATGGCCTTGGACATGGGCCAGCGTTCCCTATGGCAACTGGCGGAACAATCACGCATGTTACCACTGGGGCTGGGACAGGGCCTCACCTCATAGGTGTCAGAGAACAGGGACCAGTGGCCATGAGTTCCCTCTTCTCTCCCACCCTCCCTCCTCCCCTTCCTCCTCCTCTTTGTCCTCCCCCCTCCTCCTCCTCCTCTTCCTCCCCTTCCTCCTTTTCCTCCTCTTTTTTTGTTCCTCCTTCTCTTCCTCTTCTTCCTCCTCTTCCTCATTTTCTTCTTCTTCCTCTTCCTCTTCTTCCTCCTTTTCCTCCTCCTCTTTTTCCTCTTCCTCCTCTTCCTCCTCCTCTTCCTCCTTTTCCTCCTACTCCTCTTCCTCCTCCCTCTCCTCCCCCCACCTCTTCCTCCTCATCTCATATCTCCCCAATGCCTTCTGCCATCATGTCCCATGAAGACATGCCCCTCCCCATTGCCAAGGCCCAGCCCTTCCCTGACCAAGTGATTTCCTTCTGTCCCATTTCCTCCGGCAGACCACCTGCTATGTCATCCCCATTCTCTCACTAATCTTCCGTCCCTCCCTGGCTGCTGGCACAAACATGCCTGTGTCTCTGATTCTTAAAGAGAAAAAACGAAAGCCAAAAAAATGCCACCATGAGCATCTACTCAATTCCTCACTCTTGCTGCCTGCACACATCCAATCAATTGCCAAATCTTGTCGCTTCTGTCACACATGCCTTCTTCTCTCCCCTGGGGCAGACCTACATCCCCTCCTGCCAGGATCACTGCAGTAGCTGCTGGAGGGTCTACCTGCCTCAGTCTCTTCCCTCTCCAGTCCAGCTTCCAGCCAGCCACCAAAGCACATGATGGACCATGTCACCCCAAACTCAGTAACCTCCACTGGCTCCCTTCTGCCCCAGGATCAAATATAAAATACTCTATTTGGCCTTCGAAGCCCTGCAGAACCTCCCCCATGCTCCATTCTCCCACCATATTGGCCAACTAGCTTGGGGTGCACAGCGCCCCATCCCCCACCTCTGAGGCTCTGCCCTGGTTGCCCTGCCTGCTTAGAGCTGCCCTCCCTTCCTTACCACTGTCTCTTAGAATCCAGGCTTCCTCCTGTAAGTCCTTTCCCGTTCCCCCAATTGCTCTGTGCCCTCCCTCCCCAAATGACCCTGTGTTCATCTTCTAGGAGAAATTATGGGGAAATAGTCTCATTCCCTCCCTAACAGACTGTAAGACCCCTGAGGGCAGGACTTGTTGAATTTTGGTCTTCATACCCCCAGAGCTTAGCTGGTGCCGTGCACATAGTAGGCACTTAAATGCTCATTGGTTGGTTGATGGATTGATTTCTAGCAACCACAAAATCCAGTCGGGTCCCAGAGCAGGGTCCCCCTGTCTGGGCACCTTCCAGGGAAGAGTGCGTTAAGGTTGAAACAGGAAGCTGCTGCTCCCCTGGGATGGTCCGTTTCAGGCAGCTGAGAGCTCAGGGGCAGCAGGATTGGAAGGAGGTGGACAGGACCAGACCCTGACTTCCTCTTTACCTGACTGTCTCCTCATCAAAGCTGTCCTTTTCATCTCCCTCCCCCAGAGCACGAGCCTGCCCAACAATGGCACCCTCATGGCTGTGTACGACAAATCCGGCTACTCTCACTCAGAAACTTCGCTCACAGCTGTTATCTACTCATCTGCCAAGGTAAGCTCAGGGCACAGGGCCAAAGCTGGCACTGTTGGGCGGTACTTAGAGATCTCTTCTGGGGAAGACACAGGGACAAGAGGCAAAGCCTACCTTGGTCCTGAAGCAGGCCCTGGGGTGGAAGTAGAGGTGTCTCCAACAAAGTGCGCCTGCCCCAAGATCCACAACAGGAAACATGGGCTGGTGCCTGAGTGTGGAACCAACCTTAGCTTGGGTGTGCCGCCCTTACTTAGGGCCAAGGAAGGATGGTTAGTGTGTGAAAGACTAAGGGTGTGTGTGTGAGAGAGAGAGAGAGAGAGAGACAGAGACAGTGAGACAGAGAGAAAGAGACAGAATGTGACAGAGACAGACAGAGAGACAAGACAGAGACAGAGAGACAAAGCAAGAGAGACAGCAATAGAGACCGAGATAGAGACACATGCAGAGAAAGAGAGAAAGGAAGAGAATGAGTGTGCAGGAGGGAGAAAGAGGGAGAGATGGACAAACAGAGACACAGAGAAAAAGACTGAATGGGTAAGTTAAGAAAAGTAAGAAAATGCATTCTGAGGGCACAGAGGGCACACATCGACTGGAAGCAAATCCCCAGTGATCCCAAAGCCACTGGGTGGTTGTGGCTAGAATTCTCAACTTCACCCTCCCCTGGCCAGCCAGCTCCTCTTAATCTGTTCTACCATCATCCCCTCCCCATTGTATCTCCCCCTCTCCCATCCCATCTCTCTTCCCCCCATTCCATCTCCTTTTCCCCCATTTCATCTCCCCCTCCCCCCTTTCCCTGGACTCTGGCTCCCTCCCTCACCAGGACAAAATCGTGATTTCTCAAGATGAGCTTCTCACAGATGATGGGGACATCAAGTGGCTGCCATACCAAAGAGGTGATGATGAGCCCCTGGTGGGCACCAGCCCCCTGCCTAGGGTTCCCGTGGGACCCCACAGCTGTTCCTGGCTGGCAGGCAGGGCAGAGCCTATGCAGGACAACTCTGAGCCCAATGCCCCCTCCCCAACTGCAGGCACTTTCATGGTCCCTCATTGGTCCCCTGGTCTCTGCTAGGGAATTCAGAGCTGGGAAGGCCCCAGGACAAGCCTGCACTCCAGCAAGTAGAATGATTCCCAGCACTCTGGTCCCACTGCACAGCCTAGAACCTTTCTCACTGGCTCCTAATTGGTGAGAAGGGAGGATAAAGATCCCCGCTGGGCCTGGGGAGCCAAGGACTGTGAGGGAGAGTCAGCTTCCCAGCCAGTGCTGAGGTACCGGAGGCTCAGGACAGTTGCTACAAGTGACATGTTCCCCACCCTGCCACTGGTATGGGGAGTCCCTTTGGAGTCTCCCAGTTCTAGGGAGTCCCAACTGCCTCTGGTGCATCCAGTCCCTGATTCACTGAGACTTCCCCTCCCATGCAGCCAAGCCAGCTGATAGGGAGAGAATGCCTGGGGGTGGCCAGGAGGCCCCAGGGCCGGGCCTGAGTTGGTCACCTTGCAGGTGACATCACAATCTTCAGGCAGACCTCCACCCACCTCCAGATGTCCACCACCTTTGGGCTGGAGCTGGTGGTACAGCTGCGGCCCGTGTTCCAGGTTTACGTGAAAGTCGGCCTCCAGTTTAAGGGCAACACCCAAGGTGAGTGTCCCCTGAAGCCCCAATCACTATGCCCAGGCAGGAGCCCAGCAGAGCTTCAGAGACCCTTCAGTCAATCCTCTGGGTTCATTGCCTCAGTTTACCCAGACAGCCAAGGTCACCCAACTAGTGAGCTTCAGAGGCAGGGTTGGAAGCAGGACTTTCCCACTGCCTGGCCTGGAGCCAAGGCCCCCAGGGGCAAAAGTGGGCCAGTGGGGGAAAGGGGCAGGGAGCAGGCTTGGCTTTCAAGTCCAAAGAGGAATGGGCTGCATGCTGCAGGAGATAAGGAGCTCCCCTTTTCGGAGGGGCTCTGACATGCCTGCCAGCACAGAGAGGCTATGGCATTGTGGCGTCTCCCCAGAGACTTCAGCACCAGTAGCTGAGCCAGGTCACCCAGAACCGGGCCGGACTGCCCCAGGAGTCCAGGGGAGCCAATGAAGCCCAAGTGGACCCCAGACCTGTGCCTAGGCATAAGCTACAAAACCCAGATCTTAGAGGCATGGCTGGCCTTCAAGGATGGTGACCATGATGTCGAGGGGGCTTGAAACTGCTGAATAAGGCCACTGAAAGGGAGAGGGGTGGTTAGCTCAGGAAAGAGAAGCCTGAGGCCAGATGACATTCACATCAAAGCTGTCTTTGAGAGCTGACATCTGGGGAGAGGCTGGACTGCTTCTGCTTACTACTAGATGACAGGACAAGGAGAGGCTCCATAAAGGAAAACAGCCAATTACAGCTATTCAAATGAAACACCTGCCTGGACAGGTAGTGAGCTCCCCATTGGTGCAGGGGTCAAACGGCGGGATGGCCACTTGGCCAGATCTGGGTCTGAGGTCCCTTCTGGCCCCAGCTTCCGAGGCTGCCCACGTGACCTGGATCTCCATGGCTTGGAGACAGGTGTATAGAGAACAGCTGGGTGTCCCAGTCACTGCATTTGTCCTTATTTCTAGGACTTTGTGGAAACTACAACGGAGACACAACGGATGATTTCCTGAGCAGCATGAATATCATTGAGGGCACAGCCTCCCTCTTTGTAGACTCCTGGAGGTCAGGAAACTGCCCCAGTGCCTTGGAGCGGGAGACAGACCCCTGCTCCATGAGCCAGCTAAACAGTGAGTGCCCCAGTGAGGCTCCAGGCCCTGCCCTCGGGCATCCCTGGCACCCCCATGGCAAGCCAGGTCTGGTGCCCACTGTGAGCCACCCCAGGGACCCAGGCCCTTCCTCCAGCCTCCACCCTTAGGCTTTCCCTGGGAAAGACCTCGAGGCCCAGAGCACCTCTGCCCTGGGTCAGTGCCTTCAGACTAGCCGGCATCTGCCTCCTTTCCCTCTGGCTCCACTATCCCCTGGGGCTCCTCTCTTCCCTTGAGACCCACTCCTGCCCATCCCCAGGCCGGCTCTGCCAGCAGCCACCAGCTTCCCATGGCACACCCAGCAGCCAGGCCCCAAGGCCAGCCTGAAACCAGAGGCCCAGCAAGCCCAGGTTGGCAGTGGACCCCGTTTGGCCTTGGGTGCTCCCTGGCGGTCCCTCTAGCCTGAAGCCTCCCCCACACCTGGAGCACATCTAGAGTAGCTTCACCTCACCACCCCTTGGAGCACAGAAGAGGGGGTGGGCATCTTGCCTCATTCATCATGCTGACCATGGCCTTCCCTGTGCTTGCCATCACTCAGAGATGTGTGCAGAGACCCACTGCTCCATGCTGGTGAAGAAAGGGACAGTGTTTGAGGCTTGTCATGCAGTGGTCAACCCAACCCCCTTTTACAAGGTAGTGGCTCTCCCCACACACACATCACATGCATACACATGCATGCACACGCAGGCTATGTGCACACATGCACACCAGTACACACTCAGTATGAGGCTTGACAGATCACCCCTCTCTCCCACACAGTATGTGGGCCTGTGAAGCCCATAGAAATTATTATTATGTTCATTTGGCAAATGAGAACACTGAGGCTCAGGCAGGTCGAAGGCCTCAATCATGGCTAGTTAGCAGTAGGGCTTCTGCCCCTGCTGCCCCTCCCAGATCACACCAACCACTCCCAGGGCCCTACCCCTACCCCCAAAATGCTGGGAATAAGCATCAATAAGCATCCTACTGTGTGCCAGGCACTGTGCCAAGCACTTTACAACAACCCTTTAAAGTAGGCATTATTATTGTTCCTACTTTATGGATGAGAAAACTGAGGCAGACATGGGTTAAGTGACTTTCCCAGGTTCACACAGTTGCTGTGTCTGAGGCTGCATTTGAACCCAGGTCTTTCTCAGTGCTCTGGGCACTGTGGTACTGACCAGCTGCCTCAGTGGGACACTCTGGAATTGTACATTCCAGAGATCCCAGGAGGCATGCCCCTTTACCAGTGTAGAGGACAGCCCCCCATTCCTTAGTGGGCAGTCTCTGAGGCCTCCTGTAGCCCAGCCTTCCTGCAGGTGACCCGGCTATGCTGTGGGTGCCCAGGCTGCTCGCAGGACCCGGTGGCGGCCTTGGGAAGTGCAGGCTCACGTCCCCACAATGCCTGAGGCATGTAGCTCTCATGGGGGCCAGACAGGGAAGGCCCATCAAGCAGGTGAGCAGGGGCAAAGGAGAAGGCGATGGCCTGCACTGACTCGTCCGGACTAATGTCGAGGGAGGGAGCAGAACCCGAGAGCCGAGCAGGCTCACCCCAAGAAGAGGGAGGCAGCCTGCTGAGGGACAGACAGGCTTAGGTGTGGAGCTGCATGCCTACGTGTGTGTATATACACACGCATACACACATGTGTGCATGTATGCATATATACTATGTGCGCCTTTCGTATAGTCATATGGGTGTGTATGTTTGGACACCCCCAATTTGGTTTGCTTGAGCCTACAGCTAGGGGGTGCCATAGGGCATAGAGCACCAGGCCTGGAGTCAGGAAGCCCTGGGTTCTAATCTAGCCTCAGACACTTTCTATCTGTGTGACCGTGGGCAAATCACTTACCCCGTTTGCCTCAGCTGCTCATCTGTACAATGAGCTGGAGAAGGACATGGCAGACCCCACATCTTTGCCCAGAAAACCCCAAACAGGAGCATCAGGAGTCAGACACGACTGAACAGTAAACACCCACCCATATTTGTCACGAGGACTCCATTCTTCTTTTCTTCTTTTCGCAGTGGGGTGGGAGGGGGAGGGGAGATGGGAGGGAATGAAAGCAAAATGCTTGTTAATTGGGGCAGGGGGCAAATTACATTTGAAAACGGTTAAGACATGGACAAACAGGAGAAAAAATCCAAGAGCCGCCGCCCTTGGGTCAGGCTGGCACAGTTCTCGCACTTCACCCGGCACTTCACTCCATGACCACATCTGTGTCCAGCTGGGCAGGAGTCAGTCCCAGAAAGTGCCTGGAGTTGTGCAATGGTCCCTGTTGGCTGAGCCTCCCCCCTCCTGGGGTCCCTGTGGAAGCTGCTTCCCTCTGTTGCCAACACTTCTGCCTTAACACTGACCCCCCCACACACACTCTGCCTCACCCTGACCCTTCCTGCTGTGCTTCCAGAGATGTGTCTACCAGGCCTGCAACTATGAGGAGACCTTCCCCTACATCTGCTCAGCCCTGGGCTCCTACGCCCGCATGTGCGCCTACATGGGGCTCATCCTGACCGACTGGAGAAGTGCTGTGGACAACTGCAGTATGTGTCCCCAGGGAGCCCCCTTGTCTAGGGGAGGGGCCCACCCTCAGCAGCCCTGGTCAGGAGCAGGGGGGAGGTGTCCATCTCCAGGCTGCCCTTGGCCACCCCTTTAGCATAACCCACCAGTGGCCCTGCGTGGCTCAGTAACATTCTGGGGGAAGGGCACACAAGTATTAATTCCCTCCTGGCCTATGCTCACAGCCATCTCCTGCACTGGGAACCAGACCTTCAGTTATGATAGCCAGGCCTGTGACCGCACCTGCCTGTCCCTTGCTGACCACAGCCTCGAATGCCACCCCAGTGACATCCCGGTGGATGGCTGTAACTGCCCAGAAGGCACCTACCTGGACCACAGAAGTGAATGTGTGCGCCAGTCCCAATGCCCCTGTTTCCTGGAAGACCAGAAGTTCATTCTGGCTGACCAGTCCACCATGATCAGTGGAATTCCCTGGTGAGCTCCACAAACCTGTCTGAGGCCTGTTCTCTGAGCATCTGAGGCCCAAGGGAGGTGGGTTGCTCCCCATTTTATGGATGGGGAAACTGAGACACAAGGTCAGTAAGTGATTCGCCCACAGTCCCATCAGTACAAGGGGGCAGCTAGGCCTCCACTTGCTGGTCCAGTGCCAATCAAGCTAGAACTGAGACAATAGGGAGGTCACCTCTCACATGATCTTTCAGTCTGGCTGGGCTGGAAAGTTACTGACCTCAAGTTCAGAGGCAAGAGGATGGATGAAATCTAATCTGTATCCAGAGGGGTCAGCAAAGGGTCTTGCAAAGAGGAAAAAGCAGGACAGCCAAGGAGCCTCAGGGAAAAAGTTTCCCTGAGGAGGCAGCTCATGAGCTGTGAGCCTTGAAGAGATGGTGTGCCAAGCTCCGGGCACAGCAGAGAGAGAGCACAGAGCAGAGACAGGACCCAGGTCCAAAAGGGCGGGCTGGAGTCAGACCTGAAAGGAGGAGGGAGCCACGGGACTCTATGAGCAGGGGAGTGACACAGCTGGACCTGAGTCTGAGCCTCAGTTGGGTCCTACACACACACTCACAGACATACACACAGATATACATAGACACACAGAAACACACACATACACACTCCTATACAGACACACTTATACAAACACACTTACACACATACATACACACACACACAGACACATGAACACAAACACACTCACACACACACACACATGTTCTCCATGACCTCCACCCCCAGGCCACACCGCTCTCTTTTCTCCCCTTATGTATCCCTAAGCCCTTCAGCTGCCCAAAGGCCTGACCACCTCCTCAGTCATCTTCTCCAGTCCCCACTGCTGGCTTATCTCCTCTCCCACCAGGACAGCGAGGAGCTATCCATCTGTGGACAGAGGCTGGGTCTTATTAGCCCAACGGCCAGCAGAGACCATACACTAGTCAGGGGCATTTCAGTGCTCCCCCGCTGTGTGCTGGGTGGCCAGCTCCTGGTCTCTGGAACTGACCACAGAGATGGGACTCGGGAGCTGGACCAGAGACCTACAGAAATAAGAATGGGCACAGGGCCGGCACCAGGGAGAGTGGGGATGGCACCCAGAAGAGGGTCAGAGGCAGGAGCCGGGCAGTTCTACGTGTGAAGAGAGTGCCAGACCTGTAGTCAAGAAGATCTGAATTCAAATCCTGCCTCAGACACTTACTACCTGGGTGACCCTGGGCAAGTCATCTATCATTGTCTTCTTCATCAGTAAAATGGGGCTAACAATAGCTCCCACCTCCCAGGGATGTTCTAAGGATCAGATGAGAGGATATTTGTAAAAAGCACTTAGCACAGTGCAAATAATAACCACTGCATAGATGTTTATCCTCTTCTCTACCCCATCCAGAAAAGTGGTTTGCAAACCTTAAAGCAGTAGAGAAATGTGGGCTCTAATGGGCAACAGTGCTTGCTTGAAAGGGGGCAGTGACAGCAGCAGAAAGAAGAGAGCACACCTCCTGAGCCTTCACTGCTGCCATCTACCTCCTCTCAGCCCCAGGGAAGAGGGACTGGGCGCCGGGCAGGAAAGAGTAGAAGGAGCACTAGGGCTCTGCATGACCTTGGACTGGTCCTTTCCCTTCTCTGGGATGACTGTGTGGCCCTATATGTACAATCAGGGGGTGGGCTCGACAGTCTCTTGGGGTCCTCCTCTTGGGCCACAGACCCCCAAACCCCAGCACTGTGTCAGCCCTAGGCACACACAGGTGGCAAGGAGGGGAAGCAGCAGGGCTGGGGTCAGGGGCCCTGGGTTTAAGGCCTGCTTCTAATGGGTGGGGAGCTGGGGGACTGGGCAAGTCAATCTCCCTCAGTGAGCCCTAGTGTCCTCAGAAATGCTGTGGGATCAAAAGGCTGGGGCCTGGCCGGCCAGCCTCCCTGAGACCAATCAGGGATAGAGGGGCTCTGCTGATCCCTTCCCTCCTCTCTGTCACAGCTACTGCATTAACGGAAGGCTCAGCTGTACAGGCAAACCTCAAAATCTCTCAGGTACGCGGGGAAAGGGCTACAGGGGTGAGTACCCCACAGCTGGCAGCCTGGAGTGAGGGCAGTATCAGAGGAAACTCATCAGCTCTCTTTCTCCTCCCCTTTTTCCCCTCCTCCCCCTGCCTTCACCCTTTTCCCTCTCTTCCCCTCTCTTTCCTCCTCCTCCTCCTCCTTCCCTCTTCTCCTCTCCCATATCCTTCCTTCTCTCCTTCATCTTCCCCCTCTTCCTCCTCCTCTTTCTCTCCTCTCCACTAGAGTCCTGTAAGGCCCCCAAGAAGTACCTGTCCTGTTCTCAGGCTTCAGATAGTAAATATGGTGCTGCTTGTGCTCCCACCTGCCAGATGTTAGCCACTGGGATTGATTGTGTAAGTTCTTTGCTGAGGGGAAAGGGCAGAAGTAGGGAGCCCCACCCCCCGCTCTGGGGGAGGACATCCACTAGCTGTGAGGGGGGTGATTGACCTGGAGATTTAGACCCCAAAGCAAAGCCACACCTTCCCCCAAGGAGCCCCCTATGACCCCACTGGGCCTCGGGGACAGAGAAGGCATCTTGGGGACAGGGGCTACGATCAGCACCAGGCCTGGGGCAAGGGTAGAGAGCTGGGCTGCCCGGAGTTCTGGGGGCAGGCAGGCGGCTGGTTTGGGGGAGGCAGGGAGGGGTTTAAGAAAGCCATGAGAAGCCAGGTCGGCAGCTTGCCCAATGACCGGCAATGATTTAGCCCTGGAAGGGACGCTGCAGCCCATGGAGTCTAGCTGCCTCATTTTACTAGGGAGGGAAATGGGGGCCCAGAGCAGGAGGAGCACCTTAGCTACACAGGCTTAAGAGCTAAGGCTGATATTCAGACTGGGGCCCTCCCTGCCTCCAGGGTCCTAAGCAGGCGCCACCTCTACTGCCTGGCTTTGGATCAGAATGTGGCCTGGTACCCACCCTTGCCTTTCATGGCCCCTCTCTTTGCCACCCCCTCGACCCTGGTTCCATCCTCTCCAGGTGCCCACCAAATGTGAGTCCGGCTGTGTCTGTGCTGGGGGACTCTATGAAAACCTGGATGGGGACTGCGTGTCACCTGACGACTGCCCCTGCGAGTTTGGGGGCCTTTCTTACCAAGGAGGAGCCCAAATTCAAACCGAATGCAAGACGTGGTAAGGAAGCCCCCTTCCCCAGCTTTCCTGGCTGGGTCTGAGGTCCATGTGACATAGCGATACTCAGAACAGGCAAGGTCAGAGGCCTCAGAAAGGCCAGGTCACTTTGACCATCTGCAGGAGGAGAATCAGCACCTTCCAGAGTTTTTATGTGTGTCTGTGTCTGTGTCTGTGGTGGGGGGTGGCTGTGTGTGTGTGTCCATATCTATGTCTGTGTGTATCTGTGTGTGTGTGTTTGGGACCGGGTGGCTGTGTGTGTCCGTGTGTGTATGTTTGTCTGTGTGTGTGTCTATGGTGGGGGGTGGCTGTGTGTGTGTGTGTGTGTGTGTCCATATCTATGTCTGTGTGTATATGTGTCTGCCTGTGTATGTCTGTGTGTATCTGTATCTGTGTATGTGTCTGTGGTGGGGGGTGGCTGTGTGTGTGTGTCCATATCTATGTCTGTGTGTATCTGTGTGTGTGTGTTTGGGACCGGGTGGCTGTGTGTGTCCGTGTGTGTATGTTTGTCTGTGTGTGTGTCTATGGTGGGGGGTGGCTGTGTATGTGTGTGTGTGTGTGTCCATATCTATGTCTGTGTGTATCTGTGTGTGTGTGTGTTTGAGACCGGGTGGCTGTGTGTGTCCATGTGTGTATGTTTGTCTGTGTGTGTGTCTATGGTGGGGGGTGGCTGTGTGTGTGTGTGTGTCCATATCTATGTCTGTGTGTATATGTGTCTGCCTGTGTATGTCTGTGTGTATCTGTATCTGTGTATGTGTCTGTGGTGGGGGGTGGCTGTGTGTGTGTGTCCATATCTATGTCTGTGTGTATCTGTGTCTGCCTGTGTGTGTCTGTGTGTGCCTGTATCTGTGTGTGTGTCTGTGGTGGGGGGTGGCTGTGTGTGTGTGTCCGTATTTGTGTCTGTGTATGACTGTAGCTGTGTGTGTGTGTGTGTGTGTTTGGGACCGGGTGGCTGTGTGTGTCCATGTGTGTCCATGTGTGTATGTGTGTCTGTGTGTGTGTCCATGGTGGGGGGTGGCTGTGTGTGTGTGTGTCCATATCTATGTCTGTGTGTATCTGTGTCTGCTTGTGTGTGTGTGTGTGTGTGTGTCTGTATCTGTGTATGTGTCTGTGGTGGGGGGTGGCTGTGTGTGTATGTTCATATTTGTGTCTGTGTATGACTGTAGCTGTGTGTGTGTCTGTGGTGGGGGGTGGCTGCGTGTGTGTGTCCATATCTATGTCTGTGTGTATCTGTGTCTGCTTGTGTGTGTGTGTGTGTGTGTCTGTATCTGTGTATGTGTCTGTGGTGGGGGGTGGCTGTGTGTGTATGTCCATATTTGTGTCTGTGTATGACTGTAGCTGTGTGTGTGTCTGTGGTGGGGGGTGGCTGCGTGTGTGTGTCCATATCTGGGTCTGTGTGTGTATCTGTGTCTGCGTGTGTGTGTGTGTGCGTTGAGGGGGTGGCTGTGTGTGTGTGTGTGTGTGTCCATATCTGTGTGTGTATCTGTGAAAGACTGAGACACTACAGAGGGACACACCCAACATGAGGGACAGGGCAGCTAGAAAAGCTCCCACCACTATGGGCCACAGGAGGCGATCACTGCCCCAGCCTTCTGCCCTGGATAGACTTCATTGGAGGCCTGGATTCCATGGTTGGAAACTAGGCTTAAGAAGGATGTTTATGAGCCGGATAGTGTCTGGAGGTGGAGCAAGCAGGATAAGGAAGGGCCTCGGACGTGGAGGAGCTTCATCCTGCTTGGTCTTGGAGGGCAGAACCAGGAGGCGTCAGGGGAAGATGCCAGGGGCCAAGTTAGGTGGGCCGTCAGCAAACACTTCCTAACCATGGGAGCTGTCTAGAGCGGGCTTAAGCAGCTCATTCCCCTTGGAGGCAGTCTACAAGCAGAGGCGAGAGGACATTGTCTTGAGACATAGCCCAGGAAATCTCACTCTGGTGTGGGCTCAGAGCTGGAAGAGGGCTTAGAGGTCATTTAGTGTACAGTCCTCGTTTTACAGATGAAAAAACTGAGGCCTAGAGAGGGAAAGGGATTCCCCCAGTTACACAACTAGCAAGTGGTCATGCCAGGCATTGGACCCCACATCCCCTGACCCCAAACCCAATGCTCTTTCCACTGTACCAAGATGGCGCCTTCAATGGCCTTTGGCCTCCCAGGGAGATGGCTGCAGGCTGCCTCAGCCCCTCTCAGCCCCCTGGCCCACTGCCCAGAGAATTGGCTCCTGAATGACCCTGGTTGGGATCTGGCCTCAAGTTGGGGGGTACAGGCTGAGGGGGCTCTTGCTCCGGTTCTATCCCAAGTCCCTTGCATTGGGCAGCCCCAAAGGGTTCACATGCCCTCCTCTGACCTTGCTCTATGGGACAGCAGATGCCGTCCCCAAGGGAACTGGGAAAGCCTCAGAAGCCAGGCTTCATAGGCACAGAGCATCCCACTGACCACTCTCTTCTCCCCACCTCCTCATCCCCCCATCTAGCACCTGCGTGCGAGGAAAATGGGAATGTTTGAAGAAAGACGAGTGCTCCTCCACTTGCGCCCTCTATGGGGAGGGCCACCTGACCACCTTCGATGGGCAGCGTTTTGTGTTTGATGGCAACTGCGAATACGTCCTGACCACGGTGAGCCAATCACCAAGGGGTGTACAGCTATGGAGCAGGGCCATCCCCAGCCCTAGGCATATCCAGGCACCCCTGCAGGAGGCCAGCATCTCTGCCTCAGAGGTGCCTGTGAACCCCTGCAGGAGGCTGGCATCTCTGTGGCTCTCATACACTCTAATTGCTGGTGTCCTTGATGGCAGGAGAGGAGCCTTCCCGCAGGCCTCTGCTGTGCTTACACAAACTTTTCCTCTCCCTCAGGATGGTTGTAGTGCCAACAACTCTCATCCCACCTTCAAGATTGTGACAGAGAATGTCATCTGCGGGAACTCAGGGGTCACCTGCTCTCGGGCCATCAAACTCTTTCTTGGGGTGAGAAGCCAGACTGGTAGGGGGCGGGGAGGGGCCTCAGGCCTTCAGGTTCATTCTCCTGTTCTCACTCTCTCCGTGTCTCTGTTTCACTCTCCTCTCTCTGTCTCTTTGTCTCTCTCTATTTCTCTCTTCTCTCTGCCTCTCTGCCTCTCAGTTTCTGTCTCTTTCTATCTCTGTCTCTCTCTGTCTCTCTTTTTTCTCTTCTCTTCTCTCTGTCTCTCTGTGTCTCTCTCTCCCTCCCCTTCCCTCCCCTCCCCTCCTCTCTCCCTCCTTTCCCTTCTCTTCTCTTCCTCCCACTCCTACTTCTTTCCCTGCTTCCTTCAAGACTGCCAGAACCTGGCCCTCAGGGCTACCAAGTCCTGTGTCTTTGCCTTCTCTCTCAGAAACACTCAGAAACACCTGGCCTGGGAGCCTGGGACTGAACCTCCAAGTCTTTGCCCCCACAGCAGGCAGGACCTCCCCACCTTAGGGCCCTGGGAGCCCAAACTGTCTAAGTGACAGGCTAGAGCCATCCTATGGAGGCCCACAATGAGGGCCGAGGCCGCAGGAGCTCAGGGTGGTTCGGGCTGTACCCATGACCTCCACATGGAGTTGTATCCAGAAGGCCCCAGCTCCCCAGGACAGCTGCTCTTATCCTCAGCGCTCCTGACCCCTCCCTACAACCACTAATGGCCCTCCATCAGCAACCTCCTGGGCTTCTCTCAGGTCCACACCTCCCTGTCCAAATCTGCGCGGCTGCCATCTGCGGTCGCCTGGTCACTCTAGCCCCCCCCACACACACACAAGTTTCATAGAAGTCGCCTGGCCCAGGGTCGCCCAGTGGGGGAAAGTGGTCTCCATGCCTGAGCTTCTAGGTTCTCAGGGGCACCCTCCCTGAGGCTCAGAGAGGGGCCAATACGGGGCTTCCTGGCTCAGGCCCCCATGTCCAGGCTGCATGGGGGCCCCAACAAGGACTGCCCCTTCGCAGGAACTTTCCCTTGTGCTGTCAGATGGCACGTACACCACCAGGGGGCAGAACCCCCAGGTACACGTCCAGGTGAAAAAGAATGCTCTGCACCTGATGTTCGACGTCACCATCCCCGGCAAGTTCAACCTGACTCTCATATGGAACAAACGCATGAGCACCTTCATCAAGGTGATCCGGAACTCTCAGGTGAGGCTTGGCCCGGGGTGCCCGGCTCCCTCCTTCCCCTTCCTGGGAGCCCCACGGTGCCACACCTGCCCTGCCCTCTTCGCAGCAGCCTGGGAGCACCGGCAGAGACGCGTTTCCAGCCTGGGGCTCTGGCCACGGTGTCCCTCCCCAGACCCCTACGTTGTGGGATTCACCTGTGGGCCTCCATAATGGGGAGGAGGGGAGTGGGAGGCTTCTCCAGTCTACGTTCTCCGCCATGCTGTGTCTGGCCTGACCTGGGACACCCCCATGTAGAAATTCAACGCTGCTCAGCGCACTGGTTTCAGATACGGCCCCACACTTTTTGCCTGTGACCGCCTCACTTTTCTTGGCAGGGTAGAGAGATGATAGGAAAAAAATCTCCAAGATAAGTCGTGAGCTCTCTCAGCGCCCACTCCCCAGTCAGATTCCGGGACAGCGATAGGGAGCAGAGGCGCGGGGGCAGTGGGGGGAGCAGGGATCACCGAGGCTGAGCGAGGGTGGGGGCGGGGCACAGGTGACCAGCCGGGTCGCGCTCTTCAGGATGCCCTGTGTGGCTTGTGCGGGAATTATAATGGCAACATGAAGGACGACTTTGAGGCTCGCAGCAAATACGTGGCCTCCAGCGAGCTGGAGTTTGTGAACTCCTGGAAGGAGAATCCCCTGTGCGGCGACATCAGCTTCGTGGTGGAGCCTTGCCTCCAGAATCCCTACCGGAAGGCGTGGGCTGAGAAGAAGTGCGCCATCATCAACAGCAACACGTTCTCTGCCTGTCACAGCAAGGTGGGGGGGAAGGGCACGGCGTGCACCTGCGTTATTGTGATTTGTGTATTGTGAGTGCATGCATTGCGTGCATGTGTGTGCATATGCATGCATGTGTGCTTTGTGTGAGTTCTGTGTACTGAATTCGCGCATGTGTGGGCATGTTCTAGTACGTGCACGTGTGCTTGTGTTTGCGTTGGGCATGCACGTGAGCGTTCTGTGCCATGCCTTTGGGGGTGTGCTGTGTACATGTGTGAGTGCATGCATAGGTGTTCTTATGTGTGTATGTGTCGCTTATGTGTGCCAGAGTATACTGGAGGGTAGTGCATGGAGTGGGGTGCATATATCAATTATGAACATACCTACATGTGTGCGTGTGTGTGTGTCAGTGTGGGTATTTGAATCCTGTGCTTGTGAGCGTGCTTTTGAGAAGGCATACGTGCCTGTATGCTTGTGTGGGTAGTCATGTGCTTTTATGTACATGTGTGTGTCTGTTTGGGGCATGTGTATCCACGTGCATCTGTATGTGCATGCATGCGTGTATGTGTGCATGCATTGGGCTTGTGCAAATGTGTGCATGTGTGTGCACTATGTGCTTGACCATTGGAGGTGGGCCTCTGGGACTCTACAAGGTAAACACAGGGAAGCAGGCCCTGGAAGGACAGGCACAGCTGCCTTGAGGCTGCTGCTGCGGAGTACAGGAGGCGGGTCAGGGCGGGGCCTTTACCAGCTTCCCTCAGAACTCAGGCCCATCACTTCATGGGAGCTTCTCTGCTGGTGCCACCCTGCTCAGAGGAGCTTGAGCACAGGGCCTGGGCCTTCCTCCCTCAGCCTCTGAACTCTGACGAGTGATAGGAGGCCTTTGGGGAAGGGCCGTGAGATGGGGGCAGAGAAGGCACCCAAAAGCACACAGGCCCAGAGAACCAGCCCCAGGCAGCCCAAAGCCATCAGGAGTGAAGCCTGAGGGCCCCAGGGTCTTCCCTGTTGGTAGAAACAGGCAAAGCCTGGCACTGCCTTCTGGCCAACCCAAAGGAAGCCTTTGCGGCCAGGCTGCCCTGGGGCCCAGTGGGGTTCAGTCAGGCTGTGCTTAGACCCCCTGGACAAGTGGGGCACAGAGCCCGTGGAACCCCAGGAAAAGCATGCAGGGGAACAGGGGATCCAAGAAAGGGGAGGGACAGGGACAAAACCCTCCCTGTTTCTTCCCTACTCCTTGAAATGGGGGGCTTCCTCCCCAGTGTCCCCCACCCCATGCATATCCCACAGTGTCAGTACAGGGCTCACAGACCCCCCAGGATAAAACACCCCAGACCCCAGGCTCCCCATGTCAGTGCTCTGGGCCCCCCAAACTGGCTCCTTCTCTAGGCCTCAGTCTGGGCCAAGGAAGTTCCTCTCTCCTGTGGGCCACAGGACATGGGTAGCCAAGCCCCCAGACAGAATTGGTCCAGAGAAAGGTCCAGCCAGGCTCTGGCAGGGGTGACTCATCTCCAGCCCAGCTATGGCACAGACCCCTGGGGCCTCCCAGGACCACCCAGGCACTCCCCAGGTCCTACTTTGGCTCCCTGCACTTGGGCCGAGTAGCCTTCGGGGGGGGTCCCAAACCCCTGCTACACATGGGGCCAGAGTACAGCAAGCGGATTGACTCTGAGCCCATCTGGCCAGAGCCTCAGAGCTAAAAGGGGCCAGGGTGGCACCTGGCATCGATCTTGGCCCAACAACAGCTGAGTGGCACTGCTCAGGCAGGGCCAGGCACTGAGGTGCCACTTCTGTGTCTGTAGGTATACCGGATGCCATACTATGACGCCTGTGTGCGTGATACCTGTGGCTGTGACTCCGGAGGGGACTGCGAGTGCACGTGTGATGCCGTGGCAGCTTATGCCAAGGCATGCTTGGATATGGGCATCTGTGTCGACTGGAGGGCTCCAGACTTCTGCCGTAAGGGTTCCACGGCCCACCCCCACCCCTGTCCTTGGACCCTCTGTGTTCTTCTCTTTGCTGCTCCCATTTCAAGGATGTTGGCTTAGGCTGGTTGGGAGATGACTCTTTGAACAAAACAATGTCAAAGCTGGGGAGGGGGGAGGGAGTTGCCCTGACTTTGGGAGGGTAGCTCCTACTCCAGGGGGGCTTCAGGGATTGCCTCTTGGCCTGGGGACTGCTTCTGCAAGACAGGCTGAACCAGAGGCAGCCATGGTCCCGGGCCACATTGCTGGCCGTTTTTATTCTCTGCTGCCTCATCATCCCAAGCAGGGGGCCAGAGTCCTCAGACCATGTTGGGAGAGCCCCATGGAGCACAGAGTGAGCTCTGGTTTCCCTGGGCTATTTCTCCAGGGCCCATCTCCCCAGATATGGAGGGAGCCCAGGTTGCTCAGGGTGGGGAGAGAGCAAAGTCAATCCTGGGAAGTGATCTGTGGCTGAGAGGAGAGGAAGGGCAGGATTGGAGGGCAGAGGAGCTGAGTGTGAATTCTAGCTCTGTCATTTGGGACCCTCTGTGTACCCTGGGACAAGGGCATGTAGCTTTGTCAGGAAGGTAAGCAGGAATGCATGAGATGCTCTCTCCTGGGCCCCTTCTAGTCCTGGAATGAGTTGAGATCCTTTAAGCACCGCCCCCCCCCCCCAAGCTGAGAAGTTCAGCTGCCAGCATGCCCCAGGCTGATGCCTACACACATATCCATCTTGGGGCCCTTCCTCCAGAATTACTGACCCCAATAACTATGTACACAGCACACAAAGTTTCCAAAGGGCTTCATCTGTTATTTCCTGGGGTCTTACAGCCATGGGGGAGAGGAGGCACTGTGGATATTCCCCTTTTACAGACGAGAAACTGAGGCTGAGAAGTGAAGTAGATGTGGGGTCAGCTGCTTCAGCTGAGGCTTATTTGGCTTTTAAAATTCTATTTTATTTTATTCTCAGTTTCAAAGTCTCTCCATCCCATCAGCTGAGAAAGCTATGAGGGGGAAAAAAACATTACAGATGTGTAAATGAACAAAAAATAAATCCCTGCTTTAGTCACATCCACAAAAAATAAGCCTGTCAATTCTCTGAGGAGGGTCATGTCTCTCTCTCCAGCTGGTTACATTGTGTCTATCCGAGTTCCTAGTCTTTCAAAGTTGTTTGTCTTTACAATGTTGATGTTACTGGACACATTGCTGTCCTGGTCCTACTCACTTTCCTCTGCATCAGTTCATACAAGTTTTCTCAGGGTTCTCTGGAACTGTCCTCTTCGCTGTTTCTTATTCTGTCACCTTCATGTACTGTAGCTTGTTCAGCCATACCCCCCTCAATTTCCAAATCCCTGCCATCACAAAAAAAGCTACTAGCAATATTCTTGTACATATGGGTCCTTTCCTCCTTTCTTTGATCTCTTTGGGGCATAGACCTAGTAGCGATATGGCTGGGTCAGACAGAGTATGCATAGTTTAATAACTTTGGGGACATAGTTCCAAATGGCTTTCCTGAATGGCTGGACCACCCAGCTCCACCAAGAAAGCACTAATGTACCTGGGTCCCAACAGCACCTCCAGTATTTGTCCTTTTCATTTTTCCTTTTTGTCAACTTTGCCAATCTGATGCATGTGAGCTGGTAGCCAAGGCAAGATTTGAACTCAGGTCCTCCTGACTCCACAGCCAGCTCTGTAACCACTGTGCCACCTAGCTCCCCCGTCTGTTTCCTGGAAACCCCAGCCACCTCTTCTGTCCTCTGGCTCAGCTCAGGAAGGCAGAGAGATAAGCCACATTCTTTCCTCCCCTCTCCCACCTGCTTCAAGGGTCCATTTCCCACCCCGTCAACCCCAACGCTAGTTCTTCCATTTGGCACCAAACAGAACAAGGCTAGTCCTGGGCTAAATTCCTGTCTCTGCTTCTCAGCCCCCGTGTGCCTTAGGGCACATCCCTTGCCCTCCGGGCTTCCTCAGTTTCCTCATCTGTCTTTCTGCGTCCCAGGCCAGCCCTTTGCCAGCCTCTTGGTGTGAGCTCAGTCAAGGGACTCCTCTGCTGCCAGGAGTTGCCTGAGTGCATTTTGGGCATCAGCTCTACAAGGCTTTGTCCTGGCCTCTGCCAGTAGGGAGCTGGGCATCACATAAGGGCAGAGGCTTCTGGCTGCTGAGTGGAGATGACTTTGTATTTCAGCTCTCTACTGTGACTTTTACAATACCCACAAACTCATCGATGGAGATGGCAGCTACCAGTACACGCAGGAAACCAATTGTACCTGGCATTACCAGCCCTGCCTCTGCCCATTTCAGCCCCAGAGTAACAAATACATCAACATTGAAGGTGACAGCCTGAGCACAGAGACACAGGCACAGTCCCTGAGTTGGGCAGGAAGGGGAGGGAAAAAAGCATTCCTTTAGCACTCCATGTGGGCCAGGCACTGAGCTAAGCAGTCTGCACCTCTGATCTCATAGGGAAAGGGCGTTGGGCCACGGCCCGGTGCTGGCATACTTGGGCTCTGCCATCCCTCAGGCCCAAGGGTGCTCTGGCTCTGCCCAGACATACAAGGTGGCCCGATTAGGGGAGGGAGGTCCTAAGGCTAGAAAGGCTATTCTGGCTGAAGGGTGTCCACATACCACCCATGGGTGCTCCTGTCTCTCAATACTTGGGCCAGAGAACCAGCTCTGTCCTGGGGATCTTGAGATGAGGCCTTGCCCTAAGAGTAGCCCCAGGGGGTAAGACCTGAGCTCAGGGAGCAGCACTGAGAAGGAGGTAGAGAGAAGGGAAGGGGGCAGGGAGGGGAGACAGGGGGGGACGGGAAGGAAAGGAGGGGGAGGGGTGAGGAGGGAGAGGAGGGAGGGGAGGGAGGGGAAAGAAAGGAGGGGAAGGAGGGAGGGGAGACAAGGGAGGGGAGGGAGGAAAGGAGGGTGAGGGGTGAGGAGGGAGGGGAGGGAAAGGAGGGTGAGGAGGGAGGGGAGACAGGGGAGGGGGGAAGGAAAGGAGGGGGAGGGGTGAGGAGGGAGGGGAGGGGAGGGCGGGGAGCCCAGCCACTCTCATGGCTGGCCCCTGAGCACCTTGAGCTTTCTCCTCGCATCAGTGTGGACAGGCTGGGCTCCATTCTCCAGCGCCCAGACAGGGAGGCAGGCCCGTGCTCTCCACCCCCACGCCCAGCTCCAGCAGGCCCTGTGGAGCCACAATAGAGCCCCACACCGCCTCACTCTACACGCCCTATTTCTCCCGCAGGCTGCTATAATTGTACACCGGACCAGTACTTTGACCATGAGGAAGGGCGGTGTGTGCCTTGTTGTAAGTACTCTTCCCATAGACCCTCTGGGTATGCAGCCTCATCCTCAGCTCAGCCCTTGGCCCTGGTCCATCCCTCTGGGCAGGGCTCCTGGAACCCCAGGGGTGGGGGGAGCTCAGCCTCACCCATGAAAGGCATGCAGGGGCAGGGCCAGCTCCTGGGGAGGGGGGGAGGATCCTCTACCCTCAGGGTCAGGCCCCCTTCCCCCTGCAGGCCACCAGTCCAGAATCCTTGCTATCCACAAAGCAGACAGGCCTGGATTTATGGGCACAGGGCTCTCCAAAGAGGCCGTCAAGCAGGTCCCCAGGCTCAAGTTTCATATGGTCCTGTCCTCTCAGCTGCAGGCAAGGCCTTCATCAGGACCCTCTGGGTCTTTTGGAAAGGCTAGCAAGAGACAGAGGCCCCCAGGGTCAGACAGACAGAGGCTTGGCCCATGAGGACATTGGCCCAGGTGGCCCCCAGAGCCACTTGCCATCTGCAGCAGAGGCAGGCCGACAGAGCAAGGCTCCAAATATGGGAGGCTTTTCAAGCACCCCCAAATCAGTCAGCTGTTCCACCCCTGCTTCCCTGCCCAGGCCTTTCCCAAGGTCTCAGATGCCTTGGGCATTTCTAGCTCTGGGCTTCTGCTTCTGCCAGAGAACCTTCCCTGACCTCTCCCTTTAAAACTGCCTCCCCCCAAGAAGCTTTCCAGGATGCCCCTCCCCCGACCCTGCTTCCCTACTCAGACATCCCAGAGCCCTTTGCCAACACCCCTGCCAGGTGCTGATTCCTCCTCCACCATTGCACCTACATTTCCCCACTTTCCCCCATGACCTGGGCAGAGGCTCTGGGTCAGTAATGATGACTTCCCTCTGCCCAGACCTCCACTTCCTGGATCCTTTCATCTAGAGGGAAGGGAGACCATGGGCATCAGGGGGAGGGGAGAGAGAAGGATTAGGGAGGGAGCATTCAAGGGCCCTTTCCCCCAAGCTCCCCTGCTGTCGGAAAGGCTGGGCAAGAGTGGCCCAAATGTGGCCCCCTGAGGGGAGGCCCTGGCCAGCCTGCCGCAGGGATCGAAGGGGAGAACTCGGGCTTGGGGCCTTCTCTCCTGTGACCCACCAATCTTCTGCTTATGTTTCAGCTCAAATACTTCCGACTCCATCAACAGCCACAGCAGGTGACTTGGGCTTCCTTCTCAGCCCTGACCCCTGCCCCGTACTGCCAGGAAGGTCTTCATAGGCCTGGAGCACAGTGAGACTGCTCCTGACACCCCTCCCCACCATGGCCTGTGAAGAAAGAAACCCTGACTAGAAGCAGGAGTGGATATGGTGGGGAGGCAGTCAGTCTGACATAGCACAAGAGCCTGCCAAGAATGGCAGGCTTCCCCTGCCCCGCATGTCAGCCAGCACCGCTGAGGCAGAGAGTGCCATGATAGGGCTGTGGGGGTGGGGAGGAGATGGACAACTCCCAGGGTTGGAGGCAGACAGCAAAGGCTCCTGCTGCCTGACTGGTCCAACGCCTGCTAGGGCTGCCAACCAAGAGGGAAGCCAGAGAGAGGAGAGGGTTTGGGGGAGAGATGCTGATGGAGAAACTGACCAGGTAGGCAGGCAGGCGGAGTAGGGGCCAGAGGTCAGAGCTGGCAGCCTAGGCTTCAAAGTCAAGTCTTTGGGAGAGAGCAAAAGAAAGAAGACGAGAAGGCTGAAGAAGCCTCTGGAAGGGAGTCAGAGGAAGACAGGATAGAAAAGCAAAAAGACAGCATGGGATAGGAGACACAGAAGCCGAGGAAGAAGCTGGCCAGGTCACCGGCCTCCACGACCGTCTTTAAATCTGTGGTCTTGTGAGAGCTTCCAGAGGATGGGTGGTCATGGAAAGGTCTGGGAGAATGAAGACTGAGGCCACAGGACTTGATAGTTAGGACATCACAGGGACCAGCCAGAGGAGCTGAGAGCAGGGTGGTGTTAGTGTGGCACACTCACTGGACATGGGGTCAGAAGAGCTGGCTCAGACACGGAAGACCTGGGCACATGCTCTCATTCCTCCGAGGCTCAGTATGGCAGGCCTCCCAGAGATGCTGAGACACCCAAGAGGGGAGGAATGGGAGTTTCTGTCCTCCTGACCTTCGTCCTTAGTGCCCAGGACCCCTTGATTAGATGCTATCTCCAGCAATCACCCCTGCCCCAGTCAGGTCCTGCCTCCTAGTGAGTCCCTGAAGTTCACCCCTCAAGCAGGCCCAGGAGAGGAGAAGAGGATTACAACACCCAAATGATCTGAGTGGTGGGTGGCTGTGACCCCCGTAGGGCACAGGTAACACCTAAGCTGTTTCCCATTAGGCCCACACTCCAAAACCACGCCTGAGAGCACCAGGGGAACAGAAACCACCACTGTGTTCACCACCAAGCCTCTGTCAAGCTCCGTCCAGACACTCAGCGCATCATCAGGGTTGACCAAGCCAACTGGGACAGTGAGCTCCTCCTCCAGGCTGACCTCGGCTAGCCCAGTCACTTCTCCAGCAAGCCAAAGTGGCCCCCAGTCCTCTGGAAAGACCACCTCAGCAGTCCTCACCAGCACGCAGCCCAGGCTCACAGGTGGTAAACAGCATTCTGCCCTAGGCACTCCTGGTACATGGCAGATCCCAACTTGTCCACCCACCCTGAACACCTCTACACTCAGCCTTTGAGGCTTGTCAACTTCACTGCCCAGGGCAGTGGGGGAAATAAAGGAACTGGTAGCCCCCTCCCCAGCAGGCCAGATAGCACTGTGCCACACGAAGTTTGCTGGAATGGGGGTCTTATAGCCCCTTCTTAGGGTGAACCCCCAGGCCCTGTCCCCCCACCCCTCTGTTCTGGGCCCTGGCTCTGGGCTCCTGAGAAGGTTAGACTACCCCTGAGGGCCCCCGCTTCCAGACAGAGCTGCAGGGGGGACCCAGTCATTGCTCAGGGCCCTGACTTCAGGTCCGCTGCTCTGTGTCTGGCCTTAGTAGAGGGTACTATATGGGACCGTGGGCAGAGCACCAGACTTGGGATCTCAAGAATCCCAGGAATGCCAGTAGGACTAAAATCCCTCCTCAGACAGTAGGTAGCTAGCTGTGCAACTATGGGTGAGGCAATTCATCTTACTCAGCCTCAGTTTCCTCAACTGTAAAATGAGTATAAATTTTACACTACTTCTCTCTGCGGTGTAGTGAGGAGCACTTTGCACACCTCGAGGTGCTCTGAAAACACATGGACTGTTTTGTTCTCGCTCTTATTTCTTATTCCATCAGTGTAGGGAACTCCCGGCTGGAAAACTCCACCAACCAACAGCTCAGCACCTGCTCTGAAAGTGAGAGTGCTAGAGGGTTGTCTGGGCATTGAAAGGGCAGGGGCAGGTCTTGCGCCCAGGTCTCTGCCCAGTGAGATAACATGTGTACAGCACTTTGTAGGCCATAAGGCACTCGAGAATGCTAGCAAGGATTATAATGAACCACTCTCAGGTGAGCTATCGTTATTTTCGGAGGGCTGCTCCTCTCCCCCCTCCCCCACATGCACCTGAGGATAGTGCCGGGAGGGATCCACTGCAGGTGCAGACTACTCTTTGGCCGGTTCTGGGCCTGACCAGCCAGACCTTCCCTCCCAGTCATGCCAGTGCAGCGACCTCGAACCTCCTCACAGAATCTCAGAAGGGCATGGCTGGAAGGGACTTCGAAGACCCTTAGACCAAGCCTAACCTTAGACAAGAATTCCCTCCACAGTAATCAGAAGCAAATACTTCTGAGGAGGGACAGGGTCAAAAGAAAGAATAGAATAGATGGGAGGGCAGCATAGGATGAAGGGAAATCAACATGTCTACTAAGTAAGTGTTTTGCATAACTGCACATGTACAACCTATATTGAGTTGCCTGCCTTTTCAATGAGGGTGGGTGGGGAGGGAGGGAGGGAGAAAATTTGGAACTCAAAGTTTTAAAAACACATGTTTTAAAAAAAATGTTTTCACATGCAACTGGGAAATAAGAAATACAGGAAATGGGGTACAGAAGTCTATTCTGCTCTACATGAAAATAGAAGGGGAAGGGGGAAAGAGAAGGGAGGGGGAGAGATAGAAGAGAAGGCAGACCAGGGGAAGGAGTATTCAGAATGCATGCCATCTTGGGGTGGGGGGAGGGGGGAGAAATTTGGAACTCAAAAACTTGTTGAAGTGAATATTGAAAACTAAAAATAAATTTATATTTAAAAAACAAACAAACAAACAAACAAAAAGAATTCCCTCCACAACAGGGAAGGGCAGCCTCTTCCCTCCCAAAGCAGCCCTCCTCATTTCTCAACAACTCTCACTGCTAGGCCATTTTATCCTGGCATTGAGCCTACATTTTCCCCTTTTCCCCCATTGTTCTTGGTTCTAGGCTCTGGTTTTAAACAGAATAAGTATGAATCCTCCTTCCCAGAAGAGCTCTTTGATTACTAGATGAAAACAATCATGACTCATTACTGTTAGTATCTTTGATGAAATTATTGACTGTTTCTAGGATTTGTTCTTTGTCCTACCCATTCTTTAGCATTAAGTCACCTAGTTTCCAATTAATTTTTAATCCTTGTCTCATGGCCTTTTATTTAATATAATTTTTATTGCATTGTGTTCTATAAAAGATGCATCTAATATTTCTGTGTTTGGAGGTTTTATTGATAGTTTTTGTGAAGGTGCCATACAGAGCCAAGAAATAGGCATATTCCTTTATATTCCTATGCAATAATTTCCTGAGGTCTCTCATATTTAACTTTGCTAAAATTCTATTTGAGTCTTTCACTTCTTTTTTGCTTATGTTTTGGTTAAATTTATCCAGGTCTGAAAGTGTTAAATTGAAGTCTCCCACTTTTATAGTTTTACTGTCTATTTCTCCCTGTAACTCATTTCACTTTTCCTCTAAGTATTTAAATGCCATGCCATTTGATACCTATATGTTTAGTGTTGCTATTCATTAATTGGCCATGGTATCTTTTAGCAGAATATATCTTTTGTGTCTTTTGATTAAGTCTCATTTTTTGCTATTACTTTGTCTAAGATCATGAATGCTAGCCACCCTTGCCTTTTGTTGTTTGTTTGTTTGGCTTCAGCTGAAGAGCAATAGATTTTGCTCCACTCTCTTATTTTTATGTCTATGTGTGTCTTTCTATTTCAAGTGTATTTCTTTCTTTTTTTGTTTGTTTTTGTTTTTGTGCTTTTTATGCCTAGGCAATGGGGTTAAGTGATTTGCCTAGGGTCACACAGCTAGTGAGTGTCAAGTACCTAAGGCCAGTTTTGAACTCAGGTCCTCTTGACTCCAGGGCCGGTGCTCTGTCCACTGCACCACATAGCTGCCCCTCAAGAGTATTTCTTATAAACAACATACTATTGGCTTTTAATTTCTAATCCATCCTGCTATCCTCTTCTGTTTTGTGGGTGAGTTCATCCCATTCATAATCAGCTATGATTGTTAATTGTGTATTCCCTCCTATCTTATTCTCTTATACTTTTCCTTCTCTTTTTTTCTGCCCCATCTTTATGAAGAAAGGGAGAGTGGTGAGAGAGGAGCACCAGTGCTCTTGGTTTGTATAATCTGCTTCTGCCCCTTTTCTCTTTCCTTCACCCAGGTTCATAACCTTTCTTTTCCCTTAAGCCCTTTTCAAAATCATCCCTCCTTAGCATTTGTTTTGCTTAAGACTAACGTCTTCCTTAATCTACTCTTTCTCTTCTTCACCCTTGCCTCTTTTCCCCTTTCTCATTTGTTTAGTCCATTATGACTTCTCACTCATGTTTACCTTTTTATGTTTCTCTTGCCTCCTGTGTTTCTATTTCAAAATTTCTATTTGGTTCTGATCTTTTCATCAGGAATGTTTCAAGTCCTCTATTTCTCTAATGAATCATTTTCCCTATAAAGTTATACTCAGTTTTTGTAAGTAAGGTTTTCTCAGTTCCAAGTCTATATTTTTTGCCTTCTGGGATATAGTTTTCCAAGCTCTCCACTTCTTTATAATTATGGCCATTAAGTCTTGTGGGATCCTGATTCTGGCTCCTCTGTACCTGAAGTATTTTCTTTTTGACCTGAAGTTCTGTATTTGGGGCTATAATATTCTTGGGAGTTTTCATTTAGGGGTTTCTTTTAGATGGTCTCTGAAAGTTAGGCTCTTTTGATTTCTACTTTGCCCTCTAGTTCTAAGAGTTGGGCAATTTTCTTTCATCATTTATTGAAATACCATGCCTAGACTCTTTTTTGGTCCTGGCTTTCAGGTACTCCAGTGATTCTTCAGTTATCTTTCTTTGATCTGTTTTCCAGTTCAGTTGTTTGCTATAAGTTACTTTACATTTTCTATTATTTTTTCAATCTTTTGACTTTGTTTTAATATTCCTTATTGCCTCAGGGAGACTTTGGCTTCTATTTGGCCAATTCTAGTTTTCAGGGAATTTTATTCTTGGGTAAGATTTTGTCCATTTTGTTCCAAAATGTTACTTCTATTTCCAAATCTTCCATCACTCTCAATTCCTTTCCTTTTTTTCTTCTAACACTTTCATTTGGTTTGTAAAATTATTTTTAGCTCTTAAAAAAACTCTTGCTTTATCTCTTCCAAGAATTCTGGTAGGTTTTTCTTAGATGCTTTGCTTGAAAATGTTTTGGAGTCATTCCCTTCTTCTAGGTTTATGTTTTGGGCATTCCTGTCACCCTATATCTTTATGGTGGAATTATTTTTTTATTTGTTTGTTTACTCATTCTTCTAGCTAACTTCCTAACATTAGACTTTCTAGTGAGTTTAGGCTCTGAACACTTCTGGAAGAAATGTCTGAACTGAGCTTTTATCCTTTTGGGTCCTCCTGATGCTTTCTTAAGGTATTTAGTGTGTTATTTCAGAATCTCAAGGACAACTCAGCCTAGTGATCTGCAAGCCTTCAGTGCTCCCAAAATGGTCTGATCCAGGGCAAAGTCTTGTCCCTGCCCTCCTGGTCTGAGCTCAGCCAGTTCTTGACCTGGGTTTGGGTCTGTACAACACTCCTGTTGACTTGACTTTGGTGAAAGATTCCAGTAGACTGTTGATAGATTCACTTGCTATCAACCAGCTGGGAGCTCTACTGGTCTAGAAGGACAGAACTGTAGGCTCCCCTTTGGTCTGGGATTCCTGCCCTGGTTCTTTCTCTGCAGGCTTCAGATTGAGCTAGAAGCTAGGACTGAGACCCTACTCGGTTTCTGGGGTCAGAGCCACACAGATGCTGCTCACTTCTAAACTTTCAGCCCAGGGCCCACAGCCTCTCCTCACCTTGGAATGCTGCCTCAAGACACAGGTGCCTTCCTCAGTCTACCCTGGATCCATGAATTAAATCTCATGCATGACAGAGTGGCCAGTGGACACCTGTTCCCACATCGTTCATGAGATCAGGATCCCACTGTGTGGATCTGGGAGCTCTTCTTGCCCTGATGTACAGACTCAGTGCCCCTTCAGTTCCTGTTCAGTTCCTGCCCACTGGAATGCCCAGCAAACCCCTGGCCATATCCTCTCACCAGTTTCCATGACTTCACTATCTCTTTGTGTTGACCTGGGCTGCAAAAATGACTCTGTGGTTTTCCTTGCCTGGATTTCCCACTCAGAATTCAGTCTGTTTTCTAGTCTATCTTTGTGGAGGACGTGTGGGAGGAGATGGGTCTACTTCTTCCTGCTACTACCCCATCTTGGCTTCACTCTTCACAATCAGGGTTTCTAAGCAAAGGCCAGAAGGGGCAGGGGTGGACCCCAAGCCAAGCTTGCTGGTGCAGTCAGCTAGAGTGATAAGAGCCAATCTCTGCCCCAGGCTTCCAGCAAGCACCTGGGAATTGGACCTCGCCCCGCTTCTCCCCAGCCTTTCCAAAGAACCCTGAGGGAGGCACAGTCATGGTGTCTCCCACATCTTTCAGTGCCCTGGGGATAGAGCATATCAGAGCCTAGGGCTTGACATGAATAAGGAGGGCCATGCTCTCCCCTTGTCTCCCTACCTTAGTTCCCAATTCCCTGTTCACTGCCTTGTCCTGTCCTCAGTTATACCTAAGTATAACAATGAGCAGGCTGCTTTTCTCTCTGCTGCCAGTGATGCTCATCCCATCCTTCCCAGGCAGGTCATTTCTGCTCTTGAACCCTCTTTTCCCCAATATTGCTAGAGAACAAGTACGCAATGTTGGTGGTTGTTGCTTTCTACAGCTGCTTGTGAGCTTCTTGTGTTCATTGCGTGGCTTAGGGATCTGGCATATCCTTACAGGACCTGCACTGGCTCCCATCTTCTGTATGTACCTGAAGAGTCTCAAGTTTGCCAAGGAGCTTCCTTGTGCAGCCATATCTGGCTCTTTAGACAATATCCATTTTCCACCCTCGTCAAAATTCCTTCTCTTCTGTGTCCTGAAAATATCATTCTTGGGGGCATCCCATTGCTCTGGGACTGACTTATCCTGTCTAATTCCCTGTAGTCTCCAATATCTCCCCTCTGAACTCCCTGAAATATGCTCTGCCCAAATCCAAGGGATGGGTCAGAAGGTGCCCATCTTCCTCTCCTCCATCACAAATTCTAGGACCTGAGACTGAGGAAAGGGAGGCTGAGCATAGCCACAGGATTGACCAACCTGGGTTCAATTCCTGCATCTGACACTCATTAATTGGGTTCAAGCCAGTAACCTCTGAGTGATCTTCAGTTTCCTCAGCAGAAAAATTGGGACTGTGCACCTGCCTTTTGATGTTGCCATAACGGTTGCAGGAGGATAACGCATGGCAGGTTCTCTAATCGTTGTTATTGCCCAGGTTCCCGGCAGGGGGTGGGTGGGGGGTGTGAATCTCCTTCAAGCCAAAGACTGAATTGCTGCAGGGACCCCACCCAAAAGGGCCCCATGCTAGGCAGCATCCTGCAAGTGTAAGGAGAGATGTGGCACGTGTAGGAGCCTTGATCATGACTGTGTCTGCGCGTGGACATAGGACACACATCCTCTATGGGTGGAGAGATGGGGGCCCTGAGGACAAGCTTGCTTGAGGAGTTTGGGACCTTGTACACAAGGCAGTGAGGAAGCATGTTGAGGAAAGAGGAGCTGGAGTGATAGGCCACGGGGGAATGCCAGGCAGGTATCCCCCTGGAATTGAGGGTATGCACTTAGGAAGAACAGGGGGAAAGGCTCAGCCATGCCAACTGCATCAAGAAGGCAACAGCAGTAGTATGGCCATACTCTAACTGGTCCTTGGTTCCCACAGCAACTCCTTGGGGCACAACCACCAACACCATCACAGCGGCAGTCACCTCCTCAGTTCTCCCTGAAACCCCTGCCACCTTCCCACTGGCCTCCACCATGACAAGCTCCCCAGTCACACAAGCCACTTCAGAGAGCCCAGGACCCCTCCAAACAACAGCCACACAATCCACAGCTCGATCCACTAGGAGCACCACAACAACCTCAGGGCCATTACTGTGGCCCACGCTGACCACGGCCACATTGGCAGAGACCTCAAGAGGGACAGTGTCTCCGCCACCCTCTGGTGAGTGTATTTTTTACCACCGTCAGCCACTTCCCTGCTAGCCATGGTAACCCACTCCCCTGAAAACTTACCCTAATGAGAACTGGATTGAGGGGCCAGGCGATGCCAACAGTGTAGAGTACCTGGGAGGGTAGGAGAAGAGGAATGGGGGCAGCATCCCTGAGCTCCCCCCAGCCAAATTTGCAGCAGATCTCAGCCAGCAGGCAAAGCCTATGGTCTTCCTGGTTCTGGATGGTTCCTCTGGAGTTAGCCCAGGCTCCCTCTATCCCCCAAATGTCATTAGGGCATTTCCAGCTCACTCTGTTCAATAGACAGTTATGAAGGAGGGGAGCTGCTGAGTGCAGAGCCCTGTGGTCAGTGCTTGGGGTCAATGGCATGACCCACAATCAGTACATCGGACAGTCCCTGAGCCAGACCTGGGCATAGAGATGAAAAAGGGGGAGGGGCTAGCTATACCAAAGTAAGACAAGCTGTGAACATGGAGAGAGCTCTGAGTTCTGCTAGTAAGGTACAGATCTGGGCCTGAGGGCAAAGATTTTATCTGGATCTACTTCATTATCCAGAAAATTAGAGAGGTTAGAAAAGATGACCCGCCAGGTCCCAATCAGCCAAGAAGGCTGAGAGGGGAAAGCCACCTTCTCCATGCGAATGGAGAGCCCCAGCTCCTGAGTTACCTGCAAAAGCTGCCTGGAGGGGGCGATATATGGCACACCATAGAGGAGGGTGATTTATCCACTGGGGAAGAAGGTCAGGACTGGGCCACTGTAGGGCTCAGGATTCACACCGTGTCCCTTCAGAGACTCCAACCTCTGTGAATATGGAAGCCAGGACCAAGGACAGAGGCACTGGTTAGGGTCTCCTAATGAGACAAGCAGCCTCCACTTGAGGCCCAAAGAACATAGGGGCTGGAAGACTGAAGGGACAACGGGAGGGGAAATGAAATTTGGCTCTCATGTCCCCACAGCCACGTCAGTACCCACAGGAACCACAGAAAGCACCACAACAGGCACAGCGAGCAAACCCACACCAACCACAAAAGGCCGGTATAGCAAGACACCAGCGGCATCACTAGTGACCATCATCATGACCCAGTCAGAGTCGCCAAGACCCAGCACAGAGTCAGAGCAGACAACCCATGCAAGGCAAACCCCATCAGCTGTAACTACCACCACCCACTCTGCCACGACACTGAACGAAGCCACTGCCACAGGACACAATACGACCCAACCAACAGGGACACACCCCCAGTATTCCTATACAAAGACAACTTTACCATACACAAGCCCGTATCACAGCACAACTCAGGTCTCCTTTACCAGTCCAACCACAGCCTCAGTCACCACACCAAAACGTACGGCACCCATTTCTGGCTCGGTCACCAGTAGTGAACCCTCCTCTGCTACCACCATTTCCCACGCTGGCACTTTCCATACAATGTCCACCCTTCACCCCACTGTCACATCTCCTCTCACCTTCCACACTGCTGGGATAACATCCCCAGCTCCAACAAAATCCACACACACACAACACAGTACAACGCGTCATCCATCTTCTCCAACGTCCACCACTATCACTCAGACATCAATTACCTCTACAGCTTTTCCACCAACCATGCAGACATCTTCCACCACCATCGTACCCACAGTCACAAGGACCACAGAGTCAACACCAAAAGGGAAACCCACCCTGTTTTCCCATACGACCACAACTTTGCCACACACAGCCCCCTATCAGAGCACAACTCCAGAGTCATCAACAGGTCCTGCCACATCTTCAGTCACCACTCCCAAACACACAACCACTGCACCAATTTCTAACTTGACCACCACTACTGCCGCCTCCTCTACTACAACTATCCCCTACACTGGTTCCATCACTACAATGTCTACCACACCAGCCACTCTCAGCTCTCTGACACCTACTAGTGCTCCTGGCACATTGAGCACGGGTGGGATTAAATACACGACTTCAACACAATCCACTACACCCACCGAACACAGTACACTCCGTCATCCATTTTCACCAACTACTACTAGCCCTGACACAACAATGACCTCTGTAGGTTTTCTACCCAGCATGCACACTTCTTCCACCATACTCACCATACAAACTGAGTCCACACCAACAGGGAAACCCACCCTGTCTTCCCATACAACCACAACTTTCCCACACAAGGGCCCTCATCACAGCACAACTCAACTTTCATCTACAGGTCCTACCACATCCTCAGTCACCACACCAGAATATACCATGGCTCCCATCACCATCAGCACAGATAAGATCACAATACCGCCTAAAACACCAACACAGTACATAACAAGCAGCTATTCATCTTCACCAAGGTCCACCACTAGCCTTCATACAACAGTCATATCCTCAGCTGTCCCACCCAGCATGCACACCTCTTCCACCACACTCACCATACCCACTGTCACAGCAACCACTGAGTCCACACCAAAAGGGGCACCCACCCAATCTTCCTATACAACCAGAACATTACCACAAACAGCTTCCTATCACAGCACAACTCAGGGGTCATCGACAGGTACAACCACATCTTCACTCACAACACCCAAACACACAAGCACTGAAACAATTTCTAACTTGGCCACAACTACTGCCGCCTCCCTGGGTACAACAGTCTCCCACGTTGAAACCATACGCACAACGTCCACCCCTCATCCCACTGTGACATCTCCTCGGACCTTCAGCACTACTGGGATTACATCCACAGCTCAAACACAATTCACTACATTCTCCCCACACAGTACCACCCGTCATCCATCTTCACCAACGTCTACCACTCTGGCTCACACGTCAATGACCTCTCCAGCTTTTCCACCAACCATGGATACATCTTCTACCACCACCATACACACTGAGTCCACACCAACAGGAACACCCACCCAGTTTTCCCATACAACCACAACTTTGCCACACACAGCCCCCTATCACAGCACAACTCCAGAGTCATTTACAGGTCCTACCACATCCTCCGTCACCACTCCCAAACCCACAACCACTGCACCAATTTCTAACTTGACCACCACTACTGCCGCCTCCTCTACTACAACTATCCCCTACACTGGTTCCATCACTACAATGTCTACCACACCAGACACTCTTGCCTCTCTGACACCTACCAGGGCTCCTGGCACACTGAGCTCTAGTGGAATTAAATACGCAACTGCAACACAATCCGCTATACACACACAAGACAATACAACCCATTATCCACCTTCACCAGTGACTACCACTAGCATTCATACAACAGTAAAGTCATCAGCTGTCCCACCCACCTTTCATACCTCTTCCACCCCATTCACCATACCCACTGTCACAGGGACTTCTGAGTCCACACCAAAAGGGAAACCCACCCAGTCTTCCCCTACAACCACAACTTTACCACACACACACCCTCATCAGAGCACAACGCAGGTCTCATCTGCAGGTCCTACCACATCCTCAGTCACCACTCCCAAACACACAACCACTGCACCAATTTCTAACTTCACCACCACTAATGCCGCCTCCTCTACTACAACTATCCGCTACACTGGTTCCATCCATACAAGGTCTACCACACCAGCCACTCTCAGCTCTCTGACACCTACTAGTGCTCCTGGCACATTGAGCTCTAGTGGGATTAAATACACAACTCCAACACAATCCCCTACACACACACAATATGGTACAACCCATCATCCATCTTCACCAGTCACTACTACTAGCCTTCAGACAACTGTAAAGGCATCAGCTGTCCCACCCAACATGCTCAGCTCTTCCACCACACACACCATACACACTGAGTCCACACCAACACAAACACCCACCCTGTCTTCCCATACAACCACAACTTTACCCCACACAGGTCCCTATCACAGCACAACTCTCTTCTCATCTATAGGTCCCACCACATCCTCAGTCACCACACCAGAATATACCATGACTCCCATCACCACCAGCACAGATAAGATCACAATACCGCTTAACACACCAACACAACACAGAACAAGCAGCCATCCTTCTTCACCAACGTCCACCACTGTCCCTCACACAACAGTCATATCCTCAGCTGTCCCACCCAGCTTGCACACCTCTTCCACCACACTCACCATACCCACTGTCACAGCAACCACTGAGTCCACACCAAAAGGGGCACCCACCCAATCTTCCTATACAACCAGAACATTACCACAAACAGCCTCCTATCACAGCACAACTCAGGGGTCATCGACAGGTACAACCACATCTTCACTCACAACACCCAAACACACAAGCACTGAAACAATTTCTAACTTGGCCACAACTACTGCCGCCTCCCTGGGTACAACAGTCTCCCACGTTGAAACCATACGCACAACGTCCACCCCTCATCCCACTGTGACATCTCCTCGGACCTTCAGCACTACTGGGATTACATCCACAACTCCAACACAATTGACTACATTCACCCAACACAGCACCACCCGTCATCCGTCTTCACCAACGTCTACCACTCTGGCTCACACGTCAATGACCTCTCCAGCTTTTCCACCAACCATGGACACATCTTCTACCACCACCATACACACTGAGTCCACACCAACAGGAACACCCACCCAGTTTTCCCATACAACCACAACTTTGCCACACACAGCCCCCTATCACAACACAACTCCAGAGTCATCTACAAGTCCTTCCACATCCTCAGTCACCACTCCCAAACACACAACCACTGCACCCATGTCCAGCTTGGTCATCACTACTGCCACCTCCTCTGCTACAACGATCCCCCACACTGGTTCCATCCATACAATGTCTACCACGCCAGCCACTCTCAGCTCTCTGACACCTACTACTGCTCCTGGCTCTAGTGGGATTAAATACACGACTTCAACACAATCTACTACACACACACAACACATTACAATCCATCATCCATCTTCACCAGTGACTACAACTAACCTTCATACAACAGTAACGTCATCAGCTGTCCCACCCAGCTTGCACACCTCTTCTACCATATTCACCATGCCCACTGTCACAGGGACCACTGAGTCCACACCAGAAAGGACACCCACCCAGGCTTCCCATACAACCACAACCTTCCCACACTCAGCCCCCTATCAGAGCCCCACGCAAGAGTCATCTACAGGTCCTACCACATCCTCCCTCACAACACACAAACACACAACCACTACATCCATTTCTAATTTGGCCACCACTACTGCCATCTCCTCGGGTACATCTCTCTCCCACACTGAAACCATACGCACAACGTCCACCCTTCATCCCACTGTGACATCTCCTCTCACCTTCAGCACTGCTGGGATTCCATCCACAGCTCCAACAGAATTCACTACATTCACCCAACACAGTACCAACCGTCATCCATCTTCACCAAAGTCTACCACTATCGCTCACCCATCAATGACCTCTCCAGCTTTTCCAACAACCATGGACACATCTTCTACTACCACCATACACACTGAGTCCACACCAACAGGAACATTCACCCAGTCTTCCCATACAACCACAACTTTGCCACACACATCCCCCTATCAGAGCAGAACTCCAGAATCATCTACAGGTCCTACCATACCGTCAGGCACCACACCCAAACACACAACCACTGCACCCATTTCTAGCTTGGTCATCACTACTGCCACCTCCTCTGCTACAACGAGCCCCCACACTGGTTCCATCACTACAATGTCTACCACACCAGCCACTCTCAGCTCTCTGACACCTACTAGTGCTCCTGGCACATTGAGCACGGGTGGGATTAAATACACGACTTCAACACAATCCACTACACCCACCGAACACAGTACACTCTGTCATCCATTTTCACCAACTACTACTAGCCCTGACACAACAATGACCTCTGTAGGTTTTCTACCCAGCATGCACACTTCTTCCACCATACTCACCATACAAACTGAGTCCACACCAACAGGGAAACCCACCCTGTCTTCCCATACAACCACAACTTTCCCACACAAGGGCCCTCATCACAGCACAACTCAACTTTCATCTACAGGTCCTACCACATCCTCAGTCACCACACCAGAATATACCATGGCTCCCATCACCACCAGCACAGATAAGATCACAATACCGCCTAAAACACCAACACAGTACATAACAAGCAGCTATTCATCTTCACCACGGTCCACCACTATCCTTCATACAACAGTCATATCCTCAGCTGTCCCACCCAGCTTGCACACCTCTTCCACCACACTCACCATACCCACTGTCACAGCAACCACTGAGTCCACACCAAAAGGGGCACCCACCCAATCTTCCTATACAACCAGAACATTACCACAAACAGCCTCCTATCACAGCACAACTCAGGGTCATCGACAGGTACAACCACATCTTCACTCACAACACCCAAACACACAAGCACTGAAACAATTTCTAACTTGGCCACAACTACTGCCGCCTCCCTGGTACAACAGTCTCCCACGTTGAAACCATACGCACAACGTCCACCCTCATCCCACTGTGACATCTCCTCGGACCTTCAGCACTACTGGATTACATCCACAGCTCAAACACAATTCACTACATTCTCCCCACACAGTACCACCCGTCATCCATCTTCACCAACGTCTACCACTCTGGCTCACACGTCAATGACCTCTCCAGCTTTTCCACCAACCATGGACACATCTTCTACCACCACCATACACACTGAGTCCACACCAACAGGAACACCCACCCAGTTTTCCCATACAACCACAACTTTGCCACACACAGCCCCCTATCACAGCACAACTCCAGAGTCATTTACAGGTCCTACCACATCCTCCGTCACCACTCCCAAACCCACAACCACTGCACCAATTTCTAACTTGACCACCACTACTGCCGCCTCCTCTACTACAACTATCCCCTACACTGGTTCCATCACTACAATGTCTACCACACCAGACACTCTTGCCTCTCTGACACCTACCAGGGCTCCTGGCACACTGAGCTCTAGTGGAATTAAATACGCAACTGCAACACAATCCGCATACACACACAAGACAATACAACCCATTATCCACCTTCACCAGTGACTACCACTAGCATTCATACAACAGTAAAGTCATCAGCTGTCCCACCCACCTTTCATACCTCTTCCACCCCATTCACCATACCCACTGTCACAGGACTTCTGAGTCCACACCAAAAGGGAAACCCACCCAGTCTTCCCCTACAACCACAACTTTACCACACACACACCCTCATCAGAGCACAACGCAGGTCTCATCTGCAGGTCCTACCACATCCTCAGTCACCACTCCCAAACACACAACCACTGCACCAATTTCTAACTTCACCACCACTAATGCCGCCTCCTCTACTACAACTATCCGCTACACTGGTTCCATCCATACAAGGTCTACCACACCAGCCACTCTCAGCTCTCTGACACCTACTAGTGCTCCTGGCACATTGAGCTCTAGTGGGATTAAATACACAACTCCAACACAATCCCCTACACACACACAATATGGTACAACCCATCATCCATCTTCACCAGTCACTACTACTAGCCTTCAGACAACTGTAAAGGCATCAGCTGTCCCACCCAACATGCTCAGCTCTTCCACCACACACACCATACACACTGAGTCCACACCAACACAAACACCCACCCTGTCTTCCCATACAACCACAACTTTACCCCACACAGGTCCCTATCACAGCACAACTCTCTTCTCATCTATAGGTCCCACCACATCCTCAGTCACCACACCAGAATATACCATGACTCCCATCACCACCAGCACAGATAAGATCACAATACCGCTTAACACACCAACACAACACAGAACAAGCAGCCATCCTTCTTCACCAACGTCCACCACTGTCCCTCACACAACAGTCATATCCTCAGCTGTCCCACCCAGCTTGCACACCTCTTCCACCACACTCACCATACCCACTGTCACAGCAACCACTGAGTCCACACCAAAAGGGGCACCCACCCAATCTTCCTATACAACCAGAACATTACCACAAACAGCCTCCTATCACAGCACAACTCAGGGGTCATCGACAGGTACAACCACATCTTCACTCACAACACCCAAACACACAAGCACTGAAACAATTTCTAACTTGGCCACAACTACTGCCGCCTCCCTGGGTACAACAGTCTCCCACGTTGAAACCATGCACACAACGTCCACCCTTCATCCCACTGTGACATCTCCTCAGACCTTCAGCACTGCTAAGATTATATCCACAACTCCAACACAATTGACTACATTCACCCAACACAGCACCACCCGTCATCCGTCTTCACCAACGTCTACCACTCTGGCTCACACGTCAATGACCTCTCCAGCTTTTCCACCAACCATGGACACATCTTCTACCACCACCATACACACTGAGTCCACACCAACAGGAACACCCACCCAGTTTTCCCATACAACCACAACTTTGCCACACACAGCCCCCTATCACAACACAACTCCAGAGTCATCTACAAGTCCTTCCACATCCTCAGTCACCACTCCCAAACACACAACCACTGCACCCATGTCCAGCTTGGTCATCACTACTGCCACCTCCTCTGCTACAACGATCCCCCACACTGGTTCCATCCATACAATGTCTACCACGCCAGCCACTCTCAGCTCTCTGACACCTACTACTGCTCCTGGCTCTAGTGGGATTAAATACACGACTTCAACACAATCTACTACACACACACAACACATTACAATCCATCATCCATCTTCACCAGTGACTACAACTAACCTTCATACAACAGTAACGTCATCAGCTGTCCCACCCAGCTTGCACACCTCTTCTACCATATTCACCATGCCCACTGTCACAGGGACCACTGAGTCCACACCAGAAAGGACACCCACCCAGGCTTCCCATACAACCACAACCTTCCCACACTCAGCCCCCTATCAGAGCCCCACGCAAGAGTCATCTACAGGTCCTACCACATCCTCCCTCACAACACACAAACACACAACCACTACATCCATTTCTAATTTGGCCACCACTACTGCCATCTCCTCGGGTACATCTCTCTCCCACACTGAAACCATACGCACAACGTCCACCCTTCATCCCACTGTGACATCTCCTCTCACCTTCAGCACTGCTGGGATTCCATCCACAGCTCCAACAGAATTCACTACATTCACCCAACACAGTACCAACCGTCATCCATCTTCACCAAAGTCTACCACTATCGCTCACCCATCAATGACCTCTCCAGCTTTTCCAACAACCATGGACACATCTTCTACTACCACCATACACACTGAGTCCACACCAACAGGAACATTCACCCAGTCTTCCCATACAACCACAACTTTGCCACACACATCCCCCTATCAGAGCAGAACTCCAGAATCATCTACAGGTCCTACCATACCGTCAGGCACCACACCCAAACACACAACCACTGCACCCATTTCTAGCTTGGTCATCACTACTGCCACCTCCTCTGCTACAACGACCCCCACACTGGTTCCATCACTACAATGTCTACCACACCAGCCACTCTCAGCTCTCTGACACCTACTAGTGCTCCTGGCACATTGAGCACGGGTGGGATTAAATACACGACTTCAACACAATCCACTACACCCACCGAACACAGTACACTCCGTCATCCATTTTCACCAACTACTACTAGCCCTGACACAACAATGACCTCTGTAGGTTTTCTACCCAGCATGCACACTTCTTCCACCATACTCACCATACAAACTGAGTCCACACCAACAGGGAAACCCACCCTGTCTTCCCATACAACCACAACTTTCCCACACAAGGGCCCTCATCACAGCACAACTCAACTTTCATCTACAGGTCCTACCACATCCTCAGTCACCACACCAGAATATACCATGGCTCCCATCACCACCAGCACAGATAAGATCACAATACCGCCTAAAACACCAACACAGTACATAACAAGCAGCTATTCATCTTCACCACGGTCCACCACTAGCCTTCATACAACAGTCATATCCTCAGCTGTCCCACCCAGCTTGCACACCTCTTCCACCACACTCACCATACCCACTGTCACAGCAACCACTGAGTCCACACCAAAAGGGGCACCCACCCAATCTTCCTATACAACCAGAACATTACCACAAACAGCCTCCTATCACAGCACAACTCAGGGGTCATCGACAGGTACAACCACATCTTCACTCACAACACCCAAACACACAAGCACTGAAACAATTTCTAACTTGGCCACAACTACTGCCGCCTCCCTGGGTACAACAGTCTCCCACGTTGAAACCATACGCACAACGTCCACCCCTCATCCCACTGTGACATCTCCTCGGACCTTCAGCACTACTGGGATTACATCCACAGCTCAAACACAATTCACTACATTCTCCCCACACAGTACCACCCGTCATCCATCTTCACCAACGTCTACCACTCTGGCTCACACGTCAATGACCTCTCCAGCTTTTCCACCAACCATGGACACATCTTCTACCACCACCATACACACTGAGTCCACACCAACAGAACACCCACCCAGTTTTCCCATACAACCACAACTTTGCCACACACAGCCCCCTATCACAGCACAACTCCAGAGTCATTTACAGGTCCTACCACATCCTCCGTCACCACTCCCAAACCCACAACCACTGCACCAATTTCTAACTTGACCACCACTACTGCCGCCTCCTCTACTACAACTATCCCCTACACTGGTTCCATCACTACAATGTCTACCACACCAGACACTCTTGCCTCTCTGACACCTACCAGGGCTCCTGGCACACTGAGCTCTAGTGGAATTAAATACGCAACTGCAACACAATCCGCTATACACACACAAGACAATACAACCCATTATCCACCTTCACCAGTGACTACCACTAGCATTCATACAACAGTAAAGTCATCAGCTGTCCCACCCACCTTTCATACCTCTTCCACCCCATTCACCATACCCACTGTCACAGGGACTTCTGAGTCCACACCAAAAGGGAAACCCACCCAGTCTTCCCCTACAACCACAACTTTACCACACACACACCCTCATCAGAGCACAACGCAGGTCTCATCTGCAGGTCCTACCACATCCTCAGTCACCACTCCCAAAACACACACCACTGCACCAATTTCTAACTTCACCACCACTAATGCCGCCTCCTCTACTACAACTATCCGCTACACTGGTTCCATCCATACAAGGTCTACCACACCAGCCACTCTCAGCTCTCTGACATCTACTAGTGCTCCTGGCACATTGAGCTCTAGTGGGATTAAATACACAACTCCAACACAATCCCCTACACACACACAATACGGTACAACCCATCATCCATCTTCACCAGTCACTACTACTAGCCTTCAGACAACTGTAAAGGCATCAGCTGTCCCACCCAACATGCTCAGCTCTTCCACCACACACACCATGCACACTGAGTCCACACCAACACAAACACCCACCCTGTCTTCCCATACAACCACAACTTTACCCCACACAGGTCCCTATCACAGCACAACTCTCTTCTCATCTATAGGTCCCACCACATCCTCAGTCACCACACAAGAATATACCATGACTCCCATCACCACCAGCACAGATAAGATCACAATACCGCTTAACACACCAACACAACACAGAACAAGCAGCCATCCTTCTTCACCAACGTCCACCACTGTCCCTCACACAACAGTCATACCCTCAGCTGTCCCACCCAGCTTGCACACCTCTTCCACCACACACACCATACCCACTGTCACAGCAACCACTGAGTCCACACCAAAAGGGGCACCCACCCAATCTTCCTATACAACCAGAACATTACCACAAACAGCCTCCTATCACAGCACAACTCAGGGGTCATCGACAGGTACAACCACATCTTCACTCACAACACCCACACACACAAGCACTGAAACAATTTCTAACTTGGCCACAACTGCTGCTGCCTCCTTGGGTACAACTGTCTCCCACATTGAAACCATACGCACAATGTCCACCCTTCATCCCACTGTGACATCTCCTCTCACCTTCAGCACTGCTGAGGTTATATCCACAACTCCAACACAATTCACTACATTCACCCAACACAGTACCACCCGTCATCCGTCTTCACCAATGTCTACCACTCTGGCTCACACATCAATGACCTCTCCAGCTTTTCCACCAACCATGGACACATCTTCTACCACCACCATACACACTGAGTCCACACCAACAGGAACACCCATCCAGTTTTCCCATACAACCACAACTTTGCCACATACATACCCCTATCACAACACAACTCCAGAGTCATTTACAGGTCCTTCCACATCCTCAGTCACCACACCCAAACACACAACCACTGGACCCATGTCCAGCTTGGTCATCACTACTGTCACCTCCTCTGCTACAACGAGCCCCCACACTGGTTCCGTCCATACAATGTCTACCACGCCAGCCACTCTCAGCTCTCTGACACCTACTACTGCTCCTGGCACATTGAGCTCTAGTGGGATTAAATACACAACTCCAACACAATCCCCTACACACACACAATACGGTGCAATCCATCATCCATCTTCACCAGTGACTACCACTAGCCACCACACAACTATGACCCCTCCAGCTTTTAAACCCAGCATGCACACCTCTAGCACCACACTCACTATACACAATGAGTCCACAGAGAGAGGGACACCTGCCCTGTCTTCCCATACAACCACAACTTTTCCACACACAGCCCACCATCACACCACAACTCCAGAGTCATCTACAGGTACTACCACATCCTCAGTCACCAGACCAGAATATACCATGACTCCCATCACCACCAGCACAGATAAGATCACAATACCGCTTAACACGCCAACACAATACATAACAAGCAGCCATCCATCTTCACCAATGTCCACCACTATCCCTCACACAACAGTCATATCATCAGCTGTCCCACCCAGCTTGCACACCTCTTCTACCACACTCACCATGCCCACTGTCACAGGGACCACTGAATCCACACCAAAAGGGATACCCACCCAGTCTTCCCATACAACCACAATCTTACCATACACAGGCCCTCATCAGAGGACAACTCAAGTCTCATCTACAGGTCTAACCACATCTTCAGTCACCACACCCATACAGACAACCACGGCACCCATTTCTGGCTTGGTCACCACTACTGCCACCTCCTCGGGTACAACTATGACCCACACTGAAACCATACATACAATATCCACCCTTCATCCCATTGTCATGTCTCCTCTCACCTTCAGCACTCCTGGGATTTCGTCTACAATTCAAACACAAACCACTGCACACGCACAACACAGTACAACGCATCATCCATCTTCACCAACGTCTACCACTAGCCCCCACACAACACTGACCTCTCCAGCATTTCCACCCAGCATGCACACCTCTTCCACCACACTCACCATTCACACTGAGTCCACACCAACAGGGACACCCACCCTGTCTTCCCATACAACCACAACTTTACCCCACACAGATTCCTATCACAGCACAACTCTCTTCTCATCTAAAGGTCCTACCACATCCTCAGTCACCACACCAGAATATACCATGACTCCCATCACCACCAGCACAGATAAGATCACAATACCGCTTAACACGCCAACACAATACATAACAAGCAGCCATCCATCTTCACCAATGTCCACCACTATCCCTCACACAACAGTCATATCATCAGCTGTCCCACCCAGCTTGCACACCTCTTCTACCACACTCACCATGCCCACTGTCACAGGGACCACTGAATCCACACCAAAAGGGATACCCACCCAGTCTTCCCATACAACCACAACCTTAACATACACAGGCCCTCATCAGAGGACAACTCAAGTCTCATCTACAGGTCTAACCACATCTTCAGTCACCACACCCATACAGACAACCACGGCACCCATTTCTGGCTTGGTCACCACTACTGCCACCTCCTCGGGTACAACTATGACCCACACTGAAACCATACATACAATATCCACCCTTCATCCCATTGTCACGTCTCCTCTCACCTTCAGCACTCCTGGGATTTCGTCTACAACTCAAACACAAACCACTGCACACGCACAACACAGTACAACGCATCATCCATCTTCACCAACGTCTACCACTAGCCCCCACACAACACTGACCTCTCCAGCGTTTTCACCCAGCATGCACACCTCTTCCACCACACTCACCATTCACACTGAGTCCACACCAACAGGGATACCAAACCTTTCTTCCCATACAACCACAACTTTACCCCACACAGGTCCCTATCACAGCACAACTCTCTTCTCATCTATAGGTCCCACCACATCCTCAGTCACCACACCAGAATATACCATGGCTCCCATCACCACCAGCACAGATAAGATCACAATACCGCCTAAAACACCAACACAGTACATAACAAGCAGCTATTCATCTTCACCACGGTCCACCACTAGCCTTCATACAACAGTCATATCCTCAGCTGTCCCACCCAGCTTGCACACCTCTTCCACCACACTCACCATACCCACTGTCACAGCAACCACTGAGTCCACACCAAAAGGGGCACCCACCCAATCTTCCTATACAACCAGAACATTACCACAAACAGCCTCCTATCACAGCACAACTCAGGGGTCATCGACAGGTACAACCACATCTTCACTCACAACACCCACACACACAAGCACTGAAACAATTTCTAACTTGGCCACAACTACTGCCGCCTCCTTGGGTACAACTGTCTCCCACATTGAAACCATACGCACAACGTCCACCCCTCATCCCACTGTGACATCTCCTCGGACCTTCAGCACTGCTGAGATTATATCCACAACTCCAACACAATTGACTACATTCACCCAACACAGCACCACCCGTCATCCATCTTCATCAACGTCTACCACTCTCGCTCACACATCAATGACCTCTCCAGCTTTTCCACCAACCATGGACACATCTTCTACCACCACCATACACACTGAGTCCACACCAAGAGGAACACCCACCCACTTTTCCCATACAACCACAACTTTGCCACACACAGCCCCCTATCACAACACAACTCCAGAGTCATCTACAGGTCCTACCACATCCTCAGTCATGACACCCAAACAGAAAGCCACTGCATCCATTTCTAACTTGGTCTCCACTACTGCCATTCCCGCTGGTACCACAGTCTCCCCCCCTGGCACACTTCATGCAACGTCCATCCTTCATCCCACTCTCACGTCTCCTCTCACCTTCAGCACTGCTGGCATCTCATCCACAGCTCCAACACAATCTATTACACATACACAGCACAGTACAACACATCGTCCGTCTTCATTAACATCTACCAGTGTCCCTCAGACAACTCTGACTTCTCATGCTGTCCCCCTGACTCTGCTCACTTCTTCCACCACACTCACTGTACCCACTTCCTCTGTGGTTCCAAATGCCTCCGTGTCTACTGGGTTTCACACAGCCCCTCCCTCTGGCACAGGCTCTCCAGGTAGCACCCTGTCCTCCTCTTCCTCCCTTCCTAGGTCCACTTCTGCCTCAGCTTCTCCCCCTTACAGCATTCCCAGCGCCCTCACTGTACTTTCCACCACTCTCACCACACCCGTGTCCTCCTTCCCACATTCCTCCCTCACTCCCTCCCTGTCCCAAGGGACAGCTTCCTCACCTCCCTCTTACCCAGCCACCACCTCTCTCTTTACCACCACCATGCCCTCCCCATCTACTCCCTCTGTTTCCAGCATGGTTACACCTCCTTCTGCTTCCATGACACCTGTGGCTGTGTCTACCCTGAGAACTTCCTTCAGCACCCCAGTTCTATCCACTATTTACACGCCGTTTACCACCTCCCAGTCGACTAGGCACACCACACAAGTCTTCACACCAAGCATGGGATCCACCACCCTTGGATCGACACCCTTCTCTTCCCCCACCACAAGCCTGACCTCAGCTTCTGCAGCCCCATTCACAACTGCGACCAACTCCACCCCAGGGCCATACAGCTCAGTCTCCTCCACAGCCAGCACCTTGCCCTCCAGTTCAACTGGTAAGTTCTTGCTTCCTCATGGTAACCTTGGGTTCTTCATCCCCATCAGGTCTCAGCTGCCTTTGAGTCAGGGATGGGAGTGGGGTTTGCATGGAAGGGAAACAGAAGTCCTGTCCTTAGCGAATCCCTAAGCTGTCTTGTGTTTTCCTCTCTTCGTGGTAACTTTGGACCTTCACGCTGCATTGGAATTCTGGCAGAAAACACATTGCCTTCCTGTCTGGGCTGGAAAGCTGTCTGTCACCCCCTCCCAGGACAGCCTGGTTTTCCTCAGACTTGACTTACACCCTTGTAATTTCACTGGCTACCTACCTTGTGGTCATTTCCCTCCATAGTCCAAGCATGGGGGCAGGAAGGGGTGGTCTCTGATCACCTCCTGGCTCTCACTGTACACTTCTGAGCTACCTTTCCTGAACCAGGATGTGTTCTGTCCAGATGCTCATCCCAGGTGCAGCCAGGTGGTACAGTGCATAGAGCACCGACCCTAGAGTCAGCAGGACCTGAGTTCAAATCTGGCATTACTAGCTGTGTGACCCTGGGCAAGTCACTTCACCCCCACTGCCTAGCCAAAACAAACAAACATGCTCATCCCTCAGTGATCTTGGCAAGGCTGCAGAGAATAGGAGAGCTGCCACGGGGCTGGAGAGGGGGAAATGGACCAGGTCTCAAAAAAGGAAGAGAAGGGGGTCAGCAAACGCTAGGTCAGGAGCTAGACTGTGGTTCTTGACAAAATTCTGGAACTATTATTAGAGGGATGGCTCATGACTGGCCAGAAAAGGAAGCAGTGATTTCTAAGGGCATCCTGGCTTCCTCCAGAACAGGTTGCTAACGGCACCTCTTCATCTGGCAGATTACTTGATGAGGGGAGGGATGGAGACACATAGGCATAAGCCCAGACTTAGCCTGAGAGACGGTCTCACTCCAAGATGGAGATCAGAGGCCAAAGGACAGCTCATTGAAAGGACTTTGGGATTGGCTAGGCAGCTGGACCCAAAAAGTCTTCGTGAATGGCTAGTGGGAGGTCTCCAAAGGCAGGACCCAAGCATTTGGGCTTGGCCCTGCACACACTAACAGCTTCATCAGGGACCTAGATAAACTCAGGGATGGTGGCCTTAGCAAAATTTTCAAGTGGAAAAAGAAATTTGGGAGAAATAATAGCTAAGGTCCCAGATGTCAGGAGCCCAATAGATCTGGATAAGTGAATTGGACTGAATGTAATTCAGTGACATTTAAGAGAAATAAATCTAGACGGTGTGTTACCCATAGATCTAAAAAATTCTCCCCAGTATGGGATGGGGACAATCTGGCTCCATAGTAATTTGTCTAAAACAACCTGAGGGTCTCAGACCCTCAAGATGAGCCAGGAGGGCTTCTTTGCTCTTAGGCCACATTAAGGGGGCTGATCAAGGTGGAGCTGTGCCCCACCCTGTCCAGGCTGCACGTGGACTGGTCCTCAGTCCTAGGGGCCACAGGTTAAGAAGGACACTCACCAACTAGTGAGTGTCCAGAGGAAGGCAACCAGCATGGGTGAAGGGCCTTCAGTTCATGCCGAATGGGGATCAGCTGAAGAACTGGGATCTTCAGCCTGGAGAAGCCATCAGCATTTCCAACATAAAAGGGACACCTCTTGGATCCAGCCTTTGTCCTCATCCTGGGGGAGTGGGGGAGATGAGCCTGATAGAAGGCACCCAGCCCAGCCCATCCGCAGGCCTATGTCCCAGGCTCCACACCAGGGGGAAGCCTCGCTTCACTGGACACCATGCTTAGTCTGGAGACCCCTCTGTGTGCATTTGGGGCTAAGGGATAGGAAGCCCGGGCCACAAACAAGAGAAGGGCCTCAGGGGCTTGGGTTCAGATGTTGCTTCCAACTTACTATCTACAACCTTGGGCAAATTCTGGGCCTAGTTCCCAATCTATGAAATGGTAACAAATCACCTTTAGACCACGACTTCACAGGGTGGTCAGGAGAGCCTTCAAGAAGCACAGAGATGAGGTAACCACTCCTTTGGTGACAGAACCAGGGAGAAGCCACCTGCCCACAAATGCTCAGGGGACTGGTCCTGAGCTGGTGTCACAAGAACACCAAGAAGGAGGGTGGTGGGGCTCCCCAGAGACCTTGGGCAGGAGGAGAGGACAGGAGAAGGTGAGCCAGCCTCCTGGTCAGGCCTCAGTGACCCCAGGCTCCTTCTGAGCGCTGTCCAACTCAGAGTCAGTGAGTCTGGGAAAGGACATGGTGCAGGGACAGCCCCAAAACCAGAGGCTTTGTGGTGGGAAGAGATGGGTGTTAGCACTGGAGAAGGAAGGTGAGTCTCTGGGCAAGTACCGGGTTGTCCTGGGTACAGGCTGTTTGTCCTGCCCAGCCAGTGCATGTGTGAGTGTATGTACACACATGCACACAGGTGCAACATAACACACACATGAACACATTATAAACATGTATTGCACATGGCATACAGTGTGTTATACATATGTGCACACATGTACACATGCACACATGCCTGAGAACAGTGCCTCGAACACATGTGCGTTACACAGCAGTGCACATGCCTGCACACATGCCTGCATGCATGTGCATCCCGTACATGCACTGTGCATGCACATGCATATATTACACAACGCACACATGCACATGTGCATGCACGCACAAGTACACATGCCTACGTACATGTGCATCCCATATGTGCACATGTGCATGCACACACATTACACAATGCACACATGCATGCACATACAAGTACACATGCATGTGCACACACACATGAGTAGGCTATCAGACAGTTCTCACAGGGCTTTCCAGGCCCCCTAATTCTCCAGCTACTTTTCATGCTCTCTTGAATCCTCCCCTTCCCTCCAGTAGGCAGCTGCAGTGTGAAAGAATATGTTGAAGAGATCACCTTCCAAGGGTGCACGGCCAATGTCACTCTGACCCGCTGTGAAGGATACTGCCCCTCCTCCACCAGGTGGGCCTCAGAGCACCCCATCCCACCCCTGCCCAGGGCTCCCAATCCAGCTTCCCTTCTCTCTTGGGGGTGGGGGGAGGAATGTTGCATCACCCTTGCTGAGGTCAAGAAGAACTTGTAGCCACCATGGCTTCAAAGTTCCCTCCCAGTGTGGATGAGCAGGGCACCCATCCCTCCACAGTAGGCAGACCTTCACTACCCCACCCCCACAGAACATAGGGAGCTTCCTTCACATGGCCCCAACCTGCTCCTTGTAAAACGGGGGTTTTTAACCTGGGTAGACTTCAGGGTTCATTGGATAGGGTCAAAAACAAGTATTTCCCTTAGCCTCTAACTCAAATTTAGCCTTTCTTCAATGATTTAAACACCTTAATCAGCAAGGGGACCCGTAGATTTCTCCAGACTGTCAGAGGGGTCCATGGCACACCAAGGGTTAAGAATTCCTGCTGTGGAGTGAAAATGGGGGGGGAGGGCGTCAGCCCCAGGCCTACCTCCAGGACACCCATGACCCTGGTGGGAGGATCCCCTTGGAAGCCACGCCCATGCCAGAAACGCCACAGCCACAGACCCTCCCCACCGTCCTGAGCCCAGGCCAGGCTTTGTCAGCTCTCCGCAGGCCTGACCTCTCTTCATTGCTCTGTCCAGACTCAACACAGACACCTTGAAGCCGGAGACCCACTGTGGCTGCTGCTCCCCACTCACCACCTCCGACAAAGACTTCCTGCTGCCATGTCCAGACCCAGGGCGGCCGGGAAGGCGGCTTGTGGTCCAAGTCCAAGTGTTTAGCAGCTGTGTGTGTAACCAGCAGTCCTGTGAAGCCTGAGGACGAGCTCTGCAAAGTGCCGGGAGGCTGAGGGTCCGCCCCGGGAGCCGCGCTCTCTCGCATCCCTAGTTCTCCTGGTAACAAGGCCCGGCCTCACCCGCCACAGTGCAAGAGTGGCGGTGGCTGCGCGGCTTTGGGACTCTGATCCTCCCCCCTGCTGGCCGCCCAAAGATGGGGTCATCCAGGGAGCTGGTCAGCCACCCAGGAGATGTGGCGGCCCCCTCTCTGCCAACCTCCCACGAACCTCGTCACTTCCCGTAAATTGCCCCTACCATCTCGTAACCCTCAGAATGCAGCTGGGCCCTGTAGGCCAAGGACCCTGGAGGAAGGCCCTGAGGCGGGGGCGGGGCCACGGGCTGGAGGCCTAGGTGAGGGTCTGAGGAGGAGGGTCCAAGCCAGCGCCCAGCACCGGGGTGGCCCTGCGATGGCCAGCGCCTCTGCCTTCGGTATTCTAAGGATTCGATGTCAATTTTTTAAATAAAAGATCTTCGCTAGACTTAATAAAGTGAATGGAATCTCTCCCCTCTGGGCAGTGGCTGTTGTCCGTGGCAGGCAGGAGCCCAGGTGGCTGGTGCTGCAGCAACACCTCCGTGGGCCGCCGATTCTTCGGGAGAAATAACAGTGATTATTAAGCCGCTAACATTCATATAGCACCTGCTACGTGCCAGGCACTGTGCTGGTGCTATCATCTCATTGGATGCTTACCACAACCGCAGGAGGGGGGGTGCGGTTACTGTCTCCACTTTACAGACGAAGAAACTGAGGTACAGTGAGTGTCAGAGGTAGGATTCGAACTCAGGTCTTCCTGACTCCTGGTGCTCTAGGCATTGAGCTGCCCATCTTCAGGGACATTTGTGGTGAAACTACCTCAGAGCTGGCCCCTCGTATCCAGACAGAGCAACCACAGTCAGGCAAGATCTTAGAAACCATCAAGCCAGCTAAGTGGTGCAGTGGTTACAGCACCCCTGGAATCAGGAGACCAGTTCAAATCCTGCCTCAGACATTCACTGCTGTGGGACTCTGGGCAATTCACTTCTCTGCCTCAGTTTCCTCATTTGTAAAATGGGGATCATAATCGCACCTGTCGCAGACTTGTGAGGATCCCATGAAAAAATCCCACGTAGCACTTTGCTGGTCAGCCATTTTCAGCCGTGTCTGACTCTCCATGCCCCCATTTGGGGTTTTCTTGGCAAAGATCCTCGAGTGGTTTGCCATGTCCTTCTCCAGATGATTTACAGATGAGGAGACTGAGGCACACAGGGTGAGGTGACTTGCCCAGGGTCACACAGCCAGGAAGTATCTTTCTGACTCAAAGTCCAAAACTGTGCACTGCAGCCCCTTTAGCTGCCGCCTAGCACATAGTAGGCACTCAAATGTTCATTTGGTAATTGACTAGCCCCAGGTAAGACTCAGAACCAGGATCTGAACCCAGACCCTGGTGCCTCCCACCTGAGCATTCTTTCCTTCAGTCTTTTTAGCTGGATTAGCCAAATTGTATGAGGCTGGTCCCTTGGGCCACCCTCTTCTCTCAACTATCCCTGAAGATTCACTCTCAGCATGCCTCCCACAGCCTCGCCCTGTCTCCACCCCACCCCCCAGGCACTCCCAGACTTGGCCAATGGACCCAAAAGGGTCTGGGACCTTGGGGTCTTTTTGAGACCCCCATGTTCAAAGCGCCTCAGCCCAAGGCGTGCCCTCACTGCCCTCCCACACACTGCCCCATACCACTCCCTCCTGCTGGCTCCCACCCTCCTGCTTAGGAACACAGCCAGCTCTCCCCTCCACTTCCTGCCCAACCACTCACTTGTCAGTCTTGGCCTAAACCTAGATTCCACCATCATGGTTCACTGAGATGATTCACTCCCAGGTTACTGACTGATGGATGGCCAAACTACCTTCTCACCCTCTCTGCAGCCTTTGAACACTTCTCACTGCCATCATCCATGTGGGTGTACACCAGGACTCTGTCCTGGGCCTGCTCCTCTCCTCCCCCGTCATCTCAAGCAGATGGCTCCTCGACTGGAACACCTAGCCCACTCCTCTCTGGAGCCCCAATCCCAACAGGATATCCTGTAGGCACACCCCAAACCCTGACCCTGGGCTCTATCGAGAAGAGCACCAGCCTGGCAGCTAACTGTGCCGCCCATCTCAGAATCCCCTTCCATCAGCGGCCACACCCTCCCCTCTGTCCAAACACATGGCCACCACTCCACTCCCAACTCTGGCCAGGACACTTCCCAGCTCAGGCGGCCCCCCTGGGCTCCCTCGTGCCTCTAAACCCTGTCCCAGGTCACAAGGGGGCCTCTTGGCAGTCTGACTCCAGACACAACCTCCAACATGGCCCAGACTGGTCCACACCTAAACCCCCTCCCTCTGCCTCCTCCAGTCCAGATGCCTGAGCCCTCATCCCTCCTGGGTTGTATCTAGCCAGATTTCCTTTTCCCTCTGTACATGGCGGGCCTCAAGTCCCCAGCTTCATCTTGGCATTCCCCAGGGACCAGCCCGCCATGACACCAGGTGGTCAAGCTGGGCCTTTCTGGGGTCCCAGCCGCCACCCCAAGCCCCGAAAGCCACAAGGACTGCGGCAGCCAAGTGCCCATGAAGCCCACCTTCACACAGGGTTGGCCCTTCCTGCCCTTGCCCTGGGAGGCAGAGGGTCTGCAAGGAATTGCGTTGGCAAGAACCAGAGAGACGCTTCGGGTCTGTTCTAGCCATTTATTTCTCTTTTAAAAGATAACACTTTTTCTGATGAATTCACGGGTTTTCAAAATGTCATGATGAGAGTCCTGAGGGTAAAGGGGGCGCTGGGGGGAAGGAGTGGGGGCAGAGACACTAGGCTGAGCTGGTCACTGTCCACGCCAGGTGGGTCCACGTGGCGGGAGCCATCCCACAGCAGCCAGCACAAGGTGAGTCCTGCAGGGCGCTTGGTGCCTTTCACACGGTGATGCCTAAATACTGCATTCTGAACAATAATACTGTTTCCGTGAGCTCAAGGACAGGGCACATCACCGGCAAGGCCAAGGCATCGCGCCGCAACACAAATAATGCTTCTGTGGCTTCAGATGCCTGCGGCTGGGGTTGGGGGGCCACGGGAAGGAAGCAGGGTCACACTTTGGGACACTCGGCTCTGGCCCACCCTCAGCCTTCTTCCCTTCTGCGTCCAGGCCCTGATCACACGAACCAAAGTCACGTGAGCATGAGAGGATGCTCGGGGTCTGCTTGGGGTCTGGGCCGGGGCTCAGCCCATGCTCAGGCTGCACAGTGTGTGCGTGAGCAGGGAAGGGTCCCCCAGTCCTGCCCAGCCCCAGGACCTGGCCCTCCATCCTCAGCTTGCAGTAACCCACCAGTCTGGGTGCTACAGCCCCATCCCGGCACCCCAGGCCCATCGCCCTCCCAAAGGACTGCCAGGGTCTCCACTTCCCTTAACAATTCGGAGAGCGGCATGTTTTGAGGGTTAACATAGGGGCACCTGCTCACCCACCGGGTGCCTCGAACCACGGTTCCTTTCCTCCAAGGAGTCAGAGAAACCACGAGATCCTGAAGGCTGACCCTTGCCCAGCTCACACCCACACACACACTGTAAAAGCTAGTGGCCCAAGGAGGTCACCACAGATGCCCCGGGGCTGCCTGGGACCCCAGCAGCAGGCAGGCAGATGAGACAAACATGGCAGAGAAGCCCCCGGAAAGGTCGCCCCGTCGAGTGGCTGGGGTGGCAAGGGTGGTCACCGCCCTCTCCCCTGTGCGCAGACCCTGACCCCCCCACTGCCCCCAAAACGCTCAGGGTTCTCGTTCACAGCCAAGCTTCTCCTCCTCCGGGGCCTCCGCTCCTGGCAGATGCGAGCGAAGATCCGTCCCGGACAGCGTCCAGCCCGCCGGCACAGGGGCCGAGTCCCTTCCAACACCGCACGTCTGCGCTCCATCTGCTAGACGGACCGCGGGTAGAAGGAGTCCTTGGGCACACGGCAATATTCAGACACTGGGGTACAAGGTATGTTTATTTGCAGGGGGATAATGGAGACAATGAGGAGGAATACACGCACAAACTGCACTATTCTGCACTCCTGTTGGTTAAAACTGCTCCGACAGCAGGTCACACAAGCGCTGGGACACGGTCTCCTTGCTTGTCCGAAGAGTGAGCCGATACATCTGCAAACAAACAGAGGCTGTTGGTCCGGGGGCTGGAGTGGCGCCCTCCAGCGCCCTCCCGTGCCCTCCCGTGCCCTCACCTGGGCCTGCAGGTTGGGCTCCAGGCGCAGCAAGCACCCAATCTGTGCCGTCCTGGTGTGGATGATGCCAGCCCCCACAAAGTTGGCCGGGTTGGGGTCCACCTCCTCCAAGAGAGCAGAGCCGAAGCCTATGATCTGTCCAAGAGAGATGGGAATGATGAAGCACTGTGTGGTACAATGGCAGGGCCTCCCTTGGAGATGCAAGCAGGAGCCCTTTCCCACCGTTCCGGGGGAGGCAGACCCTGGACGTCCGGACAGCTCGGGTACAGCAAGGCCCAAAGCTGGGCCATGGAGAGGAGGCGACCAGACAGCAGCACTCCAGAGGCCCCGGACCACCCTGTAAGCCTGGGGAGAGGGGCGAGACCACCACACATGCCCCTCGGCAGAGCTCGGAGAAAACCTCAGAGGTGCCTGCCTGCTACAGGAACTGCTTCCCCACTTCACAGAGCAGGAGAGTGAGGCTCAGAGTGTCGCAGGCAAGGTCAGAGCCTGGCCTCTTGTGGCCCCCCACACCACACGGGCTCTTACTATCTCTAGTCTGGTACACTTGGGAATTCTGAGATCAAAGTCAAGGAATCACTGGAAATGACGGAAAGAACCCTGGCTCTGGACTTGCACAATGAAGGGGCTGGACCCCAAGGCCTCGATGGGGGTCCCAAGGCCCACATTACCTTGGCCTTGGTGATCTCGGGGTCCATCGGGTGCTTGGCCTTGAAGATGTTCTGCACCTCCTGCTGGGGACTGTGGGAGCGGTGAGTCAGAAAGAGCTGCGAGGCTGCCCGCTGCCACCACCATCTGCCCCGCCCCCCCCCCCCCCACTATGCACAAAGTCCTCACTTGCTCAGCTGTTTCCAGCGCTGGAAGAAATCCTGGGAAGCCATTTCTGTGGGCTGGAAAAACTTGTTCAGTGTGATGGGCAGTTTGACCGACACGTTCTGAAAGGTTCCCCCATACCTGCACACCAGACACATGGGAGAGAATGCAGGTCAGGGGAAAAACCCCAGGCCTACCCTGAAGGATCTGCTGAGCTCCAGGCATCACCTCCCGCCCGAGGGCCCAGCTTGGAAGGGGCAGAGCCAAGGCCTCACATCCAGGCTGCCCCACACACAACAAACATGATAGAACGCTGCCACTGGGTGCTACCCCCAGGCTCCTTAAAGAGAGAAAAGGCCGCAAGGATGCAAGGGGGAGGTGCTTTTCTGAGGGGCTCTGGAAGTGAAGTATTTCCACAGGAATCCAGGGTGATTCTCAAGCCAAGAGCCCATCTCAGCACCATTCTTCTGGACACGAGGAAGCCAGAGAAGGGGCCCGGGGCCAGCCACACAGCCCTGAGCCGCCCTGTCTCCCCTTCCCCTTCATCATAGCTTTCTAGTCGTCTCAAAAAGCCTCCAAACCTGCCTCCGGGAAGGCCCAACTTCGCATCCCTCTTGGCAGAAACAGTTAACAGAACGTGGGGTCATTCATCAGTGGGAAAGCCTCAAAGTGTTCTGAGGACCAACCTCAGGATGCTAAGTCACTAGAAGCCCCAGCAAAGCAAAGCAAGGCGAGACAAAGGGAGGCATGGCGGGGCGCAGCAGGTCGTGGCAAGGCAAAAGGCAAAGCAAGACAAGAAAAAGGGAAGCACAGCGTGGCAGGACGTGGCAGGATGTGGCAAGGCAAAAGGCAAAGCATGATGAGAAAAAGGAAAGCACAGCATGACGTGGCAAGATGTGGCAAGGCAAAAAGCAAAGTGAGGCAAGAAAAAGGGAGGCGTGGTGTGGTGTGGCAGGCCATGGCAAGGCAAAAGGCAAAGCAAGACAAGAAAAAGGGAAGCACAGCGTGGAAGGACGTGGCAAGGCAAAGCATGGCAAGAAAAAGGCACAGCATGACGTGGCAGGATGTGGCAAGGCAAAAAGCAAAGCAAGGCAAGAAAAAGGGAGGCATGGTATGGCAGGCCATGGCAAGGCAAAAGGCAAAGCAAGGTGAGAAAAAGGGAGGCACAGCGTGGCATGGCAGGACAGCGCACAGCAAGAAAAGGGGAGGCACAGCATAACATGGCAGGACGTGGCAAGGCAGAGCACGGCGAGAAAAATCGAGGCACGGCATGGTGTGGTGTGGCAGGATGTGGCACAGCAAGACAAAAGGCAAAGCAAGCCCAGGGGAGAAAGAGCCATGCAGCAGGAGGCCCTCGCTCCGCACACAGCTCCCACGCTGCCCACCCCCAGCACCAGGTGGGGGCAGCACCGACGCCCCAGTCCGACACTCACCTAAACTGAATGTTGAGGACGGGTGCCTCGGTGAAGTCAGAGATGCATTCGATGTTCACCACTTGCTGCACCTGTGCACCCCCGTCCACGGTCGGGTCCACCGGCTTGGTCTGCAGGTTCAGATGTGCGAGCAGGTTAAGGAGCCCAGCTCGTGTGCAAAGTCATGAGTTGGACCACCCCCCACCGCACCACCTTGCAAAAGGTGACTGACAGACCACCTATGTCGGTGACCGGACCACCTGGCGGAGCCCTAGCCCTCAGGGTGCCCCTAAACAGACAAGCTGAGCGCTCATGCCAGAAGGGAGGGCTTAAAAAGGGCGCCCTGGCCACCCAGGGCTGGCTGGGTTTGCCCACCGGTCTCTCTCTTTGGATGCCGTGCTCGCTGTCAAGAAGAGCTTAGGAGGCAAAGTAACCCTGGTCCCTAATTACACAGTCAGGTGGAAGGGGAAAGCGTGTCTAGGAGACAGCCCTGAAGAGACTCCCAAAAAGGGGAAAAAAGAGATGAATGTAGGCAAACAAGGAATTCACCGAGATTTCTGAATAAGCAAGATGGGAAGGCAGAAGCTCTTTCTGCTTGTCTCTGGAACCCTGTCACAGCCGCCCGCATACACCAAGTGTTTAATAGGCGTTTGCCGAATTAAACCAAGCCGAAGCTGAGGCTCGGCACAAAAGTGCATCCATAGCTCTCAGATGGCATGCGGTCTACCCTACAAGTATGTCAGGAATGCCGCTGCGGGGGGGGGGGGTGCAGGCAGGACAGCAATGACAGAGGCTTCCGTTTCGTTTCTGTTGTCTCTCCCACGCAACTGTAAGCTCCTGGGGGGCAGGGGCTGCCTCCTTTTGTATCTCTGATACTTAGCACAGTGCATGGCACAGAGCAGGCGCTTAATAAATATTGACTGACTGGTCTGAGACCACCAAAGACTGACCATCAGGGGAAGAGGGAGCCCTAAGAAAGCCCAAGCCACCCCGGGTGGGCCCAGGGCCAGCAGCAGACGTCCTCCCCTCCAGATCACAGGCTCCACCCCAACCTTCAGAGAAGACGAGATGAGGGCACGTGGCAGGGAGCCCAGGGGAGGCAGGGCCATAGGCACAGCCTTCCACCAAGGGCTTCCAAGGTTCCTTCCTGCTACTGAAGAGAGGAGGATGGGAGAGGGCCCCTCAATCCATGCATGCAGCGTGACACCCCCCCCCGGAGCTGGCGCTGTACCCAGGGGCTTGCCTGCAGCTCCGCTCGGGCCCCAGGCTTCCCACCTCCGTTCTGGATCCCTCACGCCCTCCCCAGGAACCCCATTCCTTCACAAGGAGAGCCCCATAGACATTGTCTTTAACATGATGTAGGAAGGTCTCTCCTCGAAGTGACACCGCTGGCCTCATCCTACCTTTGGAGGTAGGAGCATCCCTCGGGGTGTTGGTGCAGGACCAAATCCCTCAGGGCAAACACAAGAATCAAAGGAAGAGACTCAATGAAACAGGCCAAGGGCCAGGCCCCACAGGCCACAGAGCGGGATGGGCAGAAGAGGAAGAGGACCGCCGGCAGGTGAGGCCACGCTTCCCAGGGACCCAAGCGCTCCCTGGCACGTACCAGGCACGTGTGCCGCCAGACACAGTGGCACCATCACAGAAGAGCTGGGCCTGAAGAGGACGCAGGGAATGAGGACAGAAAGAGCCCCTGAGGAGCCGCAGCAGCTCCGGAGGAAAGACTCCTACCTGATGGGAGGGCACGGACCAGAACTGCCTCAGAGAAGGGCTGAGGGGCTTGTGCTCATGCAGCCCCTCGGGGAGGCAGCTCGCGGTCAGACACGAGGGCTCCTCGTCCTCACTACACCTCTTCTTGTACCCATCCCACAAAGGGGTCAGCAGAAGCCAGGCGGGGCATCGGCCACAAACCTCCCAGAAACCCAACACTAGGCGACGGGTGACCAGTGAGGCAGGAGGCAAGGATATTGGACTGAAGGTCATCGGAACAGATTAGTGTCGGGGTAAAGGTTAAGAACTGCGTGGAAGTCTTGTTACCATAAAATATAAACATGCGACCTAGGAAAGAAGAGAAGAAACACATTTTCACTCCTCGGTCCGGGCCCTCCAACAGCAGTGGGGCACAGACCCCGACTCCCTGCCAGAGGGAGACAGCAACCCTGCGAGAGAGCACAGGGGCGCGGCCAGTGGAAAGAGACCCTCCAGCGGCCCGGAGGAGAAACTCACCCAGGTTCTGGCGGAATTCTGACTTCAGGCCGATCTGCAACAGCTGGTTCTCAAACAGCACTCCGTTGTTCTTACAGACGAACCTGGGGAGAAAGGGACACCCGCAGGCTGGGGGGCTACTCGTGGCAGGGGCCGAAGGCCTTGCAGAGCAGGAAGAGGCCTCCCCTTGAGCGGGAGCACAGCACCGCCCAGAGCCACGCAGAGCCAGACACTGCATCGCTGGCCTCTCCTGTGCTCCGGGGGCTGGGCTTGAACCACACTGGGGCCTCTCTGAGCTGCAGGGAACAAGCGCAGAGGCCTCCTAAAGTCAAGGGCAAAGTCTGGGGAGAAAAGCCCCCTAGGGACAGCGCCCGGAGTCACTGGAGGCGTCTGGCTTCTCTCTCAGGGGCCGAGAGGCAGGTCCTGGGGAGGCAGGGGAGGGGAGAGAGAAGTAAAGGAGGGGGGAGAATGAGGAAGAAGAGGAGCAGCCGGGGCTCTCCCCCACAGCACCCAGGCGCTGCAGCGGGAGCCAGGCCAAGGACGATGTGCGGAGCGCCGAGGGAAGGGTTGCTTACTTGTGCGTCAGCTCGTCGGCACCACGCGCCGTCTCGGCGGGTTCCTCGGAAACTAGCTCAGATGAAGCCAGGTCAGGACTAAGTCAAGCAGCGTGAAAAGGAGACAGAGAAGGGGCGGCACAGAGACGTGAGAGTCAAGGTTAGTACAGACAGAGCTGAGCAAGGAAGGGGCCGGACCACAGGCAGGACAAGGCCACGGGCTGGGGGTCAACCAACCCTGTACCGAAGAGAAGGAAATGCCCCAGCCTGGAGATGGCCTCCACTCAGCACAGCCACGGCTGCCAGGGACACCGAGACCTGTGTGTGGGCACTCATTCACACCGAGTGCTGGGATCAAGAAAGCAGCCCCTCCCCCAGCTCGCCCACACGGACAAAGGCCTCCCCACTGTTTGCGGCCCGCCTGCCAAGGTCAAACAAGGTCACAGGTGGATGGGGTCAAAGACCAAGGTACTCTGGAGGTCTGGGCAGTCCCCGCTGGAGGGAGAGCTCCTCCCAGAAGATCTGGGCAAAATGTGCTGGAGAGATCTCCCAGCAGTGGGTCAGCTGGACCACTTTAAATGTTCAGGGTGGCTCAGCACCAGAAAGGGATTTCACAAGCCCTCTGAAAAGCAGTGGGAGCATGCTTTTTTTTGGGTGGGGGGGGTCATGCTGACAGAGAAAAGGGAAAGAGAGAGAGCTTACAAGCAAAAGGAGGCAGACGCAGGGGATTGTGGGGAGAACGAGGAGGCCCAGCAGGAAAGAAGAGCCCAGACAAGATCAGCAGCAAGGGGGAAGGAGGCAGCTACCCAACCAAGTCCGAAATGGAGCGGCCAGGAGCTTCCCAAGATGCACCTCCCTGATGCCCAGCCCTGCCCCGAAGGACCAGAAGGGCCGGTCATCAATAAGGACCTCTGCCCAGGCTGCAGCCAGAGAGAGGGAAGGCCACGGCCACAGATCCGCCCCAAGCATGACCGCCTCACTAAGCCAGGAGCACAGCACGGGGTAGACCCTGGGCGGCAGCTTGCCGAGCAGGCAGAACGCATGCTGCCCTCAGTCCCCAGGTGAATGAGGCTGGGGCACACGGCTGGACAGACGGCCCTCTTTGCGGTTCCGTTCGAGATGCCACAAACATTCCAACTACCTTGCAAAGTTCTCTTGTGAGCCAGGAGCGAGCTGAGTCACTGCCGAGGCAGGCTCTGAAAACACGTCCACTAGCAAGCTGCCGCTGGAGGCCGGAGGGGATGCTGCATTGGTCGGGGGGCCAGTGCCCAGACCCAGGAGGTCTGCAGATGGAGAAGGAGTGGACTGCAAGAGAAACAATGGGGGGAGAGGGTGAAGGCGGCCCATCCACACAGACCACACCTGCCCACCTGCCACCCTCTCCCAACGTGGGCTCTCCCAAAGCAGCCGGGTACTGCATCAGTGGCAAACCTATGAGGAAAGCCTTCCCGCTGTTACAAGCAGGGGTGTTAATGATCACTCTTCCAGACATGTCCTGCTCAGCCAAGCACATCATCTACAGCACGAAGCCTGCGAGGATGGAGCAGGCCACTGGCCGGAGCGATGGGCCTGATGCTTTGGCTCTTTATCTGCCAGACCAGACAGCGTTCTCTCCCCTCACCTGAGGCAGGAACGAGACAGAGCAAGGAACCATGCCCTGGGGAGAGAGCAGAACATCCCAACCCAGGGTTTTGCACAGAAAAGCCTCCCCTAGGTATCTGCTCTTGAAAAATGAATGGCCTTTGGTAAGTAAATACAATGAAAAATCCCTAAAAAAACCCAAAAAACTCCATGCTGGCAGATAACTCTCAGATTCGTACAGCACTTGGTTTTGCTTTGCTGTTTTCATTTAGTATTTACTTAAATTTTGAGTTGCAGACCCTCTCCCTCCCTTCCACCTCTTCCCACCTACTGCAAAGACCAGCAAAATGATGTCAATTATACATGGGAAATCACGTAAAACATATTTCCATATTGAAAAAAGCAAGAAAAATAAAAGAGAAAATTATACTTCAATCTGCACTCAGAATTCCTCAGTTCTCTCACTGAAGGTGGGTGGACTTTTTCATCATTTGGAACTGGCTTGGTTCATTGTATTGATCCAGGCAGCCAAGTGTTTCCCAGCTGATCATCAGGACAACATTGCTGTCACCATGCCCAATGACCTCCCAGGTCTTCTCACTTCACTTTGCATCCACTCATATAGGTCTCGCCATTTCTTCTGAAACTTCCCCTTTGTCACTGCTTACAGCACAATAGTATTCCATTACGTTCATATAGCACAACTTTCAGCCACTCCCCAACGGATGGGCATCCCCTCAATTTCCAATTCTTTGTCACCACCAGAAGAGCTGTTATCAATATTTTTGTACATAAATGTCTGTTTTCCTTTTTCTTTGATCCTTTGGGACTGCTAGGTCAGAGAGTATGGACAGTTCAATTGCCCTCTGGGCAATAATTCCAAATTGTTCTCCAGAATGGTTGGACCAATTCACTACTCTACCAACAGTGTTGTAGTGTACCTATTTTTCTCTCGTCCCCTCTAGCATTTGTCATTTCTGGTAGGTGTGAGGTGGTACCTCAGCTGTTTTGATTTACATTTCTCTAATCAATAGTGATTTAGAGACCCTGAGCAAGTCACTTAACCTCATTGCCTAGGCCCCCCCCCCAAAAAAATTGTAATTTAGAGCATTTTTTCATATGACTACAGATAGCTTTGATTTTTTCATCTGAAAATTGCCTGTTCATATCCTTTGGTCATTTATCAATTGGGGAAAGGCTCTTATTCTTATACATCTGACACAGTTCTATACTTGGTCTATATTTGAGAAATGAGGTCTTTTATCAAAGAAACTTGTTGTAAAAAAAACTGATATTACTTCATTATCTATGGTAGCTTTTAGCATAGTGTAGTTTCCCTGACTACCTCTTTCCATTAGGCCTGTTTTTGCTTTTGCTTTGTCTGAGATCACGACTGCTGCCCCTGCTTTTTTTTCACTTCAGCTGAAGCATATTAGATTCTGCTCCAGCCCTTTATTTTACCTCCATTTCAAGTGCCTCTTGTAAACAAGATATTGTTGGATTCTGGATTGTGATCCATTCCAGTCTCTGCTTCTGTTTTATGGGTGAGCTCATCCCATCCACATTCACAGTTAGGATTCCTAACTGTGTACTTGCCTCCATCCTATTTTCTTCTGTTTATCCTTTTCTTTCTCTCTTTTTGTCCTGGCCCTCCTCAAAAGTCTATTTTACTTCTAACCACTGCCTCCTTTAATCCTCATTCCCCTTTATCTTCTTCATCTCCTTTCTCTTCTCCCCTTCCCCTCCTATTTCCCCATTGGGCTAATGTGCGCTTGTCTAAAAGACCATCTTCTGGAGAACACACAAGGCAGGCACTCACATGGCGGTCAAAAAAGGTGATACAAGGACACTCTCCACAGTCTCTGTCAGAACTCTGGAATCGACTCTGTGACATGGGAGACGCTGGCATGGGACTGCCCAGCGCAGCATGCCCTCATCAGAGAAGGTGCTGTGCTCCATAAGCACAGCAGGACTGAAGCAGCTCAAAAGAAAAGCGAGACATGCAGATTTGAAGAATCCAGACTATTTGCTGAGCCACAGGCAGTCACCCTTGGACCTTGACTCCAGTGTAGTGACGTCGCTCTGGTCTTCTTTGAGAATGAAGGACAATCACCAGCACACACACTGTGTGTGGACAGTCTTCCCTTTTCGAACCGATTCCAACAAGTGAGGTTCAAGCACAACCAGCTACCACGGCCTCGCAGCCTCCTCTCCACTGGAAAACCTTCTCTGCGAGAAAGTCTTCCCCATTCTACCTCTCCCTTCCCTCTTCTCCCAGTGCATCCTTCTTTCACACCCCTTCGGGTTTTTTTAAGAGATTATGCCAACATAATCAACTCACACTCCTGTCTTCTGTCTGTGTAAATGCCTTCTAACTGATGCCCTAATAATGAGGAAGTTCTTAGGAGTTACAAATATCTTCCTATGCAGGAAAGGAAACAGTTTAAATTTATTGAGTCCCTCATGATTTCTCTTACATATTTCCTTTTCACACTTCTCTCCCTTTTTTTGTTCTTTAGTGAGGTAATCAGGGTTAAGTGACTTGCCCAGAGTCACACAGCTAGTGAGTGTTACGTGTCTAAGGCTGGATTTGAACTCAAGTCCTCCTGACTCCAGGGCCAGTGCTCTATCCACTGCTCCACCTAGCTGCCCCTTTACACTTCTCTTGAGCCTTGTGTTTAAATGTCAGATTTTCCAGTCAGCTATGGATCTTTTCATCAGAAATGCTTGAAAGTCTTCTATGTAATTAAATTTCCATTTTTCCTCCTGAAGAATTATACTCAGTTTTGCTGGGTAGGTGATTCTTGGTTGCAATCCTAGCACCTTTGTCCTCCAGAATATCATATTCCAAGTCTTCCACTTTTTTAACATGGAAACCGCTAAATACTATGTGAATCCTAAATCCTGTGGCTCTATGATATTTGAATTCTTTCTGGCAGAATTTGGCAATAATATTCCTGGGAGTTTTCACTTTGGGTCCTTTTTCAGGAGGTGATTGGCAGATTCTGTCAATATCAATTTTACCCTCTGGATCTAAGATATCACGGCAATTTTCCTGTATAACTTCTTGAAATATGATGTCTAAGCTCTTTTTTTTGATCATGGCTTTCAGGTCGTCCAAAAATTTTTTAATTATCTCTCCTCAATCTATTTTCTAGGTCAGCCATTTTTCCAGTAGAATATTTCATATTTTCTATTTTTTCATTCTTCTGATATCGTTTTATTGTTTCTTAATGTCTCATGGAATCATTAGCTTCCACCTTCTCAATTCTGATTTTTTTTTTTAGGCAATTGGGGTTAAGTGACTTGCCCAAAGTCACACAGCTAGTAAGTGTCAAGTGTTTGGTCTGAGGCCAGATTTATACTCAGGTCCTCCTGACTTCAGGGCCAGTGCTCTATTCACTGTGCCATCTAGCTGCCTCCCCATCCCATTCTAATTTTTAAGGAATTATTTTCTTCAGTGAGATTTTGTACCTCCTTTTCCATTTAGCCAATTCTACTTTTTTCAAGAGTTCTTTTCAGAGATTTTTTTTAGCCCTTTTTTCCCCCCAAACTTTTGGGGCCAATTCTGGTTTTTAAGGTATTGTTTTCTTCAGTATTTTTTGGTGCCTCTTTTACCAAGCTATTAATTTTCCTTTCATAATTTTCTTGCATCACTCATTTCTTTTCCCAGTTTTTCCTCTACCAACTTTTATCTCTTTCTTTACTTCTTCCAGGAATTCTTGTTGGGCTTGGGTCCAATTAGCATTTTTCTTCGAGTCTTTCTGGTAGCTGTTTTCACATTGTTATCTTCTTCTGAATGTATGTCTTGGTCTTCCCTGCCCCCGCAGTAGCATTTTACGGTCAACTTCCTGGTTGTTGCTGTCATTGCTGCTGCTCGCTCATTTTTCCAGCCTACTTCCCAACTTTGAACTTCATGTTAAAGTTGGACTCTGCTCCCCTGGGGATGAGGAGCTCCATCCCAAGCTTCAGGCTGCTGTTTTTTGGCAGATGAACCAGCCTCAGGGCTCAGAGTCTCAGCTCCCACATGTATCCTTCCCATTAAGAGGCAGCTGACAAGGGGAAGCCAGCAAGAAGGAAAAAGATTTACCCAAACAGCTTGAGAAGGAACCATGGAAAGAAGAGATTTAAAAGAAAAAAGCTCAGGGAATCGAAGGGACCAAACCCTGGCTTCCTGGGCCCCTCTCCGAGGGCACAGCAATAAAGGAATGCTGTCTCCTACTGAGCCGGCCACCCCAGGCCCCCGGTGCCCTCCCACACACAGCTGAAGAAACGTGCAATGGGGCACGGCCCCTCCTTGGTGAACGAGGAGAGAGACAGAAAGTAAAGCTGACACCCTACAAACAGGAACGACATCAACCCCTGCCACCCACGTGGGGAAGGGTGACCAGAACACTGCATCCAGCGTCAGGCGGCAGCCCTCGCCACGCATGCCACAACCAACACACGCCTGTTAGTTCTCACCAGAAGTAGCCGCAGCCATGCCCCAGCCACACCCCAGGCCCCCCCTCCAGCCCCCCCCAGCCAAGACCCAGGGGAACCTCCAGAAGGGGGTGTCCAGGGGGCAGCAGGGACGCTCCTGGCTGCGGGCAGGGAGAGATCAGAGGAGCGGAGGGGCGCGGTCTGGACACAGGAGCCTGAGCAGCAGGAGACACCTTCAAAGGGGGCACAGACACAGAGCACAGTCACAGCGGGTCACAGCCCCCTCCCAGGCTATGCACACACTCGCATCAGACCAGAGCTCCCCAGGGCACAGACCTGATGGCCAGAGAAGGCATCACTGACTCAGGCCCACAGTACAGCCAGGGCTCTGGGTGGCTCTGGCCAGCTCAGGGCTCCTTAGCTTCAGAGACAGAAGCAGCCCTCAAAAGTGCGCCCCCCATCATGACACAGTAGAACAAATCCAAAAGAATGAAAAAGTAGAAAACAATGTGAAATATCTCACTGGAAAAACAACTGACCTGGAAAACAGATCCAGGAGAGAGAATATAAAAATTATTGGACTATCTGAAAGCCATGATCAAAAAAAGAGCCTAGACATCATCTTTCAAGAAATTATCAAGGAAAACTGCCCTGATATATTAGAACCAGAGGGCAAAATAGAAATTGAAAGAATCCACCGATCTCCCCCTGAAAGAGATCCCCAAAGGAAAACTCCTAGGAATATTGTAGCCAAATTCCAGAGTTCCCAGGTCAAGGAGAAAATATTGCAAGCAGCCAGAAAGAAACAATTCAAGTATGGTGGAAACACAATCAGGATAACACAAGATTTAGCAGCTTCTACATTAAGGGACTGGAGGGCATTGCATATAACATTCTGAAGGGCAAAGGAGATAGGATTACAACCAAGAATCACCTACCCAGCAAAACTGAGTATAATCCTTCAGGGGAAAAAATGGTCATTCAGTGAAATAGAGGACTTTCAAGCATTCTTGATGAAAAGACCAGAGCTGAATAGAAAATTTGACTTTCAAATACAAGACTCAAGTGGAACATGAAGAGGTAAACAGGAAAGAGAAATCATAAGAGACTTATTAAGGCTGAACTGTTTACATTCCTGCATGGAAAGATGACATTTATAACTCACGAGATCTTTGTCAGTATTAGGGTCGTGGGAGGGGAAGAATTATATGTATGGATAGATGGATAGATGGGTAGATAGATAGATAGATAGATAGATAGATAGATAGATAGATAGATAGATAGATAGATAGATAGATAGAGGGCACAGGGTGAGTCGAAGATGAAGGGGTGATATCTGGAGAATAAAATTAAGGGCTGAGAGACGATTATACTAGGAGAAGGAGAAAGGGAGAGGTAGAATGGGGTACATTATCTTGCACAAAACAGACAAGAAAAGGTTCTTACAGTGAAGGGGAAACAGGGGAAGGTGAGAGGGAATGAGTGAATCTTATTCTCATAGGATTTGGCTTAAGGAGGGAACAACATACACACTCAATTGGGTATGGAAAGCTGTCTTACCCTACAGGAAAATCGGGGAGGAAGGGGACAAGAGAGCAGGGGAATGATAGAGAGAAGGGCAGACTGGGAAAGGGGTGATCAGAAGGAAGTACTTCTGAGGAGGGACAGGGTCAAAAGAAAGAACAGAATAAATGGGGGGTGCACGATAGGGTTAAGGGAAATACAGTTAGTTAGTTTTTCACAACATGTCTACTATGGACGTGTTTTGCATAACTGCACATGTATGGCCTATATTGACTTGCTTGCCTTTTCAATGAGGGTGGGTGGGGTGGGAGGAAAGGAGAAAATTTGGAACCCAAAGTTTTAAAAACACATGTTTAAAAAAAAATGTTTCCACATGCAACTGGGAAATAAGAAATACAGGAAATGAGGTACAGAAATCTATCCTGCCCTACGGGAAGATAGAAGGGGAAGGGGATAGGAGAAGGGGGGGAATGATAGAAAGGAGGGCAGACTAGGGGAAGGGGTATTCAGAATGCATGCCATCTTGGGGTGGGGGAGGGGCAAGATGGGGTGAAAATATGGAATTCAAAATCTTGTGGAAGTAAATATTGAAAGCTAAAAATAAATAATTTTTTTAAAAAGTGCGCCCCCCACCCCAAGAACTCCAGCACAGGCCTTCTGACCCGCCTGGCCCTTTCCAGTGGCCAGCGTCACTGATGCTTATCGTGGTCATCGCTACAGACCCAAGGGCCCAGCCTCACACCTATTTTCCCCAGAGGTTGGAATTCTGGGGCCCTCCTGGGTGGGTCTAGGCCCCAAGATCTCCAAACCAAGAGCAATGTTAGTGCTTCCGTCGAGAATTCCCTTGACTAGTGAATATGGCATTGCACCCGGATGCAAATACAGCCTCTCACAGGCTCCACAGAGGGGGCGGGGGGGGGAGCAAGGCCCCCGCCCCAATGAAAGCACAGGGAGGCACAGCCAAACCAGGGCCTAAGGACAAGGGGAGAGAACGCCCATCTCCCTTCTTGTAGCAGTTGGGGGCTATGGGAGCAGAGCCCCCAAAAGCCATCAGGTTCCCCTGAGGAGAAAACCTGTGCGTTTTATTGGAGTCTGTGTTACACAGGATGGCTCACTGAAATCTACTTGAAATTGAAACAAAAACCAGATAACTACAAAATTTATAAAATACCTGGGAGTTAATGTACCAAGGCACACAACAAAATATTCTTCAATGAAGGACGACTTATTTTCAAATCACACTTTTAGAAAAATCACAGGCATGAATCAGAAGCCTGTGCCTGCCCTAGAAAGGACAGAGCTACTGCCCAGGGTCACCAGGGGGTGGGCAAGCACCTCGCCCAACAACACACAACTCCCAGGGAAGTCACCCGTGCACAATTCGCACCCAGGCCTTCCCACCTCCACTGCAGGCAGGCATTTCAACCCCAGCGTCAATGAGAGGTCAGGCCCAGGCAGAAGGTGAGAGGCCCTGCCCCCGGGCTCAGGGATGGACTCCCAGGGAGGTCCCCCCGAATCTGCCCCAAGGCCAAAGAGACCGCACACATACCACAGTGCTGGCATTGACTGGAGCCGGCTCGGCACCCCCATTCATGTCTGCACTCCTCTCTTTCTTGGTTTCTTCCAGGTCCGTGACTGTGCTGGGGCCTTTCTTCTTTTTCAGCTTGGCTAGGATGGATGACTCCCGCTCCGGGAATGGAGGCATCTCCTCCAGCACCGTGGCCTTCCCAGGAAACAAGCCGCCAGCCCCTTCAGCCACCTCACTCCAGTGTGACTCAAGAGCCCCGCCCATTGTGCCCCCCCACCCCATGCTCCCCCAGCCCCCGCCTGCTATGCCTCCCCCCGCCACTCCCCGTGCCTCCACAGCTGCCCCCACCACCTCCTGTTCCCCTGTGGCTGCCCCCTCCAGGCCCTGCCCGCTGTGCCTCCCCCCAGCACCCCCCGTGCCCCCGCGGCTGCCCCCCCACCGAGCCTCACCAGGATGTCCGTGCTGGCAATGGTGCTCAGCCTCAGGTACTCCACGGCCCTCTGCTGCAGCTCCACGTCAGCATTCTTGAGCTGGCTGTCGCTGCGCAGGACGTCCTGAATCGTCGTCTTGATCTCAGGAAAGAGATTCACGAATTTGATATAGGTGGACAGGAGCAGGGCGCGCGTGGGCACACTGCACAGGTGGAACTTGGAGTGCAGCAGGTTGAACTGGATGAGGGGGCTGGGAGGGAAGGAGAGAGAGAGTGAGGGTCCGAGCACAGCCAGGGATGGCCAAAGGCAGCCAGAGGAGGCGTGGGGGTGGGGCTCTTACCTGGACCTCGGGTCACCCGCGATCAAGTTTCCAAACTCCCCCAAGATGTAGCCGCCCACTTTGACCAAATTCTCGTGGCAAGCCGGGGCCTGAAGAGCCTGGGGGACAGGGCCAAAGCCCAGTCAACAAGGGCATGAGGCAGCGGCGGCCCACCCGCTGCTCCTCCCACCCAGGCCCTGCATCAGAGAAGGCTGAAGACAGAGACAGGCAACTCCCGCTCCCCATGGCCACCCCAACTGTCCTTCACTCCTTAGAGATACAGGGACAGGGGCTGAGAAAAACCGTGACGTTCCCCACGTGGACAAGCAGCACCAGCACCCCAGAAGGACCCTCTCCTCCCAATTCTTGACACGGGCAAAGGGTGCCACCTGAAACCTTCCATCCATCCCTCAGAGGAAGAAAGGAAAACCCTGGTACAAAATCTGAAGGCCTGGAGGGGCAGATCCCACCAGAACACCCCCCAGCGCCCTGCCAGCCATGGCAGAACCATGGCAGCATCCCACGCCCAGCCTGCCCAGCCACAGGCCAATCCACTGCGGCCCACGCACTCACCTCAAACACGGTCTTGGCTGCGTAGCCCTGCACATCGTCCCGGTTGATCACAATCTGAATGACGCGGTACCACACCTCCTCGCTGACATAGTCCCCGGCGATTCGAATCAGGTTCAAGATGGTGTCCACATACCAGGTGTAGTCCACCGCGTACTTCTCGGCCAAGATGGCCACCTTCAGGACCTTCACAAGGGAGGAGCCAGACTCAGTCTGGCCAGTGGCCCTTGGCCTAAGGGCCCACTTCTAAGTGCGCACCAAGCATTTAAACTGGGGAGGAGGCCAACCACGACACGAGGATGGGCCAGGGTCTGGCCACTCACGGGGACAGAGGAAGCCATTAGGCACGAGAAATCAGACCGATGGACCCACAACAAAAAGAGAACACAAGACCCAATAAGCAAGCCCCCACAAGGCCCACTCCACGCCCGCCAGGTCCCGCACTTGGAGCTCGCTGCAAGCACAGACACGAAGCAGCCGGGCTAAGGAGAGCGCCGACACAAACGTGCGGGCAGGTGTGCATCTGCGTGTGCGGAGAGCGCACAGTCTAGACCTGTCGTCCGCGAGGGAGGTACGCAGGCTGCGGGGCTGGTCACAGAGGCGCGGCCAGTGAGGCTGGGGTCGCGCTGCAAGGCCTCCTACAGCAGCAGGAGTGTAGCCGGCAGGGAGACCAGGGAAGAGCTGGCTGGAACCGAATGCGAACAAAGCTGCAGTCGTGTGAAGGGAAAGACAGGCTGGAACGCCAGGATCGGTCGATCAAGCCAGAAACGTTAAGCGCCTACTGTGTGCCGGACCATGACAGGGCAGAGAAGGAGGAGAACCGGGGCGGGGGGAGAGGATCACCCCAGAACTCTAGAGAGAAGGGAGCGGTCCACAGTGCCAGAGGCTGCAGAGAGGTCAGGAACATGGTCCCTGGACTTGGCACCCTGGTGGAACCACAGGGTCGGAAGCCAGACTACGAGGGGTTAAGAAGACAGGAGAGGAAGTGGAGGCACCCAGGGCAGACAGCTACAAAGATGGCGACAGGAAGCTGGTCAGCAGGGATGGAAGGGGCAGACGAGGGGTTTTCAGGATGGGGGAGAGAGCCAGCAGATGAGGAGAGATTGAAAATGAGCAAGAGGAAGAGAGATGGAGGGGATGGAACGGGGGATCACTTCACTGTGTGTGATGAAGGCACCTGAGGGACAGGGCTTGAGGTAGGGGTGGGGGGGGAGAAGAAGGAGCTCAGGGCAAATAGGGGCAAAGTTCTTGGCTGGGGGAGCAAAAGGAGCCACAGGAGGACGGAGGAGGGCTGCTGCTGTAGGGAGGAGTCTAGCGGGATTCAGCAGGAAGGCCCCAGGGGAGGTCACGGACTCAATCAGGGATGTTCTCCACCTCCATTCAGCAGCAGGGCTGTGTGGAGGAGAGAAGGTGACAAACAGCAAGAGGGACCCCAGAATGCGGGGAGACGGCCTGGGCACTGCTTGGCTCTGCGGGGACAGAGGAGTCAAGGGTCACGCCAAGGGCCCCAGGGAGCATTGGCCCACCCGACTCAGGCAGCCCCAAGTCCAAGCAGAGCACAAAGCCAGGCCGGCTCCTGCGGCACCGGCTGTGACCTGGATGTCTGCCAGGGGATTCTAGCACAAGTCAGAGATCACCAGCACCTCACAAGAGCCACCTGAAGGACAGGGAAGGATGCCGGGGTGGCCCCAGTGAAGCCTCGAGTGGGCCACCACTGAGGCATCGTCCCAACTCTAGGCAAGGACCAAGGAGCCGAGCAGACACAAAGCGGAGAGCCTCGCCCCTCCCGCCTGGTCCAGCTACTGGCAGCTGTCCCACAAGCCCACGCCCACCAACGCCCCGGGTGAGACAGCCTGTCTAGAATGACAGCAAGACTCAGAGGGAGATGAGTGCATCTAACACCCAAATTTAGGTGCAGAAGGTGGCGGTGCCCTTCGTGGGTGAGGAAGCTATATTTGGCCCTGATAGTACCTTCTGTCTCACCCCCAACCCGATGAAATTCATGATGGAAAAGAATGAAGATTCACCCAGGTCAGGAGCCAGGGGGAAAGCAGGGAGACGAGAATCACTCCAGCTCCCCCCACCCCCCAGTGCAGGGGAGTAACACACTTTACTGAAAACATGCAGGAAGGCGGAATACATTCTGTGTCAACCACCTCCCTTTCTGTGCAGGATGCTGGCGGGTCTGGGCTCTCCCAGCCTTCTCGCACTTTCTCTCTGCTGCCCCTGGAGTGTGGACGTATCCCAAGAGGACAAATAACACAGGCACCAACGTCCTGCTGGTGGAGCTGTGAACAGACCCGGACACTCGGACCGGAGCACTCCTCTGACCCAGTGCAATCAAGGAAAGTGGGAAAGGCCCCAAGGGCCCAAGAGTGCAGACGCCCGTCACCTAGGGGAATGACTGAACAGGCCGTGGCACGTGAAGCACGGGGCTGTGCTGAGGAAGGACACAGACGAGCCCGGGAAGGCCAGCTGACGCCCAGTGAGGGGAGTACAGACAAGCGGACAACCTGCACAGTGACCACAAACATCTGTGGAGTATTCCAGACAGAGGTGCCGACGCCCAGGGGCAGTGGGGAGCCTTTGGGCCCTAGTGACACCCCAGGGCAGCGAGGAGCCTTTGGGCCCGACAGTCCTAGGATGCTCATGGAACTGGGGCCTAGGCCTGGGCCTTCTCCTGTAAGCCTATAGCTTTTTGTAATGGGCTTCTCAAGGATAGGAGAGAACTCAGAACTGAAAGCCCAGTGGTATTTGGCCCAGCCTCACTACACCCGGCTCAAGGAGAAGCCTAGAGAAGGTGCGCTCTGACAAGGCCACAGCTGGGGTGCAAATGCTGCATCTGCTACTTCCTGGGGGACACATGTCTGTCTACCTCCTACCATGGCCAGCACCCTGTGTGAATGGATGCACAGTGAACTGAGCAGGGCCACAGACAAGGGGCAGGAGGCCCAAGACGACCACAGAACTTGGCCACGTGGAGTGACTAGCCCACACGCTCTCTGTGCATTGTGGTTCTTTGGACATGGAAATACTCGTAGCTTTTAAAGAGAGAAAACAAAGCCTGAGTTTGGAGTCTGAGGCCCTGGGTTCAAATTCCAGCTGTATTGCGATGGGTGAGTGACAACAGCTAACGCCTACCACGAGCCTCGGGGGCCACTGACCCCGTGACCCCACCTCTCCCTCCCAGTCACACGGGTCCAAACCCTCTCCACATAGCGCAGTGAAGGGAAAGCTGGGCCTGCAGTCAGGAGCTCTGACGCTCAGCTAGCCCTCCCTCCCAGGGCCGCTGGGGCATTGCTTGGGGCCTGGCCAGAGGAGCTCTATCTTGGGAGCCTGGCATGGCCTGGGGCCACGCAAAGGAGAGACATAGCACTGTGGGCATCGCAGCAGACGGGGCCTGAGGCCCAGGCTGGGGATTCTGAGGAGAGAGAAAGCCCTGGGCACAATCCACCAGGAGAGGGATGGATGTAAGAACATGAGCCCCTGCAGCGCCCTGGCCGAAGCTGGCGACCCCTCCCAGACCCAGTGGGGGAGGTGGGGGGGAGGCGCTGCCCATCGCCGCCTGCCTCTTCAGAGAGGGGCACAAAGAACTCACAATCTCTTCCCGGATGGAGTAGTCGGCCGTCTCCAGGTAATTGAGCATCTCGGCGACGATCTGCTGGGCATTGCTGCGGTCACACATGGCATAGAGGAGGTCCACCGCTCTCTGCCGCACACTCACATCCCTCTCCGTCTAGGGCGGAGAAGGAGGTGAGGCCCGGGTGGCGCTAACTCTCTCACAGCAGCACCGACCCACACGCACGCACGTTCAGAGGACGGGCCCCAGGGGGCCTCACCTTCAAGGCGTTGATGACCGTCTCTATGTGGGTTTTCACAGCCTCGTGGGAGAACTCTGAACTGGCCAGGGTGCACATGCTCTCCAGCGCCAGGTACCGGAGATTCGTCTCTCTGTGCTGCAAGAACTGACCCAACTGGTTACAGGCACGGACGAGTAAATTGGGCTCGCTACAGAGAAAAGAGAGGAAGCCAAGGGGGGAGGGGGGTCGAAGTGAGCTCAGGGCACAGCAATCTAGGCAGCCAAAGCAACCCCACCACCCTCACCTCCGGGGCTGGACCTCGGGTCCTTCCCTCCCCAAAGCCCTGGAGGGAGACGACCGCGTGGGCTCCAGGAAGCCAGCACCTCCCAGCTCTGAGACCAGCCCGGGTCAGTGTCCAAGTCTCCCGCAGCCCAGTGCATCTCCCCGGATCTCAGAGGAATTTAGCCCGTCCGTGGCCAGCTCTCCAGGCTGCCAAACCAAAATGTGCCAGGCCGAGATCGGGACCAGGCGGCAGCAGCCCCAGCAAGGGGCAGGGAGGAGGCATTTACTAGTGCCTGCTCTGCGCCTGACGCAGGATGACCCAAACTCTTTACAACGATCTCATTTGAACAAGAATCCCGGGGTCCAACAGCCTCTTTTGGGTGGGACCACTAGGACCTCCAAAGGTATCCATTCTATTGGGGGAAGCACGCCTCCTCAGAAGGTAAATCCTACAAAAGCCTCCAAAGACACAAGGTGGCTGCCCAGGGCCCCATGGGGCACCAGACGGGGAGGCGGGATCCCACACTTAGCAGCAAGGATGCTGAGGGCGACATTTAGTCACCTCAGAGCCTCATTTCCCTCAGCTGTAAAACGGGCCAGCAGCAGCACCTGCCTCCCTGGGTGGCTGTGGGGATGTGAACTTCAAAGCAAAGCCATCATCCCTGTGATGAACAACTGGGGAGGGGGGCAATCAGAGTGGGCCCCCGAGCTGAGCAGAGGCAGGGCGAGAACTGCCCGGGCAGGCACCTGCCCCCCCCACCCGTGGGTGCGCACCTGTCATGATGGATGATGAGGCTGATGGCCTCAAAGAGCACGGCGTTCTTGGCGTTAGAATGCTGCACCTTCTTGGATTTGGGGGGCTCCTGGGCTTTGTTCAGGATTGTCTCGAGGCATTCAGTGAGGCGGCCCCGCACCGCAGGGTCTTCTAGGCAACACCACACATGGTCAGGGGCGGTTCAGCCTGAGCTTCCAGCCCCCAGGGTGGTCCATCGGGCCGAGACCTTCACCACAAACTCGCTGACAGCTCCCCCCCCACCCCACAGACACTGCAAGAGAGCAGTCGGGTTTCCTCAATCTCGGCACCGACGGGCCAGCTGGGCACGTCAGAATGACTGGCACACACCAGGGAAGCGCCTCTGGGGTGAGCCGCCGCAACAGCACACTGGCTAACACAGCCACGGAACCCGTGGGGGCGCACAAGCAGCTGGCCAGAGCTCAGGCTACATTACCTGGGGGTGGGTAGCACTGTAAAAGCCGCAGAAGCTTCACCGACAGCCAGGGAGCTGGCACAAAATAGTAAGTGTAGTCCTGCAGGTCCGTCGAGGCTGACGTCACAATCTACGGAAGCAGCAAGGGGGCATCAGGGCTGCGGCTGCTGCTCCCCCTGCAGAGACCAAACCTGCCCTTGCTAAACACAAGATGATCGAGGGAGAGGGGGAGTGCAAACATGGAAAGGTTTCCTGGGAAGGGATGCCGCGCCGAGCCCCCCCAAGTGCACGCAGATGAGCGGAAGGGGCCTTCCAGGAGGGGGTTCGAGGCCGGCCAGCCAGGCCACACGCCCCACTTTGGGAAGGCAGATAAACCTTCAACGGAAAAGCTGGCTGCATTCACTCGGGGAGGGTTCTGAAGGACCCCTGCCCACTGTGTGGTCCAGCCAGACCGGCGTTCCCTTTGCAGCTCCCCTCACTGGGCCCCACGTCCAGCATGCTCTCCCTTCTGACTTTCCCCTTGAAGCCCCTCTCTTCCTCGTAAGACCCAGAGGAAACATCAGGGCCGGCATGAAGCCTCTCCTGACAAAGGTGCTCTGCCCCCACCCACCTGCCTCAAATTACCTGCTATACAGGGGCATCTATTCCTCTCACATTTCTGCTGTATGTACCCCATGACAAAGGACACTCCCAGTGAAGAACTGTCTCACTCTGTGCCCTCGTCAGCCCAGTGCCCGGGGCATTTCACTGACGGTGTGCAGCTGGGTACTGTGTACTGTCCTCCTAGAGGGGCCACTGAAGCCCCTGGGCAGGACAGGGCAGCAGGAAGTGCAGCAGGCTGACAGGCTCAATCCGGGCCTAGAAAAGCTTCTGATGACCCACCCACTCCCAACCTGTCAGTCACTCAAGGACCTAGTGAGTAAGAGGGCGAGGCCTCCTCAGGCTCCCTCCAGGATGGCATTCCAGCAGCCATTCCCTTTCTTCTTAAAATGAAATTCCATTTTACTTCCAGTTCCTGATTCTCTTCTCCCCCTCCTTCCACATCCACTGAGAAGGCAAGGAAAACACATACCCTATTACAAATAGATATAGTCACAGAAAACAAATGAGAGAGAAAAACAGATAGAGAAGAAAGATAGAGAGAAGAGAGATGAGACAGAGGAGAGAGAAAAGACAGAGAGAAGAGACAGTGAGAGAAGAAAGGAGAAAGAAACAGAGACAGAGAAGAGAGGACAGAAGAGAGAACAGAAGAAAAAAGAAAGAAACAGACAGAGAGAAGATGAACAAAGGAAAACAGAGAGAAACAGAGACAGAGACATAAGACAAAGAGGAGAGAGAAACAGAGACAGAGAGATAAGACAAAGAGGAGAGAGAAACAGAGACAGAGAGAGAAGAGAGATAGAGAGAGGAGACAGAGAAGAGAAGAGAAGAGAGAAGACAAAGAGAAAAGAGATAGAGAAGAGAGGAAAAAGAAACAGAGATAGAGAAGAGAGATGAGACAGAGAGGAGAAACAGAGAGACAGAGACAGAGACAGAGGGATAAGACAAAGAGGAGAGAGAAACAGAGACAGACAGAGGAGAAAGAAGAGAGAAACAGAGACAGAGAGATAAGACAAAGAGGAGAGAGAAAAAGAGACAGACAGCGAGAAGAGACAGAAAGGAGAGAAGGGAGAAACAGAGAGAGAAGAGATAGAGAGATGAGACAGAGGAGAGAGAAGAGAGAGAAACAGAGACAGAGAGAGAAGAAAGACAGGAGAAAGAAGAGAGAGAAACAGAGACAGAGATAAGACAAAGAGGAGAGAAGAGAGAGAGAAAAAACAGACAGCGAGAAGAGAGACAGACAGAAAAGAGAGAAGGGAGAAACAGAGACAGAAAGAGAAGAGAGACAAACAGAGAAAGGAGAGAAACAGAGATAGAGAGAGGAGAGATGAGACAGAGAGGAGAGAAACACGGATAGAGACAAAAGAGAGATAGAGAGAGAGGAGAGAGAGAAACAGAAATAGAGATAAGACAGAGAAGAGACAGAAACAGAGACAGAGAGAGGAGAGATAGAGAGAAAAGAGAGATGAGACAGAGGAAAGAGGAGAGAGAGAGAAACAGAGACAGAGAGAGAAGAGAGAGACAGGGAGTGAAGAGACAGACAGCAAGGAGAGATGGGAAAGACAGAGGGAAGAGAGATGAGACAGAGAGGAGACAGGAGAGAAACAGAGACAGTGAGAGAAAAGAAAAGAGAGAGAGAAGAGAGATGAGATAGAGACTGGGAGAGAGACACAGAGAAACACATGGCGGGGGGGGGGGCAGAGAGCCAAGAAAAAGAAATGGAGAGGGAAAAAAAAATGCATTTCAGCCTGGGCTCCATAACTATCACTCCCCTCTCTGGAGGCAGAAGTCGGCTTCATTACCGGTCCTTTGGAATTGTCTTGGATCATTGTATTGCTGAGAAGAGCTGAGTCTTTCACAGTTACATTGTTACAATGTTGCTGTTACTGTGTACAATGTTCTCCTGGTTCTACTCACTTCACTCAGCATCAGCTCATCTAAGTTTTCCCAGGTTTTTCTGAAACCAACCCCCTTGTCATTTCTTATAGCATAACAGTATTCTATCACAATCACATACCACAACTTGTTCAGACATTCCCCAACTGATGGGCATCCCCTCAATTTCCAATTCTTTGCCACTACAAAAAAAAGCTGCTATCAATACTTTTGTACATGCAGATCCTTTTTCTTTGATCTCTCTGGGGTACAGACCTAATAGAGGGATTTCTGGGTCCAAGGTATGGTTTTTGGGGGTGCAGTTCCAACCTGTTTTCCACAACAGCTGAAGTAGGTAACAGCCCCATCAATAGTATATTAGTATCCATTTTCCCATAATCCCATCAGCATTTGTCATTTTCCTTATCAACTATGACAATCTGATGGATGTGACATGGTACCCAAGAGTTGATATAATTTGGCTTTCTCTAACAGTGATTTATAGCACTTTTTCACAAATGGCAATCAATACTCAGTTTTATTCCCTGAAAAACTACTTATTCATATCCTTCTTCTATGTATCAATTCGTGAATGGCTCCTTTCCTTGTAAATTTGACTCAGTTCCTCATAAATTTGAGAAATATAACAGATCCCCCCTCCCAGTTTCCTGTTTTTCTTCTAATTGTAGCTGCAATGGTTTTGTCTATGCAAAAACTTTAAAATTTTATGCCATGCAAATTATCCATTTTACTTGCCATGAACAGAGCTCTCTCCCCATCCACAGATCTTCCAGGCCTCATTCACCTGTTTATGGTATCTTTGTATCTAAATCACGAATCCATTTTAAGCTTATCTTGGTAGATGTTGCGAGGCATTGGTCTACGCTTATTTCCTTCCAGACTATTTTCCAGCTTTCCCAGCAGTCTTTATCAAACAGCGAATTCTTGCCCCAATAGCTGCGATCTTTGGGTTTATCAAACACTAGGTTACTGAGTTCGTTTGCTTCTGTATATTGCGTACTTTATCTGTTCCACTGATAAACCGTTTCTTACTCGGTACTAACGTGTTTGGACGATTACAACTTTGCAGAATAGTCTGAGACACTGCTGCTGCCCCCGTCCTTCTCACTGCTTTCACCGATCATCTTGATACTCTGGAGGTTCTGTTCCTCCAAAGGAATCTTTATATTACTTTCCCTAGCCCCATACAGTAATTCTTTGGTAGTTTGAGTGGTACAGAACTAGATAAATAAACTAATTAGGAAGCATTGTCATTTTTAGTGTACTGGCTCAGCCTATTTGTGAAGCAAATCATGTTTCTCCAATTATTTAGATCTTTATCTGCATGAAAGTGTTTTGTAATTATGTTTAATGGTTCCTGTGTATGTCTTGGCAGATAAGCCCACTAGTATTTTATACCGTCCACAATTATTTTAAATGGAATTTGTCTCCTCCTTCTGGGCTCTGTTTGTTATATACAGAATTGCTGATGGCTTGTGTGAGTTTATTTTGCATCCTGTTCCTTTGCTGAAGTCATTAATTGTTTTGATTAGATTTCCAGTTGATTCTGCAGGCTCCTCTAAGCACACCATCCTATCATTTGCAAAAGGTGACTGCTTTGTTTCCTAACTGCCTGTGCTTATCCCTTCACATTTTTTCTCGCCAAACTACAATGGGCTAGCAGCATTGCCAGGACAGCGCCGAACGATGACAGCGATCACGGCCATGATGCTTCACCCCTGGTCTCACTGGGAACACTCCTAACTTGTGTCCGTTACAGACAAGACCTGCCCTTGGTGCTAGATACTACTGATCAGTTTGAGGAAAGCCCCATCTATGCCTGTGCTTTCCACTGCTGTTGCTTGGTTTTGTTGTTTTCAACAAGACCGCGTATTGCATTTTCTCAAAGGTTTTTTCTGCATCTGTGGAAAAATCACGTGATTTTTATTGTTTTTGTCACTGCTGTGGTCAATTATGCTGATTGATAGCTTCGGAAATACTGAACCAGTCCTGCACTTCTGGCATAAATAGAGTCTAGTCACAATGCATGATCTTTGCGATATAGTGCTGTATTTTATGTCATTTCAATTTTCCCATCAATACTCAGAGAGAAAGCTGGGCTATACTTATGTGTCTCTATTTTGACCCTCCCTGCTTTAGGCATCAAGACCATGTTGAGGTCATAGAAGGAATATGATAAGGACTCCTTTACCAATTTTTCCAAACAGTTTATGTAATATTGGAATTAACTGTTCTTTCAATGTCTGGTAAAATTCACTTGTAAATCCATCTGATCCTGTGTGTTTTCTTAGAGAGTTCACTTATAGGCTCGCTTATTTCTTTTTCTAAGATAGTTAACTCTATTTCTTGGTCTGTTAAACGGGCAACTTATACTTTTGTAAATAGTCACCCATTCTACTTAGATGGTCAGTTTTATTGGCATGCATTGTATGGCTCTTAATAAATGCTTTTATTTCATCTTCATTGGTTGCAAATTCACTTTTTTCATTTGTGATCCTAGCAATTTGGTTTTCTTCTCTTTTTTACATCAAATTAGCCAATGGTTTAGCTATTTTACTGTTTTTATTTTCTATTAAAAAATTGGTTCCTACTTTTATTTCAACTTTTAGAAACCTTTCAATTTCTTCACCTCTCCTTTAATTTTCAGTATTCCATTTTGTCATTTAATTAGAAATTTCAATTTGTTGGATGTCTAGATGTGTGTTGTTTTTTTTTTAACATGTATGGCCAATTTGTTGATCTGCTCTTTCTCTTTTTGATGTAAGCATTCAGCGATATATAACCTGTTCTTTGTCTCATCCAATCTTTAGGATTATGTTAGTCTCCAATTAACTTTTAATCTATGCTTTCAAAGGCCCTTTATTGAATATAATTTTATTGTATTATGGTCAGGAAAAAGATGCACTTAATATATCTGCATTTCTGCAATTGCTTGTAAGACTTTTATACCCCAATATATGGTCAGGGTTTTTTTTGAAGGTTCTATAAACACCTGAGAAATAGAGATACTCCTTTCTATTCCCATTCAATATTTTCCAAAGGCTACCCTACTTAACTTTTCTAAAATTCTATTAACTCAACTTCATTCTTATTTTTCTGAGATCATGACTGCCATCACTGCTCCTAATTCAGCTGAAGCATAATGGAGTTTGCTCCAGCCTCTTATTTTGACAGTGTGTATGTGTCTTTCTGCTTTGAGTGTGATTCTTGTAAATAACAATGTTGGATTCTGGTTTCTAATCCATTTCATTTATGAGTTTAACCCATTCACAGTTAAGACTGCTGTGCATTTCCCTCCAACTTATTCTCTTCTATTTATCCTTCTCTTTCTTTTTCACTGCTACCTCAAGAATTTGTTTTGCTTCTGACCGCTGCCTCCCTTAATCTACCCTCCATCCTATTACACACACACACACACACACACACACACACACACACACACACACACTCACCTTCCTCTTCATCCTTCTCCCTCATATTCCTTGTTTGGTAAGATGAATTTCTGTGCCCAGTTGGTCTGTGTGTATACACGTACTCTTCCTTCTTGGAACCAGTCCAGATGACAGCACAGTTCAAGTGTTGCCTGCTCCCCTTTCTCTTCACTCCCTCATACAAACTCTTCTTTCTATATGCCTTATTTGTATGAGATGAATTTCTCCATTCTTCCTCTCCCTTCACCCCTCTCCCAGAGTATTCCTCTTCCCAAACTTTCTGTTCTTCTTTTGGGATTATCCAAGCATAACAGAATCACAGTCAGGTAAAGACACCCCTGGTAAAGATAAAAATTCTAAAGTATTACATGTATCATCTTCTCATATAAGAATGTAAATAATTTAATCCTATTGAGTCCCTTATGATTTCTCAGTCACATTTGCCTTTTTAATGCTTCTCTTGAGTCATGTGTTTCAATGTCAAATTTCCACTCCATCCTTTCATCAGGAATGCTTGGAAGTCCTCTAATTAAAGATCTGTTTTTGTCCCTTTAGGATTATACTCATTTTTGTTCAGCAGGTTATCCTGCTTGTGAACTTAGATCCTCTGCCTTCTGGAATATATAGTCCAAGCCCTCTATTCCTATGAAATGCTGGCTGCTAAACCTTGTGTGATCCTGACCATGCCTCCACAGTACTTAAATTCCTCCTTTCTGGCTATTTGTACCATCTTCTCCTCCACCCAGGAACTCTGGATTTTGGCTATAATGTTCCTGGGAGTTTTTATCTTGGGGTTTCTATCAGGAGGCAACCAGTAAATTCTTCCAATTTCTACTCTGTCCTCTCTAAAATATCTGGGCAATTTTCCTTTATTATTTCTTGAAACAGGATGTCCAAGTTCGTTTTTCTTTTATGGCTTTCAGGTAATCCAATGATTCTGAAATGTTCTTTCCTTCATCTCTTTTCCAGGTCAACTGTTTTGCCTATGATATATTTCACATTTTCTTCTTTTTTTTTTTTTCGGTTTTTTGACTTTTATTATTTTTTGATATCTCATGAAGCCATTAGTTTCTATTTGGCCAATCCTAATTTTCAAGGAGTTATTTTCTTCGGCGGCTTTGTACCTCTTTTACCAAGCTGCTAATTCTCTTATAATACCTTTCTTGCACAGCTCTCATTTCTGTTCCCATATTTTCCCCTCTATCACTCTTATTTGGTTTTAATCTCTTTCTTTAGCTCTTCTAGGATTTCTCTTTGAGAAATTTTTCTTTGAGGCTTTGCTTGACAATATTTTCAAGACACTGTCTTCTTCCTTGTGTCTTGAGCGTCTCTGTAGCTGAAGTAGCTCTTCATGGTCAGGCTCTTTCTTTGTTTGCTCATTCTCCCAGCCTCCTTCCTGACACTGAATTTGACATCAGTGTTGGGCTTTACTCATTGCTGCGGGGATCTCTAGCCCGAGCTTCTGTTCTTTTTGTCCTGCTGCTGTGTTCACAGCTCTGACTAGGAGTCTGAATGTTTTTGGTGTTCCCAAAGTGGTATGATCTGAGGAGAAGTCTGTTCACTGACCTCCCTGTCTGAGCTCAGCAAGTTCCTGACCCAGGCATGGTCTGCTGGCTAGTGCATGGTAGAGTTTTCACAGACTGCTGCTGGACTTGGTCACTGTAAGCCCCCTGGCAGGCTCTGCAGGTTCAGAGTGACTAAACAGCTTGCTTGACTCCCCTTTGATCTTGAACTCTGCCCTGACTTATTCCGCTGTAAGCTTAGGCATTGGGCTAAAGACCAGAACTGAGTACTCCCCTCTGCACACAGGATCAAAGCCACACGCTGAGGCTGTGGAACCTGTTCCTTGCTCAGTATGCAACTCAGGCCTCTCTCACTTGTAGCCTTGACCACTCCTCTCTGCCCAAGCTTGAAGTAATGGGTGATAGAGCTACCAGATGGCACCGTCCCTGCTCCCAGAGGTAGGTCAGGGGTCCCCTGGGATCCCTTGCTGCCTCAGTGTTCAGACTCAGTCCCTTTAGGGCTCAAATGCTCCCTGCTGCTGCCCCTGCCCCAGCATCCACAGACTTCTCCTCCTAAGCTGCTCTGGGATGGAGAAAGGACTCACCATGACTTTTTTTTTGGCCTCCCCAATCAGAATTTAGTCTGGCGTATTTTCTAGGCTGCTGTGGAGGCAGGTGAACTGGGCAAAAATGCTTCCTCTCACTCCCAGCCCCACGCCCCATTCCCCACCCCCAGCAGCAACTTCTTTTCAATTAAACCTGGTCATCTTCAACTGCTTCACTGAGTATCCTCTTATTCCGCCTTCATCCTGTCACTCCCTGGCACAAAAATCCTATGGAGCCGGCCTCCAGGTTCCCTGAGCTGCAGTGGGCCACTTCACTGACAACTCTAGCTCTGGTCCCCAGGAGACAGTCCCCTCTCTGGTCCCCCCATGATCAGGACTCCCTCAGAAGAGACAGGGTAGTTGAAAGCACCTCCACGTGAAGGTCTCTCCCCCTCCTACCCAAAGTTCTAGGAAATGAAACAAGGTCAATCTCAGGCACTGGCCCACACTCGATCCTCTCTCTGGCAAAGGGTGAGTGTCAGAGAGAGGAGAGAGATAAAGGAACCAGGACCAAGAGACACACATCCTGCAGAAAAACAAAAGCAGATTCTTTTCCAAGCGCACGTGGCTAAGAAAACATGGTTTGGGGCCCAGGGATGCCTGGTGGGGAAACTCCCTTCACTAACACAGATTACACATCTTCCAGTCTTCCAGTGGCCTGGAGAACCAAGAGGGGAGGGGACTCTGCCCTGCCCTGGGTCACCCAAGCAGACCCCCTGCTGGTCCTCCACCCACTCTTTCAGGCTCTTCTCAGGAATAAAAGAGAAAGAGCCATATGCCAGCTGGTGGCTACACAGCACAGAGGACTCAGTCAGTGCTCAAAGGGACATACAGCTGGACTCCCCACTCCGAGGACCCAGACCCCCAGAAGCAAACTCATTCTAGACCTGCCCACGCTAGGCTAAAGAACCCCAGGTATGACAGTGACCCTCAAAGGTCACCCCCTCGAGCACAACGCACACTCCCTTTCTGTCGTCCTTCCCCAGACTCTCCAGAGGCCCTGCTGGTGACCCCCATCTCCTGTTCCTGGGGACCTCCACCACTCTTTTCCTCATGTATCCAAATTAACATGAGCATTCCAAGAAAGGCCCTAGGTCAATCAACTGCTCTCCCACTCCTCTCCCCATCCCTGAGACTCCTCTGACAAAAAGACTGGTGCCGTTGCTTATTATTACCACCCTGCATCCCTCACGGTCAGGGTGGCCCCACTTCAGCCCCTGTATCCTCGGGGTTAGCCCAGGATGTGCTTAATAAATGCTTCTTCATTCAAGACAGGAGGAGAGCCTTACTCTGCTTAATCTGGAAACCGCTAAGGAAACGGAGGTCTTGAACTCTTCTGGGTTCTTCTGCGCCAGCGTGGTGATCAGGCTCGTCGCAGCAGTGACCACACCCTGAAAGAGGAGAGGGAGACACGCACTGAGTCTCCAGGGCTTTAACCAAACATTTTACCACTGACTTTGGCTTTCAATCCCACTTTCCAAATGAAATCTCCCCCTCGGTGTCAATCCCAGGAAGCAGAACCGACAGTCCTCGTTTTTGTCTTTTGAGTACCAGGGTCTGGCACAGTGCCTGCAAACAGCAGGTGCTCAGTAAGTGCCTAGAGAATTAAACAAAACATTGCTTTTACGTTCTCATTGGAATTTTCTCGGGTTGCAGCCCTCACACACAGAGGAAAACCCCTGGTTAGCATGAAATCAAATGGTAACAAGTAGGAGACTGCTCTCTCTCTGTGGGGGCAAAGCAGGCTCCTCCAGCTTCCTGCCCCTATTCCTGCGTCCCCGTGGTGCCACTGGGCTGGCTCAGTCTCTCCCTCGGCCAGCCTCCAGCTGCCCGAGGCGGCCCTCTACCAAATCCAGGAAGCGCACACCTACTCTGCTCCATGACGCTCTCCTGCCCACCAAGAGGCCAGGGCACAAGGGGGAAGACCCGGCCTGCAGCCGTCCCTAGAAGACAAGAAGGAGAACCGAGGCCTTCCCTGCTGGGCAGCGAGATGGCACCAAAGTGGACAGAAAGCCAGGCCTAAAGTCAGGAGGACTCGTCCCAAGTTCAAATCTGGCCTCAGACACTCAACTGGGGCAAGTCATTTCACCCAGTTTGCCTCAGTTTCCTCATCTATAAAATGGCCTGGAGAAGGAAATGGCAAGCCACTCCAATGCCTTTGTGAAGAAACCCCAAAATGGGGCCAGGAAGGGTGGTGACTGCCCAGCAACTTCCCTTTAAGCTCTTTACAGGAGCCCTCGAGAAGAAGAGACACTTTTGTAAAACCTATCACATGGCAGGAGGAATGAGAGCGGCAGGGTCCCACACCACGACAGCTCCTCATACCAAAGAGATCATAAGAGATCACTGGGAAAGGACCCGCACGTACAAAAGTCCTGACAGCAGCTCTTTGTGGTAGACAAGAAGTGGAAACTGAGGGGACACTCATCAGCTGGGGAATGGCTGAGCAAGCTGTGGCGTATGAGTGTAATGGCATGCTATTGTGCTATGAGAAATGATGAGCAGGCCGACTTCAGAAAGACCTGGGAAGACTTGTATGGACTGATGCTGAGTGAAGTGAGCAGACCCAGGACAACGCTGTACACAGTAACAGCCACACTGTGCAAGAAGAAACGTTGATGGACGTAGCCCCTCTCAGCAATGCAAGGATCTAAGACATCTCCAGAGGCCTCATGATGGAAAATGCTGTCCACATCCAAAGAAAGAACCATGGAGTCTGAATGCAGATCGAAGCAGACTATTTGCTTTTTTTCCCTTCTGTTTTGTTTTGTTTCTTCTTTCTTGTGGTTCTTTCCAATTCTTACTTACAACATCACTAATATGAAAATATGTTTAATAGGAATGTACACGTAGAGCCTATATCAGATTGAGTGCCATCTTTGGGAGGCGGAGGGAGAAAAATTTAAAACTCAGAAGTTTATGGGAGTGATTGTAGATAAATCAAAATGAATTAATAAAAAAAAAGAAGTAATAATGGCTCTGCAAAAAATAAATAAATAAATAAATAAACAAATAAGAATAAAGACAGATCCTCAGACAGCAAGGACAGGTTTCCACTGAACTCAACCACAGCCGGACAAAAGCCAGGAGGAAGGTAAAGGCAGGGACCCCGTCTGGGCAGAAGACTCCAAAAGCTCCAAAGACAATGAACAGACTAAGTCTGCTCACAGCGAACACCTATATCAGAGGGTCATGGGCAGCTGGTATGCTGGGGAAGCCTTGGGAACCCCAGGGTCAGAAGGAGAATTCCAAGTCATCAAAAGCAACTCTAAATCTCAGTTAAGGGTGAGGAAAAATAAAGATCCCTTGCCTTGTGGGTCTACAGACCTCTAAGGCTAAGAGTCCACTTGCTTCATTCTAAAGATGGGGAGGTCTCGGGATTCACTCAAGGTTACCAGGGTGGAAGTGGCAGAGGTGGGGTCCAGCTCCACATGACTGCACTGAGATCACCTTACACGTGTATGGAGGAAAGGGGCTTTCTCTCGGGGCTGCCATAAGGCCAGTCTCCTTCCTTCCACTGATGCTCACCAACTCATCCTCCCATTGTAAGGTTTTTCCAGATAAATTTTATCTGCTGGGTCAAAAGTGTCCTAAGCTGCACAGTTCACTGGATGGTTATGGTCTTCAAGGTGAATGAAGAGACTAAAATTGTTCCTTTCTTCCTTTTATTTTTCTTCAAATAAATTCCATTTTATTTTACTTTTAGTTCTTAATCGCCTCATTTTCCTCTCCCTCTCCCCCTCCACCTATCGAGAAGGCAGGAAAAACAAAACCCCCATGCAACATAAATTCCAGAATCAGTACATCCAAAAAAAGGAAAAGAAGACAGTGGGCTCCAATGTCCCCTGAGCGCACCAGTCCTCTCTGTGGAGGTGGGCAGCCCGCTCCTCACATGCCCTTTGATCAGCACACTGCACCTTTCCAAGCTAACCCTCTTCACGTGCACTTTGTAATGTCCCCTCCACCATCTCTCACAGCACAGCAGTCATCCATCACACCCATAGACCACAGCGCATTCAGCCAGGTCCCAGCTGCTGAGCGTCCCCTCACTTCCCGATTCTCTGTCACTACAAATAGGGCTGCTGTAACACTTTGGTACACGTGGGTCCTTTCCTTCTTTCTTTGGTATCTCTGGGGCATGGTTCCAGAACAGCTGGACTAGTTTACAGCTCCACCAATAATGCATTAGCATACCCATTTTTCCTCCAGCTGTAACGTTCAAAAAGTTCACACGACATAATTTCTGGGCAGTCATCTTATTAATAACGCTAGCATTTTTATCAAAAGAGGTCAGCGGCCCTCTGGAATGCCAAAGACAATCAAGGCAGCAGGCTCATAGTCCAGGCGGCCTCGGAAGAGGGTGTTCCTGAGGTGACAATCAACCCTGACTGGTTAACAATTAATGAGCATGAATATTCCGATGAGGGGCTAGACCTATTCTAATGAACTTCGATTATGTCATTTATTTCTAAGTTGCCCCCACAGCCTCAGGCAATCTATTCAGAAAACTTATCCCCACTCAAACCTGACCAGAGCACAATGGCTTCCCCACCAAGGTGGGGTCTGAACAAGATGGTTAAGAAAGTTAAGCCAGGAGCAGCTAGGTAGTGCAGTGGATAGAGCTTAGGCCTTGGAGTCAGGAGGACCTGAGTTCAAATCTGGCCTCAGACACTTGACACTTACTAGCTGTATGACCCTGGGCAAGTCACTTAACCCCCACTGCCTCACCAAAAAGCAAAAAAAAAAAAAAAAAGTTAATCCAATCTCCTTATCAGCAATGGCCTCTAGGGACTGAACTTTCAAAATGAGGACTTTAGAAAAGGGGGGAACTCTGCATCTCTCCAAATTATTGGTTATTAATAATCCTTTTTCTCATTTCCCCACTGGATTCTATTGAGACGAAGTCTTCCCAATGGATCCCTAACTGGTAAGATAAACACTTCATCAGGGGTTTCAGACAAACACTGATCCGACACTGTTCCCTGCTGCCCTCCTCCAACAGGGGGGCTCCTGGCAGACACTTTTCTGATTTTTTTCACATTGTTTATGCCTGGGTTACTGCCCCACATCCTCTCTCAGGACCAAGCAAGGAGCACAGAACAGAATGCTGAAAAAGCCTGCCCACCACTCATTTGCCAAAGGGCCTTGGCCTCAATCTGCCCCTGATGGGGTGTTTTGGTGTTTGTGCTTGTACTTGTACTCCAATTTCTCCTTAGCCTCAGAAACCCTATCCCTGACAGTTTCTCCCCAGCCCAAGGACACTGTGCCTAGCAGTTATTCATGCATGGGCCTCGGCACGACCCTCATGTCTCTCCCTGGTGCAGCTACACAGAGCTGGGCTGCTCAGGCCCCAGCCCTCGGTTCATGTCTCTGGAAGCCTCCCAATTCCTTAGTAGTTCCTGTCTTGTAAGAAAGCTTTCCCTCATTCTTGATGAGCATTCTCTCATCAAGACAGAGGGAGAGGGGTGCCTTGCCCAGCCCAAGGAGTTTTGTCCTTGGCCAGCCCAAGGACTTTTCCTCCTGATAGACTCCAAAGATCCCTACCTTTGTCATCTCCCTCCCCGTCAGGGATACTCCCTGTACTTTCCCATCCATAGCCCCCAAAGACACCTGGACCTTTAGATTACCTCATCAGTGTCCCTGGCATTTCTTTCCCATGCTCTTTTCCATACAGACCCTAGCTGCATTCTCAGTCTCTCGCAGGATCCTTAAGAATCCTTGCCTGCTGAAAAGCGTAACAATAAACTTTGCCACCTTGGCTTAAAGAATGCTTGAGTCTGTGAATTCATTCCAGAAGACCCGTCCTGTACCCCGGTCTTTGACGGGTCACAACCTCTCAACCTCTTACACTGCAACACCCCTACCCAAGACGCTCACCAAGTGCTGGTCATTGAGGAGATGCACCACACGAGAGGTCCAATCGCCCATCGGCACGAGGTCCGGGGATGTCCTGTATAAGCGCAGCAGACACAAGGCTGCGCTCTGCTTGACGCTGTCCATGGTATCTCTGAAAGACCAACAGACCTACTGTTAGGAAGAAGAACTCGCCAGTAACAAGCAGATGCCCTGGGGCCCCGAGCAGAGGAAAGGAGAAGCACACTGCTCTGAAGGAGGAAGGGCAGCAGCGAGAAAAAGGAAGTCAGCCCTTCAGACAGCTGAGTGCCCTCAGAAGATGTCCACAACACAAGGAAGACTGAGGCCACGCGCTCCAGAGAGAGGAGCAGGAGTGCAGCACTAAGTCCTCGGAACAGCAACACCAATGACCGTGTCTGAGCTTCCTATGCCAGTGCGAACGCCATAACCTGGCAACAGAACACACAGCTCCCCTCCTTCGCCTCCCAAGTGTTCTCAAGCCTAGCAGTTGGGAAGCTCCCCACAGTGTCTACTCCCAGAGCCTGAGGACAGGCTCTTCTCCCTTTCTTGGCTCCACCATTCAGCCTTTCCTCTCCCTGGAGGAGGAGTACAGAGGCTGTCCCTCGGTGACCAGTGCTGTTCAGGGCTAGCCCCTCACAGCCTGCACTCTACCTAGATCCTGACACTATAGTGCCAGGCACCCGACAGGACCTACCCAAGCCTGTCAGACGGAAAGGAGGCAATTACCAGGCCCTACAGGCCTGAAGCCGTGCTTATGTCTTTGCCAAAGCTCTCGTGCTCCCCTGCTACTCTGGGGCAGCTGCCCCACCATTTACTGTTGTGCCCAGGACAGTGCCCTTCACAAACGAGCGTCTGTCCGGACCAGACTATGGACAACGACTACAACTGCTCCGCAGCCGGATGCTGAATAAACAGCTCCAAGGATGTGCAGCCACTAGAGAAATTTGTCGAGACCCAGGAGGTGTGAAAGACTGTGCCAGGGAGGCCTTGGCAAGCCCCACATCCTCCTCCCTTTAGCCAGAAATGTTTTTGTACGTCCTTGGCTTTTCCCTTAGAATTCCCTCCCTCACACTAATTCTTCCCCCTGCTCTTCCCTTCCTATGTCTCTGCTGAGTGAAACGCAGTGCCGTGCTTAACTCGGTGTGTCTGTGGGTGTCTTCTCGCCTTTCCCCAGTTCACGGTCAGTCTTTCTCCTTCTCTGGGCACATTTTTGGCTTGTGCAGTCCGACAAGGTGAGCTCATCCCCCCGGACCTTCCTTCCCCTTCCCCTTAGGTGTGTTCCCTTTCTCATCTCTCTCCACTCTTCTCCTAAGATTATCAAGACATGACAGAAAAACTGCCAGGCCTTTAGGTTAATTACACTCCCTTTATGCCCACAGATGATGATAGCTCAGAGGGGGCTGTCTCACTTCCCAAAATTAGAATGAAAGTGGCTGACCTTTGCCTGGTCTTTCATCACTGTTCATTCATCTTTCTTGTATCTCCTGGGTCAGACCTTCAAAATTTCTCCACAGCTCTGCTCTTATCATCAGGAATACTTCAAAGTCCTCTACTTCATTAAAAATCCATCCCCTCCCGCCTAGAATTATGCTGTTTTGCTGGCTAAGTTATTGTTGGCTACCAACTCATCATATTCCTTGGAATATGTATTCCGAGCTCTCTACCCCTTAGAAGTGGTAGCCACTAAGGCTCCTTGGGACTGCCTTCGAGGCGGCTCCTTGGCCGCTTACACTGTTTTTTCTTTAACATGGAAGCTTCAGGTGTCGCCTATGATGTGCAGGCAGTTTTCATTTTGGGGTTTCGTTCAGGAGCTGACTAGTGGATTCTTCCCTCTTCATCCCCCTGGTTCTAAGAGATCCGGGCAGTTTCTCTTAAGAGTTCTTAAAATCTGACATCCAGGCTCTTTTTTTGATCATGGTTTTCAAGTGGTGCAACAATTCTTAACTTTTCTTCTCTTCACTTGTTTTCAAGGTCAGTAGTTTCCTATGAGGTACTTGGATTTGCTTTCTTTTTTTTTTCCTGTCTTTGACTTTGTTTTAATTTTTTTTTTTTTGTCTCATGGAGTCACTAGCTTCTCTTTGGTCCTTTTTTATTTTCAGAGAGTTTGCTGCTTGGGCAAAGATTTGTTCCTCTGGTGCCAAGCTGTTAATTCCCTTTCCAGTTCTTTCTTCCTTGGCTCCATTGCTTTTCCCTTTTTTCCTCTCCTGCTCTCCTTCCATTCATAAAAAGTACTAACTTTCTTTTAAAGTCTTGCTTCTTCTTTTCCAGGAAGTCTAGTTGAGTCTGTGCCCAAGCTGTGTTTTCTCTGAGGCTTTGCTTGCGGACATTTTGAAGCCATTCTCTTCTTTTGCATTTGTGTCTTGAGCGTCCCTGTCACCATGACGGCTTTTTGATGATGGGGTTCTTTGTCTGCTCCTTCTTCCAGCCTACTTTCTGATGCTGGACACTTTCTGTGAGGGTTGAGCTCAGCACACTTCTGAAGGAAAGGTCTGAGCTGCTTCTGCTGTTACTTTCTTGGAGTGGCAAGTGCTGTGTTATTCCACTATCTCAGAGACCACTCAGATGGGGGCTTGAGAGTTTTCAGTGCTCCCAGAATGGCCTGATGTGGGGCAGAAGTCGATCTCTGGCCCCTGGTCCAAGCTCGGCGGGTTAGTGACCTGGGGTTGGGTCTGAGCAGGGGCAGATGCTGCTGGACCAAGCCCCTGTGAGCCACCAGGGAGGCCCTGCTGGTTCTGAGTGAGAGAGCTGTAGATTGCCTTCCGGTCTGGAATTCCTGCCCTGGTTCTTGCCCTGCTCCTGGGTCTGAGCCACCCAAATGCTGCTGCTTCTGAACCTGGTCTTCTCTCTGGACACCTCTGGGAGATGGTGACTGTTCCTTAACCTACAACCTACACCGTCCACGGGCATAAGTCCCCTCCTCACTCTGCTCTGGGTCTGTGAGGAGTGGGTGACTGAGGGCCGGGTGGCTCCTGCTCCTATACCCTCCACCAGAGTGAAGGCCCCTCCTTACTGAGGCACAGGAATGCTGTTTGGCCCCCAAGTATCTAGTCATGCTCCTTCACCAGGCTCTAGAGACCTCTCTGTCTCTCCCACAGAACCTGGGCTGACAAAGTCACTTGTGTTTTTTTCTTGCATTTCCTGATCCCGATTCAGTCTGGAGCATTTTCTAGACCTGCTTGTGGGAATTCTGGGGGAAGCTCCCTAGGCTTGCCGATGCTACTCCACCATCTCAGATCTGCACCCGCCTGCGTCATATCCTAAAATTGCCTCGCCCTCCCTGCCATGGGAGCCTAAGGGATCAGGCTACAAAGTAACCATGACCTCTAGAGCCCGATAGGCAGACTGGCCGGCCAGCCACTCTCTGGCGCCCCAGCCCTACCGTCTCTCACGGCACAGGCATCTAGGTTCCACGCACACTTGAACCTCCAGAACATGGGATGGCTCTCCACCCGGCAGAGATGGGGAACAACTCTTTGCACCATCTTTGGCTTTTCTCCTTTTCCCCACTGCACCCCCTTCATCGAGACGTACAACAAGCTCCCATGGTGGGGTACCCAGGAGGAGACCCCAGCTTCCTGCATGCATCAAGTAAAGGGCTCCCACCCCCCTCTGCCAAGTGCTCCGGCTCAGATACCTACCCAGCCACCAGGATCTTGGGGATTTCTCCAGCAAAGGCCTCGGCCATCTCCCGGCTGCCCACGTTGGCGATGCAGTGCAGAGCCAGCCCCATGAAGGTGGGGTTCCGGCTCGCCAGGTCATTCTTGATAGCGTTATTGATCAAGCGGATCAGCTCACTGTTGGAGTTCACTAGGACAGAGATGAAAAGGTAGCCCTGTGTCCCAGGGAAAAGAGAGTGAGATGGTGGCAGCAGACGGCCAGGGATCGATGCAAAGGGACCGCGAGCGCCAGCCCACCCCCCACGACAGGATATTCTCAGAGGTCACAGTGGCTGCCCCGAGAGGGCCAGGGTACGGGCACGGTCAACCCACCAAGTGGCCAGAGACACAGAGATGCCCAGAGTGCGAAAGCTGCCCCACCGCACCAAGCCCGGGAGCCTGCCCTCTGTTTCCCTCGGTTTCTTCGTCTGTAAAATGGGGATAACAGCAGCGCCTTCCTCCCAGAATGGCTGTGACCGCCGAGTCAGACAGTCTCGGTAAAGTGCTCAGTGCCGTGCCTCCCCGAACAGCAGGTGTTCAATAAGGCATCATCCTTCCACTCCTGGGTCTCTGCCACCAAGGCTAACACATGATCTGAGGGCTGCACAGCACTTTACCAAGAAGATCTCCTCTGATCCTCACAACCACTTGGGGAGCGGGACAGACACATGCAGGCTGTTACTGTCCCCATTTTACAGACCAGGAAACCAAGGCACAGGGCCAGTGCCTTCCCTAGGGTCCTACAGCTAGTCAGTGTTGAGGCTAGATTTGAACTCCAGGCCCCATATCACCTCAAAAGAGATGTTCTGGACACGTCCTAAAGCCCATGCAGTCCCTTCCCCCGCACTTCACCCTGTCTCTCCTCTACACTGTTCCATTTCCATCCACGACACTCACCTTCTTCCCGTTGTGTGGTTTAGAGCCTCGCTTTCCCCGTTTCGGTCTGGTCTCCACCCCCTCCCCAGTGGCCTCCAAGCCATTCTCCACACTTCTGACCACGTCACTCCCCACTCAACCCCAATGGCTCCGACTGACTTGAGGTTCCAAGAGAAACTCTTCTGCTTGGCTTCTAAAGCCCTCACCAACCTGGCCCCAACCTCTCCTTCGGGACTCACTGGATGCGACCTTTCCTCCAGCTATGATGGCACTTCTCATCTCTTGCCTCCAAGCCTTTGCCTCTGGCCATCTCCCCAACCTGAGATGCCCTCCCTCCTCCCCCTTCTGCAAGAAGCCTTCCCAAACCACCCTACAGGCAGGGACTGTTTCTTGTACAATTAGCACCTTTCGCACAGATGGAGCTTAACAAGTCCTTGCTGGCTGACTAAACTGGCTCTGGTGTGTCCCCCAGATGGAAGGTCAGCGACTCGGCTCATCAGCCCTGCTCCTTGTCACAGCCAGCACGGCTGACCGACGACGGGCACATGCGGTCCAGGGACCTCCCCAAGGCACCAACCCCTTCTCTCGGTCCAGGCTGGCTCTCGGAGACCCAGGAAGGGCCCAGCCTCCAGCCCAGTTCTGCCCTCACTATTCGACCTCAATGGTGTTCAGGGCAGAAACACTCACAATCTGCTTCTCCGTGTAGCGATTCGAGCTCAGCAGGTTCACTGCTTCCCATGTGGCCAAAGTCGATGTCGTGGCCCAGGAGGAAGATGAAGAGCAGCTTGCACACATACTTCTTCTTACTGTAGCCATCGAGCGCCTTGTCGCCTGCGGGGGAGAGGCCGATGAGGGTCCATCTGGCCCAAGCCCACAGCCTGCACACTAGGGGCCGAGGCCTGGACAGACGGACAGACCGCCGTGGTCTGCTCACGCCCTCCCGTGAGACAGGTGCTCGGCATTAAGGTAGAGACGTGCTGGACTGTGGGTTTGTGCATGCATGTGTCTGTGTGTGTGTGTGTGTGTGTGTGTGTGTGTGTGTGTGTGTGTGTATGTGTATGTGTGCACACCAGATGAGCTAGGGCAGAGACACACCGGATTGTGTGTGTGTGTGTGTATACATGCGGGTGTGTGTGCGTGTGCACATGCATGTGCCAGACTGCTCACGCCCTCCCACGATCCAGGTGCTTGGAGTTAAGGTAGAGACATGCTGGATTGTGGGTACATGCGTGCATGTGTGTGCGTGTGCACGCCAGTCAAACTGCTCACGTCCTCCCGTGATGCAGGTGGCTTGAACTAGGGCAGAGAGATGCTGGACTGTGTGTGTGAGCATGTGCACGTGCGTGTGCCAGACTGCTCACACCCTCCCGTGATGCGGGTGCTCGGAGTTAAGGTAGAGATGTGCTAGGTTGTGGGTACATGTCTGCATGTGTGTGCGTGTGTATGTGTATGTGTGCACGCCAGTCAGACGAGCTAGGGCAGAGACGTGCTGAAGTGTGTGTGTGTGTGTGTACACATGGGTGTGTGTGTGTGTGTGTGTACACATGGGTGTGTGTGCGTGTGCACATGCATGTGCCAGACTGCTCACACCCTCTGTGATCCAGGTGCTCGGACTTAAGGTAGAAAGACATGCTAGATTGTGGGTGGGTGTGTGCGTGTGTGCGTGTGTGCGTATATGTACATACCAGTCAAACTGCTCACACCCTCCCCATGATCCAGG